TCTGTGACTGAACTACATAGTATCTGCAATTTGTTCCTCACTTCCGGAGAATGTCATTGTCAGACATATGGAACGTCTTAAATGTGACACAACTATCACAACTCTCTGACTGTATAAAAATAATATTTCAAGGCCAAAGTCTAGAAAATTATTTTTGAATCCATTTATTTTTCATTTTTAGCTTTATATATAAATATACATTTTTAATGGACACAAATCTTATCTAGGTGGACGTGTCTCACAGATTTCAAGGTGTCCTTTAAACTTTGTTAACCTTTTGTTTATTTAACAGGAACTAACCTAATAACTGCAACCTACAAACCACAACCACAACTAAGTTGGTCTTCTGTGTCGTACTTTCATTTCGACTGTTTATAATGTTATTTGAATTATCAAATGTCAACGTGAAGAAAGTGAATTACCTATTTTCTGATAAGTTTATAGGTATATCCGTTGTATCTCGGACAACAACGAAGTAAATATATTCTTGTAGGTATATAAAATGATAAAAATTTCTCCAAATGTTGACTTTATGTTTCAATAAATAAACATTTGTATACAGTTCATTTAGGATTATGGGGCTCTTATTAACTCTAGGCATACGAGCTATAACGTTTTCTCTTGTAATCCGTTCATAAGAAGAATGGAACTATTCACAATGGCTGTTTTGTTTGGCAGTTGATAATATGTAAAATTAATTATCAGCATCTAAAAAACTTCCTGGTTTTATAATTCGACATTATATTCCGTATTTTCTCATCGCTTTGAGTCCAAAATCTTAGGCACCGAGGTTATGGTAGACTTCAGCGTAAACGTCTGTAGTCTAAAAATATAATTGACAACAAGAAAAATTAGTTTCTTTTCAGTGGAAGTTATGCGAAATTATTTTTGAAAAAAGATTAACATTCATCATGCACGTATACCGCTACCGTGAGATACGTTTCCGTCAAATCTATCGTGTTTTCCATCGTAAGCATTATCAGTGAATACGTCTGCAATGTACACTATTCTTTCAGAAGAAAAGATATTACCCGGCACATACATAAGTAATCTTTACTGCAAGCGTAAAGATAATGTTTAGCGTGATGTAAAACTGACAACGGAACTCTCTTGTCTAGATATGTACACAGAAATAATTATTAGAGCGATTTTCCAGCAGTGAATACTCCCAACGTAACTACGGGGATCATATTGTGACCAAGCCACATCGATATTATAGGGAAACTTCCACCCCAAACGATTTCTCTGAACGACCCCATAAAATCACACCCCCGATTGCACTACATTTTTCTGCAGAGGGTAAACGTGCTTTATAGGAAATAAAACAGGCCGATGTCTTTACTGTACAGGTAGTGGATTACTGGCTTTCAGTGAACGTCAAATGTGACATTGAAAACAAGCACAGGGTGGTTGTACAAAACCTGGCGAATTTTTCTGACAGCGATTCGCCAAGATGGCGAGACGCGTGTACCCACGAATGAGCTTATTCGTGGCATCCATTCTGGCTCGCTCGTGAATATAATCTCGCCGTCGGAAATTGCGCGCGTAATAAACACCAACCTGTTCGTTGCGTAATATCGTCGTTCTGCTGTAATCTGCTGCCGGCGTCGTCCTTGCCTAGATTCACCTGCACATCCATCATTTTATCCACGGTCGACGACTCTGCGCGTTGCTCTCGTTCGCTCTAGGATCGGTCGTTATCTTGCAACGGCTGCTTTCCACACGCCGTCCCCTTCTGTCACTTTGGGCGTGCAGTATGATTAACGGCACGCTGGAAAGCGATTCGAGATCACAACACGAGCACGAGAGTTCTTTTTTTATTCGATGGGCTTGTCCAATTAAACCGACAGACGACACGCGCGACACTTACGACGCGTTTAAACTGACTGACTCGACCGCCAGCTTTCCGGGATCGCCCGACAGCCCCACGCCTCAGCATCGGAAATCACCGAGCGTTTACGAACCTTTTGCCATTGGTGTATTCCGCAGGTAAATACCACGAGACGCAGTGTCGCTTCGCAGCAGACCACGGGAGACAGCGTGATCACATGATCTGCGCATTACACGTTCACCCCCTTTTGCAGACAGTGCGCTACCCTTGGTGATTAATTTGTGTATCCAGAGATAGGGTATTCCACTCTTTGCGTTGGTTGGTGGTCAATATTTTCATTTTTCGCAAGCTACCAACGCTGCGACATTCAAGGTTTATTTATTGCGGTACAGATTGAATTAACGGGTTACATTAAAAGTAGAGACGATTTGGATTCTAAGGCTTTGGAAGGCTCTCTCTGTTTGGAAAATAATGGCTTTAATTTTTAGAAACGGTTCGTCGAAAATTTGTTTGTGGTGCTGAATTTGCAGTACAGAGAGTGACTATTTTATAGTGTTCGTTTGATGTTGAAGATGTTTAATCTTGTATGTACGGTTTCAATATAAGACACGTATCTCAGTGACTTTTGGAGATACTGGTTTTAAACAAAAAGTTATATGGTCTCGAAAAATAAATAGTAGTAAGGTAGTACTAAAAAATGGACAGACAATGAGTCTCTTTTCATATTTGGTGAAAAATTAAGTTTAGTTTACATACTTTTAGTTGCCAAATTCGAAGAAAAGGTGGTTATATATTGTTTGGAAAATTAATATGTTAATCTTTGATTTCGTTAATTTTACAGTTTCCAAAATTGTACACCCTAGCAAAAAAAAATTTGCATTGAATTTCTAAGATTATACATATCTTATTTTTACGTGACATTAAATTTCTTAAATTCAATGATCATTTCAAAGAGTATAAAATAATTTTAAGAATAAGTAAAGTTCCGTTCCACAAATTTAGCATATTGTTAATACAATTGTATTGTTACCAGAATGTAGAATGTGTACAATATCTTGTATACGTTACATGTTCATATATACTTATGTGTACATATAGTAATGAAACCGACAGGTACTTTATTGTTTATAGTATAATTAAAATATTTAAATTTATAGCATACATACTGTAATTCAGCGCTGGGCAGCGTAGAGGCACCTCACCTCACGCGCCTGTTTCCCCTTCCAACCTTTCTTTCACACCGTGTGCCTTCGTAGAAACAAAGAAGCCCGGACTCTTGTCTCTGTCACTCCATGGTAACGGTGGACGTTGATGGGGACAAGTTTTAGCTCCCGGGAGCCAACTTTTCCCACCGCTGCTGTAATTAAAAGATTCTTCATTAATGTATGTTAATTAATTGTATAAAGACTGGTAATTTATACAATACATCTAAATCAATTGTACAGTACAAGCTCGTTTATTGCAGCATAGGAACGCCTGTCCCTAACACGTATTTCTGACACGTGCGCGCACCCCACTCTATGGCTCAGCAATGAAGGAACAGAATACATACGGTGTCCTGTTTAACAGAAAGTGTCATACATATAATATTATTTTAAAAAAATGTTTTAATACTGACACATAACTTCTGTACATAAACTGTTTTGATATCTCTACAAATAAGGGAGATAGTAAGATAATAAAAAATGTGTACATCCAGATCACCCTATCTGTATGTAGCTACGTAGAACAAGTGAACGGACCGGATTGGAGCTGGCTTAATGTAGTATTCCTGTAAATTTAGCCCTGTACAGCCCCGAACGCTGTAATAAACGAGCGTTTACTGTATTATAGTAAATTTTTAAACGTATAACTTTAGTGGACAATTTGTAGATATAATCAAACTTATACTTGAAAATTGAATTTCAATAAATTTCACAGAAAGTGAAAGTTGCAGTATAGAATAAGTACAGGAGATTTTTCTATAAATAATACTAAACACAAATTCATGAATCTTACGTTAATAAATTTAAAAAACGATTACTGACTATTTTTCACGGGATTTTTCGAAAATATAACTTTTTGTGTATTAAAATTTAACTGTGATAGAGAAAGACGAAAATAATACAGCAGAAAAGTTATTATACTAGTCCAAAAGTTTATTTGCAAAAATTATTTAGTATTGAATTTTTATTAAAACAATATTATATACATTGCACTTTCTGTGATGAAAAATAAACGAGTAAAACACGACACCGTATGTATCCGTTCCTTCCGTGCTGGGCGACAGAGTGGGATGTTTTCACGTATGTGAGAAACACGTGTGAGTGACAGGCGTTCCTAGTGATCAATTAACGGACTCTCAATTATTGGGCTTATACTGTACATAGAACGATTAAGACTGATAGCCCTCTGGTGGTAGGCGTAGGAATCATTGCCATCTTAGGTTCAATCGGCAATATGCTGTTCAAATTTTTGTGAATATTTTTTTCGTATGCATATATTCAAATTTCTTTATATATTCGGAAATTAAAATCTTTTATATATACTAAATTATTATCTGATATATATTCGAGGTACGATTAAAATTAGAAAAATCTAATGCGATAAAATATAGAATTGTCTATCGTGAACAATTCATAAAATATCTATTTTTAAATACAATGCAGCAGAATATTTTATATGAAAATTGAGGCGTTCCACAATTTAGTAAAAAGCATGTTTCGCGTTTATGTACATTATCGTTATAATATCATTCTAATCGTTTCTAAGCTGTTGATTATTCTATAAATGTTGGTTGAAGTGTTCATATAAAACAAACCATATATATACAAAATATAGACTGCGCGTCAGACTTGCTATATCTTTCTAATATAGCTGACACCAAGTCCTCCGTAAGCTACCTACCTCTTTCTAAACTTGGAACACCGTTTTCAGGGAGATGCGCAGTCTATACATATTTCTATGTCTACGATATAAACACAATTTAAATGTATACACATACAAACCGGTAAATGTTCGAATTCGACTGAAAAATTGTTGACAGCGTGAACTTTTGGCACTCCTCGCTACACGAGGGGTATTGTTTATTTAATTAATGGTAGGAAGTAAATAACATTGACCTTTTCATTTGGTTTTGTACAAAGTTAATACAGTTGGACACGTATATGAAGGTATTTAGACGAAATTGTACATTGTTCTCATTAAAAATATATTTTTGCCTTACAACAGTACGTTATTCCAAATCAAAGAACGATGATTCTGCACGTTCTCTGAATAGTTCTTTCATCGTTGGTACATTCATAGGATTTTGCTTCGGTCTTTGAATTTCAAATTTTACATATCTCTGTCGAAGGGTTCGATGATGATGATGATGCTGCTGCTGCTGCCGATTTAGAATGTTTCATTATTTCACGCGTCAATGTAAAATGTGTTGTGTGTGGGCGCGTTTGATGATTTTTAATAGGGGATGAATGGTGCGATGAATATAACGAATAGACATGTCCCTCGTTGACGTGGAGTTTGCCGACAGATGTATGCCGACAGTGCGGCGATCGCATTGTCACTTCAATCCTCTGTCGCCGCCGCTCTTTCACACAGTCTACGAAGGAACGCTAGAAATAAAACGGTCAATATTATTTTCGTTCTAGAAAAAACGAGGCACAAATTGATTGACAGTGAGCAACGTCAACAAATATTTACAATATTGTCGTAAAACACGGTCTCAGTGAACCGCATTGTCAATCGAACTTTGTGCCCGATATACAAATATAAGCAGACTGAACGTGTAAGCATTAAAGAAGTTTGATTTGCAATATCATCATGTCGTATGAAATCATATCATACTTTCATATCAGTTTCGGAAACTCAAGAAAGCTTGAGAAATCAAAATTTCGTATCAAAACATCGAAATCCGTGACACGAATAAACGTGCAACTATAATGATTATTATGCGTTTACTGAATGTATACTAATAAATGTGGAATATTTTAATATTGACATCATTAGACCTTTAAAAAAACTAAATTGTAACATTTGTTGCAAAATATTAGAAGTAATTCTTTCGACATACGAAATAGAATTTCCAAAGTGAAATCTACGTTTTTTCGAGTCACGGACTTATTCGATGTATGTCTTCAGTCATTGAACATGTGTCGTATGAGAAGCGGGTTATCGATTTCAGCATCCCAGCCACGTTGATTCGTTGGGTCCTATAAATTACGAGACGTGCGTAATGAAGAAAACGAAATATCAAGTGAAATCATGTTAGTTTGCAGATAAGACGAGACAAGAATGTGGGGAACAAACGGAGGAAAAGAGACAGAAGATTTACGGAGGCATACTCTACAGTCTAGAGGATGTACTTACGAAGGACGACCTTTGTGGCACTGACATCCAGTTTGCTTACAATAGCACCATCATCTTCTTCAAGAATGCTGTAGAACACAAAACACGTGGAAACATCAAATGGTGGGGAATGGGATCCGAATTTATTCATTCCCGTGACACGGCTGGATATTTCGGGTAGCTGTATAAAAATTTGTAGGGGCATACGAAACGGATTTACACTGGGTGTAGACTGGGAAAAAGAGGATGAGGACTTTTCTTTAGATTTTCTACTGCAAAATCAACAACGTCTACTGGTGAAACGAACCTAGGCAAATGCATTTCCTACGGCTTGTGCTGCTTCTGCATTAACCAACGATTTTCTACATTAATGTAACTCAGTGACGCAGCTTATCTAATACTGTTTGTTTCTTTCTCTATTTCACGGGATGCATTAGCACGTTTTGTCAATATGGATCGATACTTACGGGGATAGGGGATGAAACCATCCTCATCTTCGGCGTCCATGCAATCCTTCAAAACAGTGTCTACTTCCGAGTCGCTTAAACGTTCACCTGTTGCGACACATAGTACCGTTTATTAACGAATTATATTGTCTGAATTGAAAAATGCTGTACTATTTCAAAAAGTGAAACAATAAATATAACAGAAAAGGGAGCGACTTTGAATATATTGTACATGGTTTCAGTTATTGGACAATCAATTTTGTAATTAATTTAAAATTTACCATTGTTTACTTTCACATTTACCATTATGTATAGAAACAGTATCTATATTTAATTACTCTAATGTATAAAAATAAACTTCATTATTTTCATTTTAAAGAAACGGATAAAGTAACGTTGTGCCATTTTAGTATGAAATTTTCAGGAAACAGTATAGTATTTTACTTGATTAAATATGGTAAAAATTATGAGGAAAAAAAATATGTATATGCATTCGGATTCAAATGATTTTCTTTTAAATCGAAATTTTATAAATAAAAAATTTGACACACCAAGCGTGAGCAGTGTGTGTGAAAGTTCCGCAGCCAACATTGTTCCATTTTCCTGTTTGTCGTAAAGCTTCAAACACTCAAGGAAATCTTCGTAACATCCCTGTTCCTTATCCTTTTTGCATTGGCTGTAAATTGGCAAGAACTCGTCGAGTTTCATCAATTTCTCGCCCCTCTTCTTCGTTCCACCAAGCTTTTCAATAGTGGCGTTTGTGGGGTTTAGGTTGAGTGCACGAAGAACATTTCCAAGGTCGACGGCATCAATGACATTGGTACCATCGGCATCGTAAATCGAGAAGGCAAATTCCGCCTCTGTTTACCAAAAACGAAAAAATTGTACGCTTTACTATTTATTTTTTTTTACCCTTACCATCACTGATCATAAGTCAAGTAACTATAATGTTACATAGGTTCCAAACGTCCCCATGTTGATGAACAGCACACGGAAATCTGTCGATTGTAACGTATCGAAGCACTGATTTTAAAGATAACCTCGTTTAGGGGGTTGCAGACCTCAAAAATATCTAGACACTTGCTTACTCTTGACAGAATGTAATTCAAATAACACGGGACAATTCCTACAATGATTCTACTTTTCTAACTATACATATAGTTCTAACTATACATAATATTCTAACTATACATATGTAGCTGTATAAAAGTTCTCTACCTTCAAATTTTTTTATTTTTAAGTTGTGAGTCAGATAAAGAGGATACTTCTAAGCATCAAAAGAAGTTAATTTCGAGATAACTAGAAAATTGATAGTGAAAGTAATACGATTGGTTAAAGTTGTGTTGAAGTCGTATTTAAAAACAACGATCACATCAACAAATCACGTTTTAAATTTCAATATATTATAAGTAAGTTTCTATTAATGACTAATTGAAATTTAAAAAAGATCACTTTTGGCTTATAATTTACACATTTAAGAATTCGTGCACGAACTATTACTACAAATTTACTAAATGTCCGGACACTCATGATCAAGAGTTTACGTCCGACAAGTTGAAAAATATACCTATTTTTCAGATATTTTCTCACGGACATGGTTTACACTTTTTTTAGTTTTGCTTATAAATTGGAAGAATATAAGATAAATGTTTAATATAAATTCTCGTATTATAAGAAGAACAATCAACAAACTATTTAATATTTTTATTTCCATGTTTTCCAATCTTACTTTTATTTAGTAACAGTTAAATAAAATATTTAACGATATTTGAGGCAAAATACTCCGAATATTGTTGAAAACCAGTGTTACGCAAAACATTCGTCTACTTCACTTCTCGATAGTTTAAACACATTTGCTCATCAATTCCTCATTTTCTGTGGAGGTTTGCAAAAGATAGTTATTAAAGATTATATTCCTGTATTTAAACATGCTGTTTATCATTTTCTTGTCATATGTAGTAATAATTAAATAATTATTATTTCAGAATTATTTAGAAGTGTTATTTTTCTCATCAACGTTACATTACATTACGATGCAGTAGTATGAAATTTGGACTTCATGACATTCAGAAACCTTCAAAAACATTCAGACCCCAGAATCCAAATTATTTATTAACGACTCAAGCAGCTTTCCAATTTAAACAAAATTGTTATCGATTCGAAATAAAGCATCCGGGATTGTAAAATCCGGGTTGATATCAGCGTGGCCCCTGACGCGTACCTGGTTCAAAAATATTATTCTATTTTAAGATGCAGCGACTTCCACCCAGCAACCAATTCAAGAACTCGCCGGTGGAAGTAGTGGGTCAGATTACCCCCGCCGAGCCATATATGAACAGAGTACTATTTTTGAAATAGTGCTACGCATTCGGGGTGATTACATCTTTGCTTTACCGGTTACTGCAAATTACGTAATGTGTTTGTTACGTGACATATGAAGATAATGTTTCATATAGACAGAAACTATGAAATACTATATAATGAAAAATAAAATTAAAAGGCTATTATAATCTGTTGTGTCCCTTGAGAATAAACACAATTTGGCATGTATTATAAACATTTTAGTTTTATGATTGAATAGGTTTTGGATATCGCCGCACCGAGATTATCACACGTTTAAATCTGTTATACCATTTTAATTACCCGCAATAGCGTTTTAAGTGCACATTTTCCGCCGATTGAAATATTCAAAATTTCCCTCACTTTCATACTTTCCGGGACGTATGATATATACCACGGAATTCACTAGGTACTTCACGAGTATATGTTTTTTACTTCCTACGTCGCTTGCACAAATAAAATTAAAGCACATATACACAAGTCAAATATGTTCCATATCTTTTTACTCACTTTCGACATCCTTGGCGTTGAGGTCTGCCTGCAATACAAAAGATATATCCTTAAATCTAATCTTTTTAATGTTTAATTGCCTATTTAATGAATTACAATAATCATTCGAAGTGTTTAATAGAAGCATCTGAGCATTTATCGAATTTAAAGTGCACAGAATGCGTAGCGTGATGCTTTAAATGTAAGAAATATATCAAGAGTGGATAACAATTTTTTGAATATACAATACAGCTGGTAAATAAAATAACAAATAAAGCAACGTTCTCATTAGGAATTAAAGTTTCGAGAAAAAAAGTCTGGGACTCACCATAGTATTCTACCTGGTGCGTCTGGATGTTAACCGAACGGAGCGTGAACCAGAAGTGCTACCGGGTGTTACCAAATTTATTCATTTTATTTCTGTAGATGGCGCAGTGGACAGGATACACGAGAATTACAGGGGGATCTAGCTCGAAACAGTCAGTTCGGACGAACAGGGTATCGGCAACGTCGCGGTCCAAATACAGTTCGAGAGGTAAACGCGGGTTAAGCTGTGTTTCCTACTACGACAAATGGTTTTTAACGATACCATTTGTATATCAGGGCTACCAGACAATCATATAGACGCCAAATGAAAATATACTTCGAGCGGCCTTCGATATAAGCAAATCCGTTATGCCCTTACTATGACCTAATTCTAATTGCTAACATAAATGTTACCAGCAATCAACAAATTCAAGACACTCGTGTATTACTATCACAAAATGTTGTTGTATTATAAAGAATTTTGTAGAGTATAAGCGTGTCTTCGTACAGGAACCAAGTCGGTCTAGAAACTTACGATTAGTACCCCTAGGAACGCGCGAAATGTACAGTCTGTTTCACAAGAGCGTTGGAACGATATCTGGAAAAATAATAGATAGTTTTTAAAAATTCCAAAACAGGCTTATAGTACATCGAAAACACTACGGCGCGTCATTGAGAATCTGTCAGTTCGGCTTCGTCGGACATAGTAACCACTCGAATTTCAAAATGAGTGCAGCGTACGCTAAAGGGATTTGAGCAATGTGCCTTTGCAGATTGATATCAGGACAGAATCATTTTAAGAGTTTTTAAAACTTTGTAAAAAATTTTAATTTTTTAAAAGGCCTATTGAAATCTATTAGAGAGTGGTTTGGTGAAGATAATTCATCGTGGGTGTTACAAGAAGTCAATGGTCCAAAAAAAAAAAAAGGAACCGGCTGTGCACTTTGTGGAAAATGGAAAATGGTATCCAAACATTAAACTGGCCTTCACAATCACCAGACGGTAATTCGATTGAAAATGTCTGGAGCATCATCAAGGTTAAACTTCGTGGAAGGCCTATACATACTTTAAAGTATCTAGGCCCCCAAATTAAACAAATATGGAGGACATTCCCTTAGGGGTATGCGGAAAACTTGCGCAAAAACATTGAAGTTATAAGTAAAATTAAGGGGATTACGTATCATATTAGGTAATTGCGTCGTAGTGTTTTGGATGTATTATAAGCTTGTTTTTGAATTTTTCAAAAATATCAATTATTTTTCCAAATATCATTCCAACGCTTTTCTGAAACAGACTATATTATATGTCTCGTGTAACGCGCCGTGAAAGCTTGGCATATGCAAGATACGCGTTACCCGTGACCAGCCGATGACTAAGCCGGTGAGTTATTTTTATCAGCTTCTCGCAGCAGACAAACATGGCAGTTCTTTCTCAAAATATAGGTCTACGGGTGGACATTACTATGGACATTTTTTAATCGATCCGCAATTCCGTCGAGGAACAGAAACGATGGACCAACGTTACATCAGTTCTTTCGACGACCAAAAACGGTCCGCAGATGTTTCCGCATTCTGCTGAATATACCCTTCTTTCTCGATTTTTCTGATTTTGTGTTGGACGTTTGGTAATTTTCTTCGCATGTGATGTCCGATAATGAAACTTTTTGGGTGGGCAGAGGCGAGGCTGTTATTTCTTTGATGGCTACGTCTCCTGAACACGTGTTATTTGTGAAAGGTGTTGAATGTACAAGGGATAAAGGTGTTGATCCATCGTATACAAAGTTACAGACGTTATTTTTCGAGTTACTTTCAAATGGGAGATCAATGTTATTTCGAGTGGGGTCATCGACGCTTTCGACAGTTCTTATAAACTTTTCTTCAGTTTCTTTCCGAACTGCAATCACTTCCTTAGAAATCGTGTCATCAGGTTCAGTCTCCATCTCGACATTGTTTTCCTCTGATCGCGTTTCCAGTTCTTCGATCATTCGATGCAACACGCTACCTGATACTCTAGTTATGTCGTTTGAATCAGAATTTTCCGTTTCATTGCGGATACATGTTGAATCTGTTGGCGTTGCTTCGATAACTGCGTTGTGTATTATTTGGTGCACGTCACCCTGTCCCTGGGTGATTGGTACTTCTAAAGTCTTGGTTCCCTCTTCTATCGAAATACTGCGGTCGACATTCTGCACAACATGCTTCACCTGAAAAACACACCAGACTTTTAGATGCAATAGTATAAAGCATATTATTCCTGTTTGTACAAAAAAAAAACAAAAAATATAGTTTAAAATATCTCCGTATTTTTTTAGTATCGAACTGAAATTCGTGAATAATTTAATTAATATTGCAGAAATTATGGTTTGGAGTGCCAGTTGTTTTTAGTGGTTCAATACATAAGTACATAATATATATGTCTTAAACTAATGATAAATAGAACTAAAGAACGTTTCAAGTACATCAACAATCTGAAGTGACAAATAAAAAATCTTATCATGTATTATTTTTTTATAGAACAGTTGTTACAAAATTGACTGTTCAATAATGTAAAACTTATAAACAAATTACTACGTATTATTTTTATCTCTTTTATTCTCTCTGAAGAAAATTTCGTTAATACACAGCACATGTATCTCATATGCGGTCTAAATTACACCGAACCTGAGAATGTCTTGTAAAATTCATATTTCATATTAAAAGTAATAATATAATTATTTATCGCTTACCTGATTTTCTAAATTCGTTAAGAATGATGGTATGGAAGGCAAATCTCCAATTTGCAAATTACGCAATCCACGTACCATCTTCTCTATAAGCTCCGTCGTTTCCGATTTGTTGCAATTCATGCACGAGTGATCGTGGATATGTAGCATCGATTGCGTCTGAATATTGGCCAACTCGTCACAGCTCTCCATTCGTGATTTTTCTAACAATCATTTTCATTGAAATTGACATTTTCTAATGATAAACACATGAGATCTATTTGTACTATAAATAAGCTGATTTCGCAAAAAAAAAATCGTCGTGATAATAATATTCTCAAAAAGTGAAGAAGCATATTTTTGACACATTTAATAGATTATTCAAATAGGGCAACATTTATGTAATAAAAATTAGCGATCATTTCACAAAGGAATAGTTTACCATCGTTAGTATCCATAACATCGAAAGCTTCCAACATTATCTTTTCAATCAGACTTTTTGCAAATGCCTCCACCATTATTTGAAGCATTCTCACCTCGCGAAGAAACTGAAGCTGCAGCTGTCAGTATACATAAGGCGATTGTCATATTTCATGTGATATTAATATATGTATAGTCGAATACATCATATTGCCAATGTATGTGTTCGTGTTTATTAAAGGCCCTTCACACGAGATACTCTGTGATCCATGAATTCATTTTAAGGTATATTCATACATTCTTCATCGTTTATTATTAGCTTGTAATTGTAGAAATCGAATACGAATGAACATATCACGGAAACCGTCGTGACACTGTCAAATAAGAATATACTTTTACTATTTGGAAACTGTACCTCTTAATTAACCAAATTTTATTCAAGAAATTAAAAGTAAATGTAACACAAGTCAGGAACAGTATTCATACAGAATGATCGATAGTAAAGTGATTTTTAAAAAATAATATATTCAACACATTGTCAAGAGATTCTTTTTCCTATATAACAGTAACTTCTTCAATATGACGTACCGCGATTTTAAATAACTGCTAACACTTAATGTCCAACGACTAATATCAACTACGTAAAAACTTGATTTCGGTAGTTAACCTATACAGAGTGCTTTTACGTTCAAATAGTAATGAAGGTATTGGTGCAAAAGTGGCTATATGTATATGTATTTCAACAGATTAATTGATGGAATTCTTCCCAATCAATGATTAAAATATCAATTAAGAATTCTTAATGGAATATCGTAATTACTGTCTAAAGTATAAAACTTTCCAGCAATGGAGACATTCAGAAGAATTTTATTGCCAATTCGATCATGTATTTATTAGAAATCAGTAAGGTTCGATGTGAAAAAATTCTTTAAACGGTTTCTTATCTCTCAGAAAAATGGATGGAAATAAGTATGTGGAAGTGACCATCACTAATCCTGATGTGGAGATTCCATTATCTGATACTGAACATGTAAATTCTACCTTAAGCACGATCGAGGAATACGGTAAATCACACGACTGTTCGTTGTATTCTGAAGAAAAACATCGGGGCCACATTACAAATTCTAAAGGTTTCAAGTCAAACGAGGAATGTTTCGAAGCTACTGCAAAAAGGGTACATTCGCCTCGAAATTTAAGTGAACCGCTTGATATTGACTTGCTCTTGAGATACTACGCATGCAATTCAAGTATGGAAAAGTCGATAAATAAAGTATTTGAAAAAAAAGGAGGTAAATATGATACATTTACTACTGAGCTGTACAAAGACGTGGACCAAGGTCCACTTGTTGAATTAGGCGCAGTTGACAAAGTATTTGAACTACTTGAACGAGAATCTTCTGAAAATGTTTTATCGTTCGTGCCTTTATTCCGCGAGACCATATTTAAGTTGCAATCTTTGATAAGTCGATACAATAATAAACAATTGGAACACATTCTTTTGTGTGATGCATCAATAAAAATTTGTAAACACTGCGGGGTAATTAGTTGTTCAAAATCTCGAAAGGAATCAGTTGATTGCCAACGATCGTCACCTAGAACTTCGTACTTTCTGAATATGCAGACACTCTCAAGCAATATTAGCAAGAATAAAGATTCAAAAGTTTACAGAGTTATAGAAAAGTTCAGTCCCAGAAAACTACAATCAACGAAGCGCCTTGAAATGCCTTGCGACTTGCAAAAACTGACAGGTTCCACCATTTATAATCGGCATAGGGATAATGCAAAAAATGGTATCTTGACGAAAGAAAATTTAACGTTGAAACAAGAAAATAGATTGACTACAAGTTCGCCTCAACAAGTTCAAATAACGATAGCCGAACGTGAAAATGGCATCGAAACGAAAAAGGCGCGCACTTTACAAAATGTGATAAGTGAAAAACATTCAGAGAGGCGTAAGGTCCAAATGCGCGATAGCACAAAGTCGAATACGGAAACCTTACAAAGCAATATTAACATCTTCCAAATGTCAAAATTACCAATTATTAAAGACGAAAAAATTTCGTTAATAAAATCCAATAAAATTACAAGTAACATTGAAAAGGCTCAGAAAAAACAGCCAAATGAAAACGACATAAAAACTGATAGTGTTGTCAACAAGTTATGTAACAATGCCAAACCTTTTAAGCAGGAACATTGGAACGATTTCGACCAATTCGGCGATAACGTGTTACGCAAAGAACAGGAAAATGTTGTCAGAAGTATCTTATATGAAAAATTGAAAATGGATAAACCTGAATTCGAAGTTTGTACACCGTTGAAAAATCTACAGGATCTAAAAAATAAAGGAAGTCAATCGCTTTATCCTCCTAATATTGATTCAATTATTAATACAATGACGTACTTGGTACATGGTTGCCTCGACCCAGTAGATACGCAGCAAAAGGAATTCGTTTCGCAATTTCATGACAGAAGTTGGTTACAATCCCGAAACTATAACAATAATCATAGTTTCGTTTTACATGCTAGTCGGGACTATAATCCGCAGATAGATCCAACACTTTACGCATACGGTGAATCAAGACATCCAGACGGAACTTCCTTTGAAAATAAATGCGAAGTTTTTGAAAATATTTTAAAACGTGACGGACAGTCCTCTAGTTTTACTTGTCCAATAGAAGATGATTCTTTGGAACATTTAAGCAAAGCGCTTAGTTCACTAGTAAATTCCGATCAAAGTGACACCACAACATTCAGTTCCTCGTCTGCAGAAAACATGATACGCGAATGGATGAAATGTCCGAAAAATCACAGAGAAAACAGTGCTTGTATCGACAGGTGTGAAAAAGCAATTAGCTCGACACCACTTATAATTGGGCGAGATGTTAAACTTCAAACACCAGGGACTAACGATAAGTGCTTGTATTGTTCAGGGACTTCAATTGACAAGCAACGTGATATTCAAACTGATGATTCGCGTAAGCAGAACCATTCATCATTGTCCTCGTCAAACGATCGAGCAAGAATTCATTGTCCAATTGGACAGATTGTGTCGAACATTCCTGGTAATAATTTTAAACCTAAAGAAAAGGTCGAAAGTTTCGGAAGTAAAAAGTTCAGTACGAAACAGATTCTAGGGTCCCTGAAATCAATTAAAGCAGTGAAATCTATGAAATCGAACAACAAGTCGAGTATTAAGTTTCCAACGCTTTCTGATAATAATTCATCGAATAGTTCTGTGGGAAATATCACGCGACGAATTAATTACAACGAATCATCCCTTAGAAATTTAATCGACGGTGAACAAAAACACGGTGACGTGGCGAATACTTTATTTGTTTATAAAAAAATCCTCGAGAACACTGAAGAAATGGACTGGGAAAACTTTCAGCTATTCATCGAGAAATTACACCCAAGCCAGAAGGACCTTTGGCGTAATATTTGCAACATCATTAACAACGAGGCGAAAAGGCTAGCCGATAAAGGCGATGGAGTCACGGAAGTGTGTATAGAAATCAGTTCTGTTCCCCGCCAAGGAACAATGCATGAGGGAAGAACGTGCAGCAACGAGATCGTGTTCGAGATGGACATGACGCTTAGAGACGTCGAGAGGTTTCTCGATAGGAAGCTGGCTTCTACGGAGAAAAGGCAACTTGACACCCTCAAGAGAGCCAGTGAAGTTATTAGAGTTCGAAATGATGACGTCTGCAATAGTGGAGTCTCCAATTAAACTAAGTAGACAATTTTCGGTACTACAGTGATCCCTTGATGAATGCGACACGAGCAACAACGTTATTCCCATCATTGGGAGATCCCCCTCTGGTATCAATCAAAACAGAATAAACAGAAGCTAAGCAGAGGCTCGACTTCGGGTAATAAACAAATTTATGAGGGGCTGAAAAAGTGGCCCCGGGTATGTCGCACTTATGGAGACATTACTGTAATCATTTCAGCTGTGTGTAACTTTGAGTTACCTTTCTCATACATGGATCATCGTACATTTTTTATATTATTCTTTTGATAGAAAATTATCATTATCCGTAATCTCTGAATTGTATTCGTCGTTATTTAAATACCAAAGCTTATAATAAATTTCTATCAGCACTGAATCTATACGATACCATTGATTCTGAAATTCATTAATTAATTACAGCAGTCACGTAACCCAATTGCAGTGATTTTCTTTCACAGGGGTAATCTCTTTCTTGGGACATAACAAAACGGATAATCGTATTGATCAACGGACTCATTGTACCACAAACAGTGAAACAATGAGACGCATTAGATCATCGTACATTAGTTTATTTCTAGGAGCGTAAGGTAGGCTTCGTGGATAAGTGGGTTGGTAGGGACACGCTGTGGGGAAGGGTGGGTCGCTCCTGGTAGCGTAGGGTTGGTCCAGCAAGCAGATTCCTGGGCTGATCGATGGAACGACCGGCGCATTGGATTTTGCGAGAGTAGCGCGCGCATTCCCATCTTTTCCAACAGCATTACGTTCCCCGTGTCTTTCAGTTACTCACGATCCTGCCGTGGTGGTGCATCCACCGTTCGTGGAGTGCATACCTGCTAACGAGAACGATGCAACTGTGTCACTAGGCCGAGTGACACGTGATCTTGTCCTTGCAGAGTGCTGGTTTTCCTTGCATCTGTGGCGACGTTGCATAATCATACCGAAAACGCTATTTCCGAATTATCAAGCAACTCGGAGCAGTGTGTGAACGATTTCTCCGAAGAAAAAAATACTCTTGCTGAATTCACCCCTATAATACTTACCTAAATCGTAGCACAAGAAAGGTAAGGTTGCATAGGCCCGAAACGGAGTTCCATTTTCGATTAAATGGGAAACAATCTCTTGCAATAATGACGGACAATTGATTTATCGGATGACAGGGTGGGTTATCGAAGCGTGTACGTTGAAACGCAAAATCAACCGGTTGATGTCGTTAAGAACTGAACGGAAGTGCATTTACTATTGCCAGGTGAAACACGTGGCATGGAGAATGTATAATTATTGATAAAATTTCATTCGATCGTATGGTAGGATTTTCTTTCTTTCTTCCTTAGCTTTTTTTTTTTTAAATATGTAATGTAAAGATTACACATGGTTTTAGGAACTTATATTGGAAACATGGATAAACGACGATCCGTCGATGGGAATCTGCACGAGCAGGTTTTGCCTATTCCAGTTCAGATGTTCCTTTGGCAACAGTTGAGGTACAATATTGCTTTCGTCAAGGCATTTCATTTCTGTGCCTACACTTAAACTAATTAATTTTCATTGCTTAAAAAGTATTGTATTTCTTTCAAAATCATGATTCGTTATATTACAAGTACCTATTATTGGTGCGTTCGTTAAAAAAAATTAAACTGAATTGTCATAGACGGGTATTCGAGTGTTGTTAAGTATTATAAAATTGAGTCAATATTTTACTGGGTTTTATTAAGTATTTATGCAACAGTGTTTCAAAGAATAATTTTTTACGCATCTATGTTTACATAATTTGTCTACGGATGCGGACGTATTAATGGATATTCTTCATTGTAGGCGATCTTTCAGTCAGTAATGATCTTTTTTCAAGTCTATTTTAAACCTACGATAGAAAAATTGATTAATTCATAGGCCCTGAAATTTTGTCAAAGTTGATACAACCGTGTTGGTTACAATGAAATTGTAATGTCAACCATGATTCGATAATTATATTGAAATTTGTAATTAAACTTTAGTCCTAAATCTGAAATGTTATCAGAAATAATTTCTTATATCTTTTAAATCTTATTATTCTTCAAACAGTCAATTAATTAGAATAATTCTGATATATTTTATTCACAGTTGTGTTAACGACTATATTTATGATTACAGGCCATTCATACGTGCGAAATTAGGCAAGCTGCACGAGGCTTCATGCACGGTAAAAATTTATACTCTTACCTTTGTAGATAATTCCTGACAAGGGAAGGTTACGAACCCGAAAATTCTGATTTTAATGAAACTCCATTATGTACTCTGAAGGGGTGAAATCGACCCGTAAAGTTTTCGCGTTTTTTCATTTTCTTAATATAACTTTGCAGCGGTGTGAGACAGAACAGAATTTCAAATATATACCTTGTTCAATATTCTACGGTCCGTCATGCTGCCGAAAGAAACATTTTATTTATCATAACTTCTATATTTAAGATATACATATATGTATATAGATATTTCTATATCTTAAAATATTTCATATTTTAAAAAATATGAAAGAACGGGTTTATATGTTGAAAAAGTATACAAGGATTTCATGTAGTGCAAAATTCATTATCAACCGTATTCTATAAACTCATTGTTTTCCGATACCCATCCTCCATGTGCACTAACAAAGTAATCTCTTCCACGTTGCCGCCTCTACGTGCCACCTGCAGTTCTGTCAAAACGCGCCAGGCCATCATGTAAGTTCGCTAAGCTTGATGCCTGATGTTTCCCATGTTTGCAAATTTATTCGCGCAGTTATACATATAATTATACATTAATTAAATTCCCGAACTTTATGAGTAAACTTTGCACATTATATACCGAGATAATTATTTTATCTTCCGTAAATAGTAATAATTTTAGAGAGTACTGTAAATAATTTAAATACCAACGTGTACGTAGTTTTATTAATAATGTGACGTAATAATACATTGATTGTTGCTTTCTGCATTTCGTATTATTTTGAAATCTTAATTTTACTGTGTTTTAAAGAATTGTGTACTAATTGTAATTATCTAAAATCTAATGCTTACGTAGGAGACCAAGGAAGCGTGTACGGTTAGTATTTTTCTTATCTCGCTATTACAAGAAAATCATTTAATCGATACAGATTTTCCGTGTGCTATATATGAAAATTTTCAAACGGTATATTATGAGCCAATTAAGTTTCAAATTAATATTAGGTACTTTTTTAAAACGAATGAAACGTATACAAATTTATAGTTCCTTATTGAAGAAGACGAAAAGAGTGGTAGTTAATCGTTAATAGGGTGACAGACGGTAGTATTACCTGTGTCGTGAAGAACCTAAATGAGGCTGAAAATAAAAGTCTTACACATTATTGTTTATAAGCGTATATTAAGTTGAACGTAAGAACACGGTATAATTGTGTACCGTAGATTTTATGGAAACTATTGCAACAGAAAATTTGAAAATTTTTCTAACTGATAGTTTAGAACCTGTATCAGAATCATCTATGAATGGTAATGCAAATTTTCACAATCACATTTACAGAAATAATATATAATTTCATAATAAAATTCTTATGATGTCAAAGTTCGATCGAAACAATTGATTTTATTAAAAAGTGAATATTTTAAATGGCCTTCGATCTTGCAGTCACTCGAGAAGGTGTTCTTCTGCACAATAGGTGAGTTTGCTTTTGTACCTTCTTTTTGAAAATTTTTCTCACTTCTTGGATATATGAAAATTGCTTTTATTAATCTTTAAGGAAGGATTTTCAAACGCTCGGTGCTATAGAAACGACGCTCCTTTACATTCTTCATTGGATACTTCTCGATGCAGCCGAAGAATGTGCTGAGACCGAGACCGAGGCCGGAAATCCATTTTATTATTTATTCTCTATACCTACAATGACTGTAAGTAATTTTTCATTCGTTCAGTAATGCAGCACGAGTCTGTTTAGTCCATTAATTTACCTTGGTACCATTCCACGTGAATTCGGACACATTTTGGATTAACATTTAGGATTTTGTTGAAACTTGAATATGTGCTAGTCTTTAATGATATAAAAAAATATCTCCAAGGATTTTTACACGATTTTGCACGATATTAATTGTACAGACTGCGTCGGGGAGAATATATATTTGTATAATGTATTTTTACTTTCAATAGCTATTTGTCTATTTGTTTGCACCTTTGTGCAATCATCTAAAAGACATCGACTTCAAAACGAATTTGCGGCTGGAAAACGGCTTGAAAATATGGTCGGCCATGTGTGAATGTCGTCACCCCGACACACCTTGCTTCACTACTCACTGTCGAATTAAACCACAGGCGTTATGGAACCGATCTTTTAAATATTCTAAGCAGCATCAAATGTCTGATGATGTATTCGTGGGAGGGAGTAAGTTTCTTTTATTTTTTCTTTGTATTTATTATGTTATATCAATATTTTACTAAACATATCAAAATATGGTAGTATTGTACTTGCAGTGATACTATACTTGTAATCTAAAAGTTTTAGTAGAACTTACCCTGAACTTTTTATCACCACATCGAACAATTATCTAATTTAATATGAACGATCGTAATTAAATATTTGGCATTCATATATTTTAAATAAATTTATTACACACTGTTCAGATATCGAAAGTCCACCCAGTCAATCAGTTAGTGCTTTTTCGGACCAAAGTGCTGATAAACCTTCATCAACCAAGCAACCCGATGATGATGTAAGTAAATAAAAATTGATAACAGAATTGAAAATAGAATAGATTTGTTGGAAATAAATAAGTGCAATACTAACAAATAATTCTGAATATTGATTAAGAATGGCCTAATCGTTTACAAAAATACGATTTTCAACATTCATTCAGCACGCATGCAATCGATTACAATTTGTTGAATATACATATATATGTTCAGAAATAGTTATTCTTATTTATAATGTTCTCAAAAACGAAAAAGTATAAAAAAATTGTATTCTTCATTTTTTACATATATTTGTATTTGAAAGATAAATTTTAAACGATATCATTATATTGTTAAAATATTACGAAAAATGTAAGCACAAGCTAAATTATATTTCCATATATCTAAGATACATTTCCAGTTGCTCTATTTTATACATAAAATGTCTTCTCCAAACATTCTATTCAAAAATTTACTTTTGCGATTCGATGAACAATATGTATACATATTAACCATTATTATTTAAAAATAAATCACTTTGCACACGTAAATAGAATTTATTTCATTGTTAGAATACTTGGGTGTCATCTCCGAAGGAAACTATATTTCCTGAAACCATCCCCGAAGAAAGTTCTGGTGCCGAGGACGAGCATGTAGTGAGTATATACGACTATGTAACTATTTATAATCAACATCAAACGTTTTGATAGATAAAATAATAAAATTTATCTATTAGGTTATCTTCAGGTTACCGTCTCTCAGCGAATCAGAAAAGGCGATGGACGGGGTAAAAATCGCTTGTAATTATGACATACAGTGATTCCTCGATGAATGCGACATAAGCAACGACGTTATTTCCACTACTGGAGGGGATTACCCTCTGGAATCAATCAAAACAGAGTAAACAGAATCTAAAAATTTACGAAGGTCTGAAAATCTTTCCGCCTTGCCATGAATGCTCCGAAGCGGACTCGAGTATGTCGCACTCATCGACACATTACTGTATAATGATAACACCGATTATTAAACATGTGATTCTTTCATTATTTTAGGGCGAAGGTAGCATCTTTCACGTAGCCATGGGCCGAACGAATGATTTTTCCAAATCTACATTAACAATCGAACAGGTCACAGCGATTTCAGGACTAGACACTTGCAGACACTATCAGGAAAAATCTGTGAACATGGGGTTAGTTGACTGTTTCTGTAGGCTTCTTTAATTAGCTTCGATTTAACAAGGTGTAAAGAAAAATTATTCTATGAACAGAGGTACAGAGAAGGATAAGACAGACAAATATCATAAAACGGACAAAGAATCGCAAGATACTTTGAAAACGAAAGCATCAGGGACGCAAAAGGTTGATCCTAGCGATTCTAGTACCGCAGGGCCCATAAGCAGTGCCGCTGTTGATGTGGACATTCGATCTGCCACATTTCTCGATGTAGCTGCTCTTAGGTGCCTTTTCGTTCCTCAGTGGCAAGAGGAAGGAGTTCATTGGGCTTTACAATTTTTATATCATCGGTAATTATATCAAACATATCCTTGTTTTCTTTTGATATTTGAAATACATCCGAGATACAAGATAAAATTACAAATGGAAAGGAAAGTTTCTTTGTTCGTCCTCGTGCATTTTTCATGGGTTTCAAGATATAAGGCTTTATCAACAAATTAAAAAAAAAGTGCACGTTTTAACATAAACCCATACATCTTGCAGCTACCCAGAAATCTTAATTTCCCAGGTTGGAATTCTTTTTTTATACTATAATACTGTCGACATACTTTTGGCAGATTACGAATGATCAACGAAGAAACGTCAGTACAACAGATGCCACGTCGTCGCAGCAATTCCTTACCCATACCAAAAATTGAGGTGTCTATTTATCAAAGTCCCGAAAGTAAAAAGAAAGACGTACCCAAGGATTTTATAGAGGTACCAGACGTTCGGGAGGTCACTTTATTAACTGGTACGCGTGAACTTCATTTTGTAGGTGTAAAAGGGAGATGTTCCTTTCTGTTTGACAAATTATCTCCGCAGGTCACGACTGTGAAACAAATCATACAAGACGAGGCAGTGAAAAGAAAAGACGAATGAAAATGGCTGACCTTAAGGCGTTTGTTGAAACAAAATTGTTGTCTAAATCCGAAAAAGCACTTGAGAAAATTGGCCAAGACGAACCGAAAATGCTGTTTGAACAGGTGATTGGTCAGATTATATTACTTAAACAAATTAATATCGGAATTATCCTAAAAATTGCTGTAAGAAACTATGGAAGAATGGAACGGCGGGAAAGGGTGTAGCCAAATAAGGGCGTCAAAAGTGCCATTAGACCGAATTAAACTTGCGATGGAACATTCGATAGCTTATCAAGAAAAAGCAATTTGTACTAATTTTCAATACTCAGTCTTAACCAGGAGGGTAGTAATTGGGAAAACCGTGGAAAGTGTGGAGTATGGTGGGTAGGAAAATCCGATTATGAAGAGGTCAATTATAGGGAGGGAAAGACTGTACTTTTTAAAACATGTATACAATCATAATTTAATGTACAATTTTTGTCACAGGATACACATCGAAGTCTTGATATAGGGGACGATCATTTAACGAGACCCACATCAACCGCTTCGAAAATCTTTGAAGCAAAGGATGTTGATCATATCAAACACCCCACGAATTTAATAAAAGGGAAAAGCATGCCGAGTCTAAGGTATGTATCACAATTTACGGATAGCGTAATATGTATACTTAAAGTATTTTTCTTCGTGGAACTTCTTCTTTCATTTCAATTTTCTCTTGTTCATTCGTACTTACATACATACACGTGTGTTCTCATATAGTCTACTATATATTTAGCACTATTGTTCTTTTAATTTGCATTGTCGTATTTATTACCAATGCTTCGGTTAAATTTTTTTACGATTATTTATGCAAACTTTAAACCTTTCAATAATAAGAGATGTACTGAGAATTCATGTGTATGTACGTACTCGTGGATTTTCAGTAGAATAGTAACTAACTTAAAAAATAAAGTTGAAACAAGTCCATGTAAAGAAGGATGTAGTATGCTTAAGCTGTATGCAATCAAGAATAAGCGTTTCGTTACACCGACAATGCTTATTTTGTAACTTAGTATATTATCAGTGTTGGGTAGCGGCAACATTTATAATACACTTATTTTTGCACAAATATAGTATTTATCGTATACTTTTAATAAGAATTTGATCGGTTATTTACATTTTGACATTATCTAGTTACATGTGGTGCAGTATTATTAATATATCAATCTTTCTACCCTATGCTTACAATTATTGTAAATAACTGAAACTTTAGATGCCGTTAATTACTGTCGTACGCCTTAAAAAGTTTAATTGTTAATTCAGGTTTAAAGTGATGCATATAAATAAACAGATAATCCAGTGATTCTGTTAATTTAAGAAATGCCATTTATCTAGATTAGTGTTCTTCCTATGTTAAATTCGTAGATAAAGTAATATAAGCTTATCTTATTTATTGAATTATTTCGTGAATATTATTAGCACGATTACTTAAATATATGTAAGAATAATATAACTGTATTCTCATTAGAAATTTGGTTTCAAAATTAGAAATATTTTTCAGCTAATTTCTATGAAAAAATACTTTCTGTACAAGCATTTCGTTGGAGTATTGTATTTATAATCTATGCATTTTATAATCTTGTATTACTGTTTCGAAGTTCATAGATCTGTAAGATATACGCGAGTTTTTCACCCAACACTGACAGTTACTTAAAATTTTAACGGAAAACTTTGTGTAAAGTTTCTAAAAAGCCTGTTATGCTAATGAACACGCAGGTTCTTCATAATAATAATAATCGAAGGATTATGTGTCGTTTTTTCGCCTAAAATTTGTTTGAAAATCAGTGCGTTTTCAATAATTTCACACGATTACAAATACTACACCTTGAACTTAAAACATAAGATACCTGTCTGTTGCAGTACCACTATACATATGTATGTATATCTTACAAAAGAGGTATCATATTTGACACACTAATGCTTTGTGATGAACTATACTTTTACATGGCGCATATAAAAATGGATAATGCAAATTCTGCATACTCCCACTTTTTATCGATTCATTATTTCGCTATGTTATCCCAAAAACATAATTGATTTAATAATTGGTGCATATCTACTTTATATTATACATATTATACTGAAAGAGCATTAACCCTCTACTGCCGAAGGACCATACTTCTGCCGATGGACGTAAAGTCGTGAAATTTACGAGATTCTCGAACTTTTACGTTATTTATGCATTAATATTTGTATCTTACATATACATGATTCTTGACAATTCTTTTTACTGTTTTATTTTAATTATACATTTTCTTTATCAATGTCACAGAGTAGAGTTTACCCTTAATTAGAAACCTTATGTATTATGTAAAAACACATACATAATGACCTTTTGTGTCAGGGCACAAAGTGACTACATATATACTGTATAACTTTACACTTTACATAATTCGTTTAAACTGTGTTCAATTATCGTGTCGAGTGTACGCTTACCACTTACTTCGTAGAAACAAATTTTTAGACGGAAAAACGTTGCAGAACTTTGATATCTATCTTTATAAAGCACCTGCATAGTTTCATTCCTGGCTATTTTTCGAGCATTGCATAATTCAATGATGAACATATTCGTTAAAACTTATGCGTAATGTGTTTCTCTATGTGTGTCTTTTCTCTCTCTCTCTCGTTCGCCTTTTCAAACCTGAACTCGTGCTCAGCTGCTTGATTAACGAGCTGACCGCGGGAGGGTAAGTCATCAACGTTACTCGGATGAAATTCCGTACTGCAGCGCGGTTTACACGCTTCTTTTACGAGCTTCCTGCTTCCGGTAGGGCGCACAATTATCCCTGACACGTCACGCCCTAACCACCTCGGCACGTTGCCAAGAACCAACCCTTTAATTTTATCAAGACGTTGGTCCGTTATCAATATTCAGTATCATTAACGAACCACACATTTTACATGTATATAAATCATTCCACTACGTTCTTTGATTTCTCTAAGTAGAAGGGTATAAACACGTAATAACAACAAATTGGAGCAATTTTGGTATACATATTACAACAGTGAAAATTGTATTCATGATTTATAACTTATTTTTTTCACCGTGAATCACCCCCCTGACAGTTCTAGCACCCAATAACCGACCATATTGTATATCGAAGCATCAAATGTCGTTTGGTATAACACGCATTTTAATTGAACGAATTTAAATATTATGTTTATGATATAAAATTTGAGATAACGTACATATACACATGTATATGTATGTAGTGAGATCGTTTGACGCACGCATCGGGCATGCTACGTGGAATGGCAAACGCACCAAAGTAGATAAGGACTTTCTACAACAGACAGTAGTGCTTAGCTAGGATTCACAATGGAAAATAGCATGGACGAATTAACGTAAAATTGTGTTCCATCAAGTTTCTGACCAAGTCTAAATTGTAGGTATATTGGCGATACTCGCATCGAAAGGAAGCAAAGTCGATTTTATAGTCAATCATATACCGCCCCGAATCCTATCATCACCGTCACGGAACATACACCATCTCCATCTCCGGATTATATGAAACGACAAGTAAGAATATATTAATCAAATTTAATCCCTATTTTCTAGTACTACACTATCATTTACACTTCCTTACGTTTTATTTTAAATCTACATGAACCCACAATCTTATACAGTACTAGAAAAGTATTGTTGTCTATTATGCGTACAGGACTATTGGTGACAGTCATTGTTAAAAAAATTCAAAATTTTGATCGATTTCCAATCGTATAGGGAGAAATGCTTTAGGCCCTCGTAAATTCGTTTTTTACCCTCGGCAACAAAGTATGCACTTGACAAGTTCCACGGCCCCCTCCCCTCCCCAGTGGTGGGGATAACGTCTGGACAAGAATCGTGTAGAACAAGCCAGACGATAATCGAGAGGAGCCTGTACGATGTCTTGAGAAATATTGCTGCATCTACTGATTTGAACAAAAGTTATTTTTGACCAATTGACACAAGCATAATCAACTCTAAAAATGCGTACTTACCATCTAATGAATGGAATAACAAATAACGAACGAAACTGCAACGATACTTTCGTACTATCAAACACAATCTTAATCGGGATGAAACATCGTGCACCATATATTTCTTCTTGAGTAACTAAGAGTGTATTCTAATTTATTACAACTTTATTTCCAGGCTTCGATTGATAGTCAATTAGATGTTATCAGTATACGTGGTAGTCGTTTAGATTCCGAAAGGAAACCTAGCCTCACACGATCGCAGACGGATTCAAATATCACTTACGGTAGTGACGAAGTACCGGAAGCACCAGGATCTTCCTGTTACATCACCAAAGAGGGTGATATTGACATACAAGTTGTTTTAAGGGTCAGTTCATCTTCCGTAAATTATATTTAATCTTTTTATGTAACTATTTATACTGACTGTTTCTTTACTATTTTATCAGGCTGTACATTCAGTTGCTTTGCGAGATGGTAACTGTTGCAGTTTGCGAGTATGTGAGAATATTTTGAATTTGGTAGAACTTTTAATGGATATGGGAGTAATGAAGCAATGTCTTCGTGAGGAAATGACTGGCAGTATAGAAGGTACGCTAGAACTCGTTAATAGTTTGTAAAGAAATAATGACATGATATTTCTAAGTTTTACCTATTCGTAAACCTACATTGATATTGTACTGAATGAAATTCATTTATTGTTCACTGTTTAATTCGTCTGAGGTTCAGTTTAAGAAGAATTTAATGACATTGTGGTACAACTTTGAACCATGAAAAATGTTTTAAAATAATCTTCTGCTAATTAGATTGTTCAACAAACATTAATTTTTGTTCAACCTCCTAACCGTTAATAAGTGTTTCTGATAGATTTTTATGTGCTGAATACGAATCTGCAAACCGTTTTTCTGAGAATGTCACTTTTAACTTTCAAGGCGTGCTGTTCTCTTACAGTAACATTTATTCAGTTGCTTTTGACACGACAATATTCTTTGGACTTTCCCGAATAAAATCATGTAAATTGTTGTTATATTATGGGCAGCTAATTCTTCTAGTATGTTATATGCGACGTTGTTATTTACAGAATCGGCAACTATAGCAGAAAAATCAGAAAGCGGAAAGAAGAAGGAATCTTCTGAAAATGAACAGGAATATCGACATAGTGCCACGGGCGAGAACAAATCTATATCGCACAGTCTCCTTATGAGTTGTGTGCTCAGAGTAGTAAAACATTTAGGCTGTCCAAATAGCTGTTCAGAAGGAATACGTGGACAACAGGCTGATTTTTGTCGTTCCCAAGCCCAAACGATCCTCGGCAAGTTACATCGAGCCAGTTCGAAGCAATTTTCACGATTCCTTAAGACAATGGTGCGGGAGCAAACGATACCAGAAATTCTGGAATTCTTTCACGCATTCGTTGGATTCTGCGTGGATCCATGTTCGTTGCTATCTCCACTTAGTGAGTAAATCGAGGGAAACGAAAATAACTCCGTGTGTATTTGTTCGCTTCAAAGCTACTTTAAAAGATATCTTACCTTATTTAAAGTTACTTAATTTTCTTATAACTATATTCATCGAGTTAATTGTATCATTATCATTTACAATCTGACTACATGGAATTTCAAGTGAATAATAGATCAAAATTTCAACTATTAATGCATTAACATTTACATCGCAGTCGCTTCGTTGCCCTTGAAATGCAATCTTTACAGTTTAATCAAGAAACTTTGTTTGGTTGTTTCGTAATAGATCAGAAACGAGGATCAAACAAGTCCCCGGAAGTTGGATCGCAAGCAGGATACATAACAAATTATGGGGTTAATTTGATGGGAGCTGCTATGGTTATAGGAGGTATGTTTGGTAATTCGAATATAAGCGGTCAGGGGACAATGGCAACGGCAGCTTCCACGAATATAGCTGCATCTTACGGCCTCGGTAGCCAGAATACACGTGGCATAGAGGGTCACATTTTTAATTGCGTTTTTAAGCCGCTAGTTACACGTTTCGTAAAGTCCCTGAAGGAGTTAAAGTCTCAAGAAAACATAAGTTTATACTGTGATCTCCGACAATTCATGGCTTATGTGAAAGAAGTTCATGGCGGCATCTTTCGTCGCGTAATTTTAAGCGGAATCATAGATTCTGCGGATCGACCTAACAAACGTTGCAACAGCAATGTTCAAACGACTCGTGTTATCAGGTAAACAAACTTACGAATCAAAATTTGCATTGTATAGATAGATATACAAAGATACAACAGTTTCTAAGTAGTTAATTCTGTATTCTCGATATTAATGTGCTGTCAGTGTACATAACAGGCGGTACTTTATTACAAAACACTAAAATAATTCCAGGCATATACACCAATCAGATTTAGAAGAACACACGGATATCGGGGGTGACACATGTTACACTGTAGACGATAGAGGAACTCGGAAATTTCTTTTTAAGAAACGAAGCACCTCTTCTACTTGTGCAGTATGTATTAATAAATATTGCAACATGAAGTATGTATTAATAATCAAGCAACATGTCGTGCATTTTATATTTTAGAGTCTCCTTGAAACAGAACTGAGCGAAGATAATGCAAAAATTAGCCAAAGTCCTCTAGTGAATTTACGGAAGAAACATTATATCCTCACGCCAAGACAGAGCGAACGTAATTTGGGAATAGAATCCTTAGGTCCTGGAAAAGTTCGGAAATCAACTCGTTTTCAAATTGGTGGTATGGGTATGTATCATTAAAATTAAACAGCAAACATATGAATTAGATATAAATTAAATTATTTACTGGAATTTTTTACTCTAATTTCAGTCAATTGCTTTCGGAAGGAAAATGGTCGAACTGATTCTACTGACAGTCATGAAAGTAGCGAATCACCGACAGATGGTAGTTTCGTTAGACAATCCAGTTTTCACTATGGTCATTATCGTAGTGCGTCCGGATCAGGACATAGGTAGTTCAGCTTTTATTTAAAAGTACCTATGTAGTTAGGCATATTTGCAATTAAAGATAACGTAGAATAATTTTTCAATGTACACATCATTTCGTTTTCCATTTTGTGTTCTTTCTTAACACGTTAAATGTCACAGTTTTTACTCTTGGAACTAAATCATGACAAAATACATTTGTTCGGATCCTCGTTATTAATAATATAAGTATTTATGTGCGTTAACTTAAACATTCATTACTTTCATTGTTATACTACTACCGGTCAGTATATTTATAAAATGTTAACTATTCCGCGTGTTGAAGTTTTAAATTAAATACCCTTCTTTAGAAATATGGAATTTCTTCTAGTAATAATATTTTCTTTTACATATAAGCGTCGGTTTAACTTTCCAAAGGGCGATACGTCGTATGAAAGATCCTCTGACGAAAATCGGCATTGGAAAGAGTAAAAAGAAAGAAAGCCTAGAAGAAGTGCCTGGAAGTTGTAAGTGAATAATAAATACTACAGTTTTTCATTAATATCGAGCATAAACGACGTACTCGAGAATAAAGATTTATTCTACACAGATTTCAGCAGAAGGAATTCGATGGAATCTGGTGAAGCTTCGAGAGAATCTGAATTCGTTGTTTTAAAAGAGAGAAGACTAGTACCTCGTAATGCTATTCACGACGGAATGTTAAGATTCTCGTTCCTACTAGAAACTTGCCAACCAGGCTCGGTTCCCGATCACTACCTAATGGCGGCAATTTTAGATCTTGTAAAATCATTTTACTTTTGGGTAATATTAATCCTAGTGTACTGTTCGGATTGCTTCAATTTGTTACATACTTAAACTTTAAGTTTTAATTCTACTATTTATCAGAGAAGCTTGTAAATTAATATGACACCACTAGTGTACAGGGTGTCAAGAAATTACATGTGGAAGCCATCCGAACCGAATTCTAAATCTTCGGTGTGGTGCAGAATCCGGCTATAGTAGCTGCGATATGTAATTTCTTGAAACCCTGTGCATAAAAACGACCAAGCGATATTTTAGTGTATTCCTTTAGTTCGATTTTACCTTGGACCAAGTTTAATTCAAGGAATAGTAATGCGACAATGTATTGAACAGTGCACGATGGTTATATCAATTTTGTAATATTCCATTGGAGATGGTATTATTAGAATTTTTTAATAATTAATCGTATATAATTGCTGTGCAAATTTCCATTGTAGCCGTATGCACCGGTGGTGGGACGAGCATGTTTATTGTTAGAATGCGCACATTTCGTTCACCTGTGCAATAAGGGACAATGGCCAACTTGGATGAAATTGAATTTTCCTATGTTTCGTCCATCAGTACCTATTAATAGTCAAAATACCTCTACCGTGCTCACCAGAATTCACGTGATGCAGCGCACTGCGGGAAAATTATTTTACCAATGGGCGGAGGTATTCGTCGAGTACCGATATTACTATTTTTACAATGTAGTCAACGAACGAATTACTTGCTTATTTAATGGGAATTCTCTTAGGATACAGAGTTTAGTTCTACTGTTCAGGACATATATAACAAAATATATAAAATGTTTTGCAATGTAAAACAATATCATTATATAGAATAATTAGTTACAGAACTGCCTAAACAATTTTGACAAATTTGATAAAGAGTATTTCGATAATATACAGGGTGGTAATAAAAATGTGGGACAATTTCAGAAGCATAGTTTCTGAGATCTAAAAATCGCGATAATTATTAAATATGTATTTTTCTTGAATCAACTCAATTTAGTCGACTAAATGTAAGTTATAGATCAAAGTACGAAGATGAGCAGAAAGTTTTGTTAATAGAATCTACAGAAAATGGTTTCTTTAACTACTTCTTCCGTTGACGCTACCGTTATTAGTCTTACTAAAACACTCTATTGAATAGTCAAAATCAAACATATATTCAACAGGTGATTGGCGCACGTCTAGAAGAATTGTTGCTCGAGGATAAGCAGAAAATTGATCAACTACTAGCAATGGTTTCCGACGAAAGCAAACAGAGAGACTTAATTATTGAAGACGAGGAAGAAGATTTTCTTGACGAAGGTAGCTCACGATATAAGTAATTACCAGAAAAATAAATTTTTATTTTTCGTTTGTTCTTATTATGCAGATATATTATTTATATAAATATCGGTAAGATGAAGTACTAAGGTCATATTACAAATTTCCATAGATACTAGAAATCCCAATTTCACGTGTACTTAAATATACATTACATAACGTACACACATGTGTTTTTAATACACGTTCAAAACAAAATGATCTCTAATAGGTACGTAGGATGCGGATACAATTGTGCATTTTATCATGAATAAATATCGAGAATACAATGTAAATTTTTCATAACTATGGTCTTGTAACAAAGCAACTCAAATTTAAAAATCTGTCAAATACACATGCATTTGTAGTTGCCATAAGTAGTAACGGTAAATAATAGTCAGACGCGTTACGCGCATCACTAGTAACGTACACACAGCAAATTTTCTAAGTTATTTTTGTGAAAAACAAAGCCATATTTGCTCAAATTTTATTCCAGACTTTTTTCTATTGTTTTTGTCACCTTTTCTAACTACTTAATCTGTTCATAACGAATCATCACCCGTCAACTTGTACCACGTATTTCCTTTCATCCTATACATATGCATATTTTATGCATTTATGTACGTACTTTGAATGAGATTTCGGTATTTAATTTCAGTATTATCTTGATTATAAAGTCTTTTCAGGTTTGCACGTTTCGGTATCGTGAAAGCCCTTTCTAGTATAATTTAATCGAGGGATTATCAGTACCGAAATCATCGAGGCATATAGTATTTTCCGTATTATGCGAATCAATGGTGTATATGTCACTAATATGAAACTGTATTCTAGCCAGTATAAACGGTTATGGATCTCAGTGTCCAGTCGCGCTACGTCTCATCGCCTGTATTCTACTTTTGGAAGTGACAGCGTTTCTAAGGGAGACTTATCAAACTTTACCGAAGTTTAATGAACTTCTAACAAAAGAACATCCGCCACCCAGAGAAACAATTCGACGATGGAGCATGGCACTGTCATCGATGGGTCATTCTCAAACATCAGCCCAAAGCCTCCAATCGATTGTAGGTAAGTATCAATAGCAGTTTCACTCAGAGTAGATGTAGTGGATTATTAGAATCTTCATGTGACACACTCATAAATAATTCTCTAAAAGGAATAATTGTCTAATACATTTTATTTATACGCATTTTCGTGATTTTTAGAAATTTCTTTCAGGTTACAAATGCATTACAACTTCCCTGCTGCTTTATTTTTTGCGTGTTCGGTGCGAGTTCGTTGCACTCATCGAGACATTACTGTATTAACGAAAAAACCAGCCAATGCAGCAGGTCTACTATATGAACCCGGAATAGATAATTCTAAGTTAACAAAAATTTTGTTTTACATATAAATTGAATTTTAAATCTTTAATTTATTTATCTTTTTCTTTTTTACACGATTATTTTAAGTACAAAAATCTCGTCTTTAATCGAAGGTTTTCATTTTGCAGTGCTCAGATTTTTTTAATGGTTTGAGTACTCTGTTAGGATCGTTGTTCACGACTGTGGTCATCTAGAGCACACGTGAGCAACGCGCATTGCAGAACACTCAACTTTCAATACCTTCCGTGAAAACCTTTTTTATAAGTTTCTCTTATTCAAGTATTTCCTACCTTGTCTGTCCTTTACGCCATTTATATCTATTTATTTTCTTCTTTCACCGTGATGTCTTCCAGATGTTTCTTTTTCGTTTCTTGCTATTCCGCTCTATCTCATTTGAAAAAGATTTCTAATTCTACCTATGTCAAGTCTTCATTCTCTTCTCAAATTTTATATATATATATTTTAATTACTTATGATTTAAGTTTAACTAGAAACACACTTGCATTATAGTGAAAATATACTAACAAGGAAAAGGTCAAAAGGAGAAATGCATTTTCTGATCAGTCAGACTTCAAATTGTAGGTCTTACTTTCTAGTTAACGAAACAGTTTCTTTACGGTCGAGACAAATTTCTTGTTTTCATTTAATAGTAAATACCTACTATGAAACTTACTACACACTTTTGAACCATAACATTGTTATAACGCTATACTTTCTAATTAATGAAATTAGAATGCTAAATGCATACAATATTTTTTGGTATGGAAAATTTATTACTATACAGTATAACACTTCTAATGCAAAGTTATATCATCAGTTAGACAATAATTCAATCGTTCAAAGTACGCTTCTACAAGTGTATCAAGTGCCAACTGAGAGACTCAGTACATACCTTGAAATGTTGACTATTAGTTGACCCCTCAAGCGAGCAATTATCTATTGAAAAAATGGCACATGTGGTAATTAATTTAGGTGAACTCGTTGTTTCGTAATGATTTAATACATTTCACTATTAATATATCAATCTATTTAAATTCGCAAAAAAAATATTCGCCATATTTACTCATTTCAGTTAATAAATATAAGTCTTTTCCATTACTGACCTCATAATTTTTAAGTCCAATGGTACGTGTACCGTGTATGCCCACAAAAAGATGTTTTTTAAACAAATAAATAGGACCTACATTTGAAATGTGACTGACTATAAACAGACATTTCAACTTCTGATCTTCTCCTCGTAAGTATTAATGAAGGAACAGTAGATAATTTTGATTCACTTAATCTAATCACTCTGGATTAAATTTTCAGCAGAACGCAAAATTAGTTTTGTTCTTTGCGAACCTGATAACCAATCAGAAGGTAGTAGCAAATCGACTGTTACAATTCAAGGGGAGGATTTCCAGAATGCTGAAAAGGAGAAGGCAAAACGCGTGCAACCACCGCAAGGTCGACCGTTTCTCCTTCGACGCGATACCACGGATAATGCGACCGGTTCTTTTAAAAAAAGAAGTTTGAAACTTCGCCGCGATACCAAGGAAGGCAAAGACATCGAATGCGAGGCCTGTGAGTATCAAAAAGCAAATTTCATATCACACAAAAATTTTCGTAAGATGCATGGTAGCAACAATTTTCAAAGGTTCCTTCACAAATTTTTTTAGGACTTTCCTAATCGTAAAACAAATAATCTGAAATCCGTCAATTTTATGGGTTTGATAGTTCTAGTATTACAAACTCTGTGAAAATAAAATGCTGTTTCCTGTCCATAGCTTTACGTATGTTTTGAAAATAAAGTATATGTATATTTTATCCAGCCTTGAAAACTTGTCTGTAATATAGTCTTGTAATTATTAAATACGAAGATTAATTAATCAGTTGCAGTAAAACGAGCAGATTCCATTCAATCGAAGAGGAAAGTGAGTTCGTTGTCAGACAGGAGTGACACCTCTGAACCTGGTTTCTGCGGTGAAATTAGTGGCGAGGAGTCTCCGGGAATACTGATAGATGATCAACCTCCAGAGAGCCCCAGCGACAGTAATGAAACAGACGAAACAAATAAAAATTTTCCGTGGATGAAAGTCTTGGTGCAATTTGCCAATTCTTTCAACTTCTATTGTTCTCATCAGAACTATTGCCATCCGTATTGTCATCGACGTCAAATGCGAGCCAGTAGTAGATTAATCAAGTCCGTGAAGAAAATTTATGGAGAAAAGTTTGGAATCTTAAATGGCGGAGGGATGTTCGATTTCTATGCTGAGAAGAAGGAAGCGAGCAAGAAGGACAAGCGGGGTCGCAAAGTGTCTGAGCAGACCAGCACTCAAGTTTCACCTGTACGAAGGAAGGACAGCGTAGGAAAAAAATACAAGTAATCTTTATATAAATTATATCTTTTATAATACACATATACACCAAGTGATAAAGACAGGTAATATGTATAAATTTTTCAATTTGGTGTAATGTAGGAGAGAATTCGTACATGTATCTGTGCAAATCCGTGAAAGCATTTGCATAACATCATTTGTACATCTTTAATATTTGATAATACACACACACAGACACAAGCCGTTGAAAAAAGCATGAGCCAATGTAAAGTTTTAGATTTCATTATTTAGAGAATTTTTAACTGACAAGGAGAAGGCACGGATGTGGAAATCGCTTATGTAGTTGGTTTTATAAGTGCTATAAAACTATATAATATAACTAAATTGACTATTATTTATACCAGTGCTTCTTTAAAACTGTTATTCTAAAGCAGGGGTGTCAAACTGGTGACTCGCAACGATTTATATTTTGTACGAATTGAAAATATTTTCAACTTGTCAGCAATTTAAAATTTCTCTACTATGATTGTTCGGCTAAACTGTGAAATTTACCAATAGAAATACTTAAATTATATAAATATATATTAAACGTACCCACGTGAATTCTAATGATTCTAGTGATTGAAATGATTTTGACACCCCTGTTATAAAGTATGTTCTGCACATTGCATAATTCTAATTTTATATTTACAAGTGCAAGAGTAAAATTCGAACGCACTGTTTCAAATGAGTAGTACTTGTCTATACTTCGTGTTCAATTGATTATAACGAAATTTATTTAGCGATTCCTTAAAAACACATACTCTTATCCCTGGTATAGAATTGAGAAAAACATAGATGGGTCTCAATCTGGTCGGTTAACGCAACGGGACTCTTCAAAGGACGTAGCAGACCAAGACTCCGAGAAAGGCATAGAATCATCGAAGAAATCCGGGGAAGACGAAGCAGAAAAGGAAAGTCCAGCAATTTTGAAGTATATCAAGACTCAAGTAAAAAATGTGTTTCATGCACCATTGGCCACGTTGGTGAAGGGAGCTGTAGTAATGACAGAAGAATTGTTCGTGGACGTCTTACCTGTCGCCTGGGAACTCTTGTTGGAATCCAATCAAGAAGTCGCAGCTTCAGCCGCTTCCCTCTTTATAGTCGCAGCCGTACGAGCTCCTAACCAAGCGAGCGAACTGATGCATCATGGTCTCCAACACAGCGTCGCGAGCGTGCGAATAAATGCGATATTACGGTTTCAAGTCCTGTGGAAGCTACGGTATCAAGTATGGCCACGCATGGAAGAAAATGCTCACCTCACCTTCAAGGTCCCTCCGCCAGGAATAGAATTCACTTTGCCTTCCCCGAAAATCGGCATCGAATCCTTGCCCGTTGTCGATCCACCGTGGATGCCCCAAGTGAAAACAAAGGTGGAAGAAGTGACAATCAATCAGGAACATCATGTAAGTCCGCCTTAGGCGTAGAATTAGCGTAACCTGTAGCGTAGACCTAAAATTTTCAGTAGATTAAGTAGTGTTTATTATGACTATTACTTAGAGGTCTCTGGTGACGGCAACGAAAACTCGTAAGAAGCAGCAAACTGAACTCATAAAAAAGGCTTTACAGGCGCAAGACGATAAGAAACGCGAAGAGAGGGAGAACTTTTTGATCACGACTATACCGATTACCGTGCAAGCGGCATACGAACCTAGTCCAGTTGGAGATGACCACGATGAAGGTACATAATCAACGATATAATTGTGGAATCAGGACCATCAGTCCCATTAACCCTTCGTTACATCGGGCGCAATATTTTCGGGCGTACAGTTCACAGTAAGGGGGTTATTTTCTATTTTTGTGTTATAGAATCCTCATTTTTTGTGTGAAACAATTTATTTAACTGTTTTATTAATCATATTACCGTTAATTCCAATATTAGGCTAGAAAGAAAAACACATAACTTAACAGAAAACAGGAAAAGGATTTAAATACTTTCTGTCATTTAGACATTTCAATTGTTTCCTCGATATAAAAACATAAAGGAAAGGGAAAAATTTGAAAGAATTTCTGTTATCGTAGGAAATGTTGGGGACGAAGATGGAGGTGAAACAATCGCCCGGAACACATCTCATCACAGTCAATCTGCACCATCGTTGTTCCCGTCTTCCTTATGTTCTGCGATCGTCCAGATTATTCACTTACTTGACGATGCTGCCGTATCTGACGACGGAAGTGCTGTTTACGAAGTCGCGTATCAGGTAAGAAATTAAATATTTGACTGTTAACCTAATAAATAGCTTCGTCTAATTCGAAAGATTGCCACTGACGATACGATTTGTCGTACGATAATTTGCACGATACGGGACGTGTAACACCATAGACATATATAAACGGAGCATGAACTGAGTGGGGGAGTAAGATTCGCGGTAAGGGGGTGGTTAGTTATAAATCGGGTAACTTCGTTCCTTTTCGGTGCTATTCGGGTATAGAATCACGTTACATACATGTATGCTATGAGAGATGAAAAGAATATACTGTTGCGTGGACGCGGCATGACTTCCGAATAAATAAAGGCAATATTAATAAAAAGGAAGAATTATTTATTTGGAGAGGAGGAGTACTTATCTTAACACGTCTTTTCTATTCTATAGTCGTATCACGACTCTACCCTGTCTCTGGTTTGGCGTTGTTACCAAAACGACGTCGCTAACCTGAAGTCTCTCGCTTTAACATTATACAATACGTGCTACCTATCGGGTAACACGTAACAATACTTATTATACGTTAAAAATTCCGTATGCCATGTAGTTTGTATAGATATATGTATTTAAGAAAATTAATAAATAGTATAAAGTATTAAATAATAGTACGGCACACAGCCCACCAGCCATTAATAACGAGCCGAATCGAGCCGAATGCATCCGAAGCTAACCGACGTATATCTAACGACCGCTGTCTTTTCCCCTCCAATCCTACGGTCCCCTTGCCCAAAGTGGTAGCTTATGCTCCGTCTACACATGTTATGCGTAACACTTGCAACTGTTACGCAGATGGTCGAAGCGACCTGGCTTGCAGGATCAGTCGTACGACAAATCGTATTGTGTTTAACTTAAGTAAATGGTTTGGCAATACTACTATGCTTTGGGACTAGGTAATCTGGAATTGTTTAGTGGAAGATAGCGCATTGTTTCTTCGCTACGTTTTGGAACGTCTTACAAGAGACAAGCAGGAGCTGATGTTTAAAATTTTAAGACATCTAATTCGATTTGTGCCGAAGTTACCGCAACAAGCTGCCTTCGCCTTGTACAATTATATAATCGGATACGTTATGTTCTATGTGCGTTCGCCGCACGAAGAAGGTCAGAAACTAATTGGAACCGCACTGTCTATATTATGGATGGTAATTAAATAAAAATTATTAATTCTTTTAATATTCTGTGATCACAATACGTTAGTGTAAAAGAACATTAACAAGAGTATTCGAAACTTCCATTTTTAAAAATTACCAGAAATATATATATATATGTATGTGAAAAATTTTGATTTTATAGGTAGTACATAGTGTTCATGGAATAATGTTTAAGGATCTGAAACAGATATTAAGAAAAGAACAATGCGATGCTTCGATTTTGTTAACTGCAAACGTTCCATCGGCAAAAAAGATCGTAGTTCACGGGCCTCAAGAGCCGGACGCGGGAGGAATTCCTACGCAATTCCCAGTACAGGAAGATACACAATTCTCTCAAATACTTCGAGAGTCCTTGGAGTTTTTTGGTATAGACGAATCGAAACGTCGGGAATACTTCTTTGTCGACTATAAAACACGTTCGTATTAATTTTTATTACTGTGTATCTATTTATGGACATTGTAATCTATAGCTTTTCCTTCTTGTATACCTAAAGCGAACTATTTAAAATTAATGAATAAATAAACTTACCTGTTGCGAAGTTCGATCGTAATTATATGTACAGTTTCGTTCGAAAAATTTAACTACATATGTAGTACAGTGGATTTTAACTATGTATATTGCTACTGAACATATTGTGAGTACACGAATTCTCTGTCCCATTATGTTGTATTGTTTCCAAATTATACCGAGTTTTGAATACTGACAGGCTACATGTACTCGATTTTATAAGAACTGTTAAAATGCTCCCTTCCGTCTGAATTTCCGCCAAATATTTAAATAATGACTGAATGTGCTAAAGGAATTGTTGTGACTCGCTATAACGTAAAATTAAATTCTTACAGTAAAAAATTATCTACTTATTGTTAGAACTACCTATCAGTCCAATGCTTCATCAATGAAGTACACCGTGATAACAGTTTACTCTCCTGTTCTAGATCAAATCCGCAATCCATCGTCGTACGTTCGAGATTATTACTTTTTTAAGGGCAGATCTCAATTCTCTGAAATCGAAATAGTTCATATGAAGCCAGAAGAAGCATTCAATGCTTTACAACGCCAGGAGCTCATTCATAAGTTTGTCGAAATTGGAAAGGTTTTATTGACTTGGGCGATTTTAAAGAATGTTGACATGGTGGTCCAAAGGGTAGTCTTCCTTCATGAAGAATTAATGAAGTTGCCGTCGTTTCCCAGAAGGGCGCTAGAAGCAGACTTGGATTTGTACAAGGGTGGCGAAATTGGCAGAGTAAGTACCAATAAAAATATAAGTTGATGATACATATTTCATGTAGTGCATGAAAATATCAGGTCTCGCGAGAGTTCGTCCCTTTTTTGAAATCATATACTTCTCGGAAGGAGAGTATCCCAGGTGTCTGCCTCCAATTGCGTTGGTTTTCGATTTGTTTTGTAGGGCGGAAAAATAAGACGTACATGTTATTTTATATCGGCTCGTTTTCATATTTACGGAGTGAAACCATCCCTCACAGTTTCGAACCGGAAGTCTATCTCGAAAATCAGAGGAGATGCACATATACCAATGGAATGAAATCCTCCTTACTTTTCGTCATTACTTAAATTTCAATAAGTTGTAAACTAAAGTTATAAAAAATTTTCTTGTTATAAACAAATTATATTTTTGATAATTTGTTAGCATCATATTATTGTACACAAAAAACCATGAAACTCGTCCATTGAAAGTTTTCCTGTATCTCCTCTGGTTTTTGAGGTAGTACTCACCGGTTCGAAAAACTTTGAGGGATGGTTTCACCCCCTAAATACGAGAACGGGCCCATATAAAAAAATAGATAATTTTAGAAATAGATTGAAAAAATTAGAGATTGAAAAAAATTCCGAATCTTTTTTGCTCGTAAATTCACCTCTTCCTCCGTTGTATCACTCATTGCAAGGCAGCCTGCGCATGTATGTTGGTACAAATTTCTCACCTTATTTTTCGCCCACTGTATCCAACATATTTTCTCTATTCAGGAACTTCTTGGTTTAGACGTAATGCACAAATTTATGTGGGTCAAATTGATCGCAAGAATGTTCGAGGCGATGGCTGGCAATTTCGCTTATTCGGGTGACATACACCTATTCTTGAACGTTTTAAACGGCGCGATAATACTCCATAGTGAGGATTCTTGTATTTTACGTTACGTTGTTGCAACATACATAAATGGAGCGCACAACTTCAAGAACATTTTTTCAACTAATGGATATCTGCTGATTATGCCGACGCTGTTGCAATTATACTCAACTCATCAGACGAACAAATTAGTGACAACCACCGTGGAGTACGCTGTTAAACAATTCTATCTAATGAACCGAAAACCATTTATCCTTCAAATGTTTGGAAGTGTCTCTACAATATTGGACACAGATGAAACCAGCGTTCACGGAGAAGCGCACAAGGTACTCTATTGTATTTGATACACCCAGGGCCGTTGGTGGATCTTTAATTCCAAAATTCACAAATGAGTTGTCAATTTTGTCCAACTATGACTGTCTTTGACTTTAATCAAATCAGAATTTCTAGCTTTTTTCATTAGTTTTCTTTCATAGGGGAAAATACCCCCAGGTCCAAAAAAATAAAAACAAGTCAATTTGTAAGCCATTTCAGTGACAAACACTTACGAAAAATACATCGAAACAAAAACGTTGTACATAGTTACTCGTATAACTTTTTATATACTTTAAGGTTCCTGCCACGTGTCTATTTAACTTGCTATTAAGCTTGGAGACCCCATCACCAGACCCTTTAAATATAGACGAATTGGTTAAAGAAGAAAAGCCTTTGAAAGCTATTGACTTTTGTTATCACGATGAAAATGAAATGGTCAACGTTTTAGATTGCATATCCCTTTGCGTGATGGTAATTGCTTACGCGCCTGATTCTGTTAGGGGACAACAAATGTTGGTATGACGAAACGATTTTACTGAATCAAAAATAAAACTGTTCAAATTTAACGCATGAATATTCAATGAATCAATTTTTATTGATTTTGTAGATTATATTAGAAGCGATACTACCATGTTACGTTCAACAAATCCAATCTTCAACGTATAATAAAGAAGGAAAAACAGAGAAAGAAATAATAAATCAGTTGGCGATCGCTGTTAAAACCTTGGTTAATAATTCAGAAGCGCTAACGAAGTAAGTTGGCTGGTGTCTTTATGCGTATTCAATGATTAACCCCTTAACACGTGCGCTTCCCATCACGGCCCAGGCAACGATTTTTCTTTAGAAAATCAAGTAAAGAAATAATTTTTTAGTAATACTGGTTTATTTGATACAGACACATCTACTGAGAGTGTATACCAAATATGAAGTCAATCAGTCAATTAGAATTTTAGATATCATTTGTTAATTAATATTTGTTTAATTTGTAAAAGTAGTAAGTTATGTTACATTTTATTACTTCATCGCTAAAAATAAATTCTCGATTTATAAAATTATATAGAAGACAAATCATCGTTTACCAGTAAAATAATTAAAAACTTCGAGCATTAAGAGGTTAATTTTGCGTAAAACTTTCTTATTAATCTTATTTTTCGTCAGATATTATAACGGACCGCAAAAATCGAGTCCCGAACATAAAGGATCTAGTCAACGAAACTATGGCAAAGGTCCATATTCACCCGGTTTCGATTTCGAGGATGAACCTCACACTACAAAGTATATAGAGCACTCTAAAGTTCGAAACGTTTACGATCGAGATACCGACGATGCTGAAAGTTGCCATAAAAATGAATTTCGTCGACCGAGGGATACTCTGCTGAACATGGTGGGAGATTTTGTAGCTCGATGCTCGTCTCGGCTGGTAGAGTTAAACAAAAAATCTCAAGACGGAAAAATGATCGAATTATTGGATTCAAAATGTCATATAGTAAGTAATTGCCTATTACCTAAATGTAAAGGAAAATACATACGAGAAAAACTCATTAAGCTTCCACCCCAATTTATAAATATTTACGACTAAAAAACGATGACATTAACGGTAAAGTCGTTACTCTTGATTTCCGTTTTATTTTATTATATGTATAGAATTGATCCCTTTTTTCTGACATCTGTTATCTAACACCATGTGTAGACATCCTCTGAAAACCATATTATAGTTTGCATGCATAAAAACTATAAAAACAAAGAAAAAAATGAGAAAAGGATGCATTAAGAATAATCTTTTCATTTAAAAAGACAGATATTTATTTAATTATGCCTTTTATGGTATAAATACATAGTTCCCACCAAAAATAAAATTTTTGTATAAAGTTAACTTTTATCAATAACTTTTGAATTTTATATTTAACAAAACCGGACGAAATCGATTAATCTTGTAATCAAACTTCATAATTCACCAATAGCGATTAGCAGACATCGCGCACACACTCCTGAAAATATCTCCATACGATCCGGGAACAATGGGTTGCCGTGGTTTAAGAAGATATATGAACGACATTTTACCTTCCACCGAATGGTCCAACGACGATATGCGACCCGCATTGACTATAATTTTAAGGAGGCTTGATAAAACATTTAGCAAAATACATAAGAAAGCCTCTATCCGAAGAAATATAGATTGGACAGCAGCGAGTGATCTCTTGAAAGGAATTTTTGAAACACTATCCAGATGCCCCTACATCGCACATTTTCAGTATTTGAAGACACTACTAAGCACCTGTCAGGTATTCTTTCACGTTTATACAATAGCATGTCGTATTAGGGTCATTCCAAACGAAATCGGACACTTTTTGGAGTAACATTTCAGATTTTGTTGATACTTGGATATGTTGTAGTCTTTAGTGATACATAAACGTATTTCGAAGCATTTTTGAAAATTTTTTAAATTATGGAATTTACTGCTGTTTGAAATAGTGTCAACTTTTTTCCAATAAATCATAACTGTTGAACTAACGAACTGATCAAAACGAGCTTTATAGTTCAGTGCAAATAATTTTTTCTCAATAGACAAAATTATGAATTTAAAAAAAAAACTAGTATTAATGTTAAGTATATACAGGGTGTCTCACCCGATTTTGACATCTTGATTTTCTCGCTATTGTTACTCGTAGCAAAAAATGTTTCAGCGGAGGCTTAAATGGTATCGAGTGGAGTATATTCTGATGTTATTAGTTTTTTCCCGAGTGGACGCGTAAAGGTCATATAAAGGTCAACTTTGTTTTTTTAAATAGAATAAGGTATTATGTCGTCGAATGTTAATAGGTTAATAGGGTAATATGTATGTCGAAAAGTTAGTAGTTTAGGAAATATTTCAATTTAAATAATTCTAAAATACCATTACTGTCGTACTTTATTACCATTCCTGTAAATAAACGCTAATGTCTTAGTACGACAGTAATGCTGTTTTAGAATTATTTAAATTGAAATATCTCCTGAACTACTAACTTTTCGACATACATATTACCTTATTAACCTATTAACATTCGACGACATAATACCACATTCCATTTAAAAAGACAAAGTTCACCAGTGTATGACCTTTACGCGTCTATTCACGAAAAAACTAATAACATCAGAATATGCTCCATTCGATACCATACAAGCCTCCGTTGAAACATTTTTTGCCACGAGTAACAATAGCGAGAAAATCAAGATGTCAAAATCGGGTGAGACACCCTGTATAATATGATTTATTAGAGTCACTATTAAACACTTGTAAATCATCACAAACACGAAACGTGTATTCTAAAGCAATTACATTTCGTTCCGTTGTTAACTGAGAATTTTTATTTTCATATAGTCGTTAATTATTGGAGATACACCAGCGGAAGATATGAATTCAGCTTCGGCGACTACTTTAATAAACAAAATTCCGCCGCAACATTTCTGCTCGACGGTGCTTCGACTGATAGCCCTTCATGTTATATCACTCGGCGAAGGATACTCACTCGAGAACGTATGTGGCGGTCACTCTATATTTGCTACACAAACTCGAACAGAAAATACCCTACTTAACTTATTAATACCTCTGTTCTTACGCGTGGGAACTGGAAGAAAAGGTAAATCATAAGTATTGAATCAAATCCATTTTTCTTCTTTAACTTTATTTCGGTCCAAAGTTCTTCACAGTTAACATCAATCGATTCTACCGTTGAACTTAACGAATATTGTGATATTAAATTGTTTTTTTTTTTATAATTCTCGTTACCTTGCACGAAAGTTATTCATCATATAAATATAATATTAGTAGTTAGCAAAGAAATGTAATTTAAAATGCGATACTTTTGAAAAGTTCACTAATAGATTCAATGGGAAAACGTTTTAGAAATTAAAAAACTACTTTTTATCGAATTAATCCTTTTTTTCAGATGTACCGAAGTTAAGGCAAACGGACATAAATTTTGCCCTGACCGCGGTATTGAACGCACTGTGGCCACCAAGTACAAAGACCGTGCCAATAACCGCCCAAAATTTAAAAACAACAACAGACATGAGAGCGGGTAGTTTAACATTTGTAGCGCGAGATTCAAAGACTTTAACAAAAACGTCATTGACGTTATATCAAGTGGCCTTTTTAGGTAAGAAAATGAACAGATTTTGAGTTTATAAAAAAAAACAGATAGAAATCGTAAGAGTCTTTGCGAATCATTTCGAAATACCTTGTTTGTTTTTCTATAGCTTTGAAGATAATGACGATATGCTTCGAAACGGAATTAAAAACCGAATGGCCGAAAGTATTACGAACAATGCGTTTATTGAACAAACGAAACGAAGCTTCCACCTATCTTTGGAATTTTATAGAATTCGTAGTAACTCATCGAACCGCTTTGTATATTCAAATGCTTCCATTTATCGTGCACAAAATCGGCCAGGCGCCTATTTCGGAACACGAGAGGAACATGCAGAGTATAATACGTGCAAAAATGAATGGTGACACTAAAACGGTACCAACATCTCGTAGTACTCTGTTAACGGATCTTATACACGAACTGAAAGACCTCAAAGAAGAAATAGAAGATCGAAGATTCGGTTAGTAACTTAGACTTTCCAATTCGTGTTACATAAATTAGGTATTCTACGTGTGCACCTTTAATTCTATTGACCAAATATTTATCAATATAAGAAATACTTAATATACCAATTGATATCAGATGAATATAAATAATAACCAATTATTTGTCTCATGTTTAGATGAAATGCAACCCGAACCGAAGAGAAGCGTAGCAGACATGCACCCCGCAAACGAAGGACAACCACGTACCCAGCGGCCATCGTTGCTAATCGATCTTTTGACTGGGGATCACGGATCCAGAACTCATACAAATCGTACGCCTGCAGAGACTCCGATCTCCCATTCCGCAGCTCCGCAGTCAACCCCACATTCGACTCATCAGTCGAATTCGTGCAGCACTATTAAAACGACGCAACCAAGTCTAATATCGGCACCATCAAATGGTATACACGTTGCACGCGGTATGATTCTATTTATATAATTATTTGTAAATTTTAGCAATATTTTTTAAGGACTTTTTATAAAAAAGGGCTTTTTATATTTAGGGTTGAAATTTGGCACACATCTTAACCGTAATGGAGGCCATATTCTCTTAAAATTTCACATCTTTTCGAGTATTAAACAACTGAAAAAAGAGCCTATTTCGACAGTTTCAATTTTTTTGCAACTTAATATGTGGACCGATTTTAACGTACTGTATCTCACTTACTAGGTATTTCTAATACCTACATTTTTCTATTTGACTTCTTTTTCTCTAAAGTCATTACGTTTTCCTCTGCAAGCAAAAGACACGTTTTTCAAACGTTTCCGAATTTTTTTAACAATTTTCCCCAACAATTCATGAGTCACAAACGTATGCATTTCATTTCTATGTACTGACTTCTTGCATGCAGGAACAGAGCTGATTAGAGTTATGTTTTAAAATGGGGGGTTTGAAGTCTAATTCATACTGATTTTAACATTAACTGCTACTTTCAGGATCAATTTCTAGTACAAGCGTGGGTTCATCTACTGTTCGGGAAGCCAGCGAAGTAGGCGCAACTGAACAACATACAGAACAACGACCACCCACAGGTATCGACACTTTTTTTTGAACACCTACCAAATGGTCCCGGACTTTAAGTACTTTCGATGCGACTGCAAGCCTCTCATAAATATTTCGTTGTTTTTCTAAGCGATTGCAAGACGTTTACCACAGTTGGATCGAGCCATTGTCTACAGGACACTGCGACGGAATTTTCAACGTTTTTGCGATACCATTTTCTTTGTATCTACAACGTTTTTATACTTTACGTAACCGAAAGTGAATTGCTTCATTTCAGTCCGTAATAGCGAGGCTTGCGAAAAAATGTTTTCAGTTTTGAATATACAATCCATTTTTTTTTTCGTTTCAGTTAAATATTAGGATTAGCTTGAACTCGGTTTGCATTGCTTATATTTTGTTTTCCACTTGCTATCGTTCGGACCTTCCTGTTCGGGCGTATATTGACACATTGATCATTACGTTGCTTTCATTGCTAGCTAGGGAACGGAGGTAAGCGTATTCTAATGGTAAACTCTGACAAAATCTATGATGATCGTCCTGCTGGTGTGTTCCTTTATCACTAAACTGCGGATGTTTATGCACGTAATATATGCAAAGAATATGACATTTATGCACGTAGAATATGCGTATCTGCACGAGAAATATACAAAACACATGGATAACATGTAAGGGAATCTGTTGTACCTTGGGTACATCTTTTCTTTTTTAAATCCTAAATAATTTACGCACTTTATAAATTCTATATAGTTTACTGATTAATAAGACTGATTAATAATTATAAATGATTAAAGAAAAAACGGTAATTATGTCCGTCGTATAACACCCCCCATAGACCTAGTACGTGATTTTGTTAATTATGTATGAATATATATATTTTGCTTCACAATACTACATACTTATAATATGCGAAGTACTAGGATTATTTAAATCTTTATTCCAAAAACAACTTCGTGTCATTTACTTTTGTATTCTCACAGATTATGTATAAAGTAGTATTGCTAATTTTGCAAAAAAAAATCCACAAACATATAAAATTGGATATAGGACCGTGATAAAATCATGTCCGAGGTACAACAGATTCCCCTACGATATAAATTTCAACTACAGAACACTATCGACAACATTCAATTACCAATTACTTGCAATGAAGGAGATAATATTCTGATATACTATAATTTGTGTTACAGCAAATGCAAGAAAGTTTTCTAAATTTTAAGCTGTCAATTGTTGATATTCTGATTCAGCTCAGTTTTCAGTTTTGGCATTTTTACTTGGAAATTCAAAATACTTATTTAAAATTGCACTTACTTTTGTATGAACTTTCTTCGTCATACCCACCAGATATGCTCCGCGAATAAATAAGTGATGCTGTTTTTAAAAATGCCCACTGTATATACACACACACACACACAAAATTTTATAATCTTCTGGTAAACGAAGAAAATTTCTATCTAGGCTTCATTCTTTTTTCTGTACTTTACAAAAATATTCTCTTGTACGAACATCCGCAGTCTGCTTATCACGTTTCTCCGTATTTTGTATATAATTTTATCATATCTTGGTCACTTTTCTTCTCTTTTGGTGTTCCTCTCAATCATATTTGCTGCTATTAAATTATTATTTCCGTGAACAGAGATTCGATAAATGTTTTGACATATATATGTTACGAACTGGGGCTGCGACGCCGAGAAATGGCGCTTGTTTTAGCATTCGTTAGTAGCGGACAGAAGACTTCATTTAAACATTTCTTCATTTAAAGAATTAATTAATTAAATAATATTTGCGAGTAATGCCAGTGTCCCTATAACTGTCACCTCAACAATTAAAGTAATTCTTATATACTGTAACAATTATAGATTGAATATTAAAAATATGGCTTGTTCTGTAGTATGGTTTCACCATCACTTCCTACTTACGTAGTCGTGTTTTTGACGCTTAAATTGTACTTAATTTTTCAACATTAATTTTTAATTAACAAGTATATAAAGGTACACGTATTTTTGTGTTCTTAAAGTAAAATATTTTTTTAGCACAGTCATTTCTTGGATTTCAAAAAAAAAAGGAAAATAAAAAATTAATGTTGAAAAATAAATGTGCAATTTAACTGATTAATAGTGCAGTTACACTACAGAACATGCCGTAATTTTACTATTCAACCTATATCTGCTGCACAAAATCAATTGTTAAAGTATATAAGAATTACTTTAACTTACGAGGGAATGTTTAGGAATATTAGTAGGGACTAGTAACTGTATAGTTAGATAAACTTCGAGTGGTAAAAGTACATCATTGTGGGTTCGCTGCAAGCTGGGAATTTAGATATTAGATAGAGTCAAAATGTACACCTCTACGTTAATAAAGTATATATCTATAATGCATTACATAAAAGAGGACTTTACAAAATGGTTGGCGTACAGTGTGATCTCGGAAAGTTTAGAATGCTTAACAGTGATTTGATCTATTCTATGGTTAGGATAATGCTCGACTGGGGCAAATACACGATCTTCAAGCGTGTGTTAACATTATTAACCGAAGGCCTTGATTTTTCTAAAAACCGTATTCATCAGAGATTCTAGGGTAAGTGTCGTTCGATCCATCACCGTCCCCTAACCAGAAGACACCCTTGTCTTTGCCACTCCATGGCCAGATTATCCAGGAACAATGACCTCATCTCTAAAGGCTCCCACAGACGATACGATTTGTCGTACAAGTTGTATAACGTACATCTGTTGTACGATTTGTCGTACGACCGTTCACATTCTAAAACCCTATCATAAATCCTCTAAAGGTCAGTGAACGTCAGGACATCCGCCTTAAGCCGTGAAACTTATTGACACTAACACGTGTGTGTCTCCTCTTATACCCGGGAAATAAACTAGGAAATTGGGCGGAAAAAAGTACCGAAGGATACGCCTATTTTTAAATGGAATTGCTTTTCCTGGAAAATCTGACCATGTCATAACACCCCGACAGCAACGACCTTATCTGGACGCATGTATTCCAACTCCCGCGAGGGTTAAACGGTCACGAGAAAAATCTCCATACGTAACATATATGTAAATACGTCAATATCAAATAATATAATGTACAATTAACTTTTTAGTATTTAGTTTACTTAGAGTAACATTCGTTACACGGAACATATGCATCTCATTTTCACGGTATTCTTTACTGGATTATTCTATTATAGTTGTTATTTTCCCGTCACGTTTAGTACGCAATCGTAATCAATTTCTATAGCAGTATTTAGACAATGGTGATGTCCAACAGTTGGTATCCAATTCGTCGTTACATACCCACGTAGATATACTTCATCACGACGTAGTTGCTTCGACTCTCTATTGCTTTCCTTTATTATCTAATCACACAATATCTCTAATCGAAAGCTAATTTCTTCCGTACAGACTAACACAGTAATCCCAATTCATCAACGAAACAAATGTATACATCTCTTTCATGTAAACGTGTGTGTGTTCTGCTTAAATTCACTACATAATTTACATGCTCATGTTACATTTATCGTCTTATTTGATTTTTCAATAATATCATTAACTCAGTAAATTTTCAAATCTATTAAACTCTTCCATAATCGAAGCAACCCCGTGATATTTCCACCGCCCCCCACGAAGAATAATTCCAGAGTATATTCGTTGTCATGTCACCGACCTCATATAAGATGTTCCACGATACTGGGCCAGATTATATCTTTGACGGTTAAATATTTTGAAAAAGTTTTTTGACAGACTTACATTATGTTGATATCTTGGGTACCCCTCAGTTGGTCTGATTGGTTGTTTTCAACATAAGGCCATGTATTGTGAAAGTCTTTTTGACTTTCGTCATGTACATCGCACATGTAGTTATGATACACTTTGCGATATCGCTTTGGACATCCGGCTGTCACAGTCCTGAAACTTTCAGGCTTTCGAAGTATTACTGTAAAATGGGTGGTCTATTTTTTCAATGGTAGCATGACTTTCAATTTACTTTGTATTTTCCGTTTAAACATGTAAATGCCTAGTACTAGTATAAAAATATAAACACCCAAAACCATTTGGCATTATTATCTATTTCTTTCCATCTGATACATTCGTTTCAAAGAGTAGACTGAGCCCGTTAAGTGGAACAACCTATATTCTTATGTATAACTTCGTACTAGCCATATTTAAATCTTTATATTTCTGAAGAACGATACGTAATCGTTATTGTAAACAATAACATCGTCACATGGTCTGTCATATTTGTCGTCTTTCCCTTCATTCTAGACGTTGAATGTGGCATGTTTCAGATAAATCCCAACCACCTTCTACTAGCGATGAACGTAACCATGTTAAGCTTCATCCTATATTAACTCATCAAAAGGCGCCAAAACTGCGCTTTCTCTCTTCTGTAGAATTTAGGCACTCATCAGGTAAATTGCGAGCCCTTGTTCTAAGTAAATATTTTATAGTTGGAGATAATGACGATGTCTACGTTATTGGGAATAGTAGAAATAATGTTAATAATTCAAAGTACCTATATATCCAAATTCTACGTAATCTATAAATAAATGGTTCGTCAGGATATTTTCAGAGACATGTAAGTGTAATGTATACATGCGTGTATATACATATACATATACACATATATATATATACATACACATATACAGGGTGGAGCAATAACTATGTCCACTTTGAATATTGCTGTTATTTGTAATAATATGAAAAAATGTTATATACAAAACTTACACGGTATAGAGGAGGGCATATTGTGACACAAACATTTTCTGCGTGGATGAAGGCATAGAGGAGATTTCAAGGTCAACTCTATTTTTTTTAATGGAATGCTATGTTTTTTTTATCGCGATGTAATAGTCGGTGTTGAGACGACTTCAACAAGCTGTCATTGAAGGTCATGCAAGGTCAAATGTGGTAGTAAAATAAACTTTCTTACATTACAGGAGATGCTCGAAATGGTGACCGTTTGCGTCAATGCAAAGTTGCAATCTTCGTATCGCTGGTTCGTATAGCATGTGCTAGAATAAGTTCAGAAACGATAAAACATGCACGTGATGCAGCGATACGAAGATTGCAACTTTGCATTGGCACAAACGGTCACCACTTCGAGCATCTCCTATAATGTAAGGAAGTTTATTTTGCTACCACATTTGACCTTGCATGACCTTCAATGATAGCTCGCTGAAGTCGTCTTAACACCGGCTATCACATGGCGATAAAAAAAACATAGCATTCCATTAAAACAAATAGAGATGACCTTGAAATCTCCTCTATGGCTTCATCCACGCAGAAAATGTTTGTGTCACCATATGCCCCCCTCTACATATACCATGTAAGTTTTGTATATATCCTTCATTGCGACTCATATTTCCATTAATTTTTACTAATTGTTTAATTCATCACATAATAATATATAGGGTGCACCTTTCATGCCAACCAGACTACATATTTCGTCAAGAAGCTATAAAAAAGTGATTGATTTAGAAAGATAGATATAGCCTTAATTCCGAATTATTCCTTTATAACCAATATTCTTTAATTATCAAGTACCCGCTTTAGTATTACCTTTTTCAAGGATTTCCTACAATTGATTATATCCACTAGATTTTTAAAACCCTAAGAAAGTGTGACTTCTAAAATATTAATTAAATATTACTCTCCTAAAGAACATTATGACAATGTCGTACTTAATAATTTCTATCCCATTTGTGATATTTATCTACACGACCATGCATTAAGCAATAATCTAATTTGAAAACATTTTACTCAACAAATAACACAACTAAGCTAAAAAATACGTAATATGCACCTTAACATTTCTAAAATACTCGTTACGTGATTATTTTTTATGCAGAGTTGTGTTATAAAATAAGTAGAAACTACCAAACACTGATCTGTAAATTAGATAAAAAGCAATCATTGTTAAAGAGGAACTTCTTCACTGTAGACATAGTGCGATGGTAAAATAATCATAGCTCGCGGAAGATTGTTTGTTCCCTAACAGTTCAAGAATCGCATCGGTTTCGAAATTAGTAATTTCGTAAGAGAAGCATGGATAGATTGTACAGTGAAGAGTGTTAATATTAAAAAGGGAACTAATCAAATATTGTTTTGATAGGAGTGACCATGATGAGTCAGCTCAGTCCAACCAGCCCAAACGAGGACAGTTCAGGCGAATCCCGTCCAGACAAACCTCGATTACAACGCTCTATGGGCCAAAGCAAGAAGACATTCCGATTGAGAAAGAGTCGAAGAACACACATTGAAGTAAGACTAAAATATTTGAAAAATGAACATTAACAATACCATGCCATAATGCTAAAATATTTTTCATGGTATATTTTTTTATTTATATACCTAAGTCAAATTACATATATGTATTAGACGTATTAGATACCAGATTTCTGGATACTACATTGGATTTCCATATGCAGGTGCCACAACTGAAACAAGAACAAAGTGAAGGATCTTCAATTGCACGACTAACGACTCAACCCGTAGTTCTAACGCCACCAACGTCGGCAATGGAACCATCAACTTTTAACATTCCTTCAGACTCATCATCCATTCGTTCAAGACGAAGTTCATCTATTCGTCAATCAGATTGTGAAAGAAGCAATATTGCGCCAAACGATCAACAACAAGTTCACAGTAACATTCATCACCATCATCATTATTCGCACCACCATCATTACCACCTTAGCCTTCAAACTTCGGATGTCTCATGGGATGAAGATACATCTAGTACATCAGGTTACCGTGAATCATATAGTATGCAACTGGTATCGTTAGAAAGCAGCAACAATAATAATAGTCAGGTCCAAGCACCGCCATTGGCGTCACCAGACTTAAACGACATGCCATCGACAAGTAGTACTACGACGAACGTTATAGCTTTCGATGGTAGCTCACCAGATTGTTCTATCAATGGAAGTGGAGGAGAAAAAACCGCTCTATTGACTTCTAGTCAAAGAACAACCTCTCAACATTCACTACTAATAGTATTTCCAAATCAGGATGAAGACACCCTGATATAGATCATCAACAAACACAGTCAGTGTTTCTTTTTGTTATGAGACTGATTTAGGCAGTACTAACCTCTAATTGCTAACTGGTAAAACTTACAAATAGTGTACTCCAAAGTGATGTCTCAAATTTGGTTAAAACTTTTCTCAGTTAAAGTATACACTACACACAGACAAAATCTGTGAGCTTTCTGCGAAATAGACCTTCGTTTTTGAGAAAATGAATTGTGTCCGTTCCGTGCGAGAACCGACCCTCGCTCTGTCTCTGCCATACATACAGCTAGCGGCTCTTAAACGACAAAGCAGGCAGATTGCCTTTCTACCCTAGCAACGAGAGAATCACCCTGTATATATCACTTTAATATTATTAATTTTTATTTTGCTAGTGAGTTTATAATGTTTTCTTTTCCAAAATGTGTAATTATTATCCAGTGTATAAAACGAGGGTGCTATTTCCTTTCCCTAAGTGATTAAAACTGGAAGGCATAAATTACGTTAGCAATTAAAGGTTCAGTGGAAATGTAATACATATACAGGAATCTCGAGTGGTAATGTAGAGCAACTGCGAATTAATAAAACGATATAACACGGTGTTCAAAGTTTTTATTAATATTTTCTATTGACCGGAAAGACCAATTACAGATACATATCTTCAAAGCCTATGTAGTCATGTGGTTAATAAATACTTTGTAATGGTTAAAAACTGTAGTGAAATTATGACCACTTGGGCAAGGAGGCCTACATATTTCTATGAAACAATTCCCTGTAAAAGCAAGTGCATTTGAAATAAACATAATGTATGAGAATTAAGATGAAAGTCTGTCTATATGTATATGTTTGCATATCGCTGCTTGGGATTGATAGTGGCACAACTCAAAAAATGAAGGGTTCAGTGGAAAACGGGCATATGCCACAATACTATAAGTTTATAGTATCTATACGCATCTATAAGTTTAAAGTATCTTCTATACGCCCCCAGTGGCAGACATCGTTGACGACGCGCTTCATGCCGAATACATGCAGCGACAAAAACGCGACACTGAAGCATATGTGGACACACGTCCATTGTTTTACATTGGTCGCTTCATGGAAGCGTCCTGCAAGTGTCAAATGTCTATGAAGCGTCTATGACAAGTAGGTCTTAGATTCCCAAATTTAAAACTTGCATTGTTTGTTTCTACTCGTTGAATACTACCAGGAGGTATAAAAAAAAGTCAATGTTTTCGGTCCGGCAAAGTAAAGAATTATTTTTTTCCTTGAACCAATTCCAACCAACTCCGATAATGCTCCGAAAAACAACCTATGTAATTAAGTGTAAAAAGGTTATACAGGGTTGTAATAAAATTATAACCCCCAGGGGAACAATAAATTATTTACTACTGTTTACTATTTCTGAAACAAAAAATCATTCTTTTCTCACTTTAAATTTCTGTTGTTTACATAAAGAATGAAACGCTTCAAAATGAGTTTTATTGTGCATTAACTATGGAAAACGACAATACATTCCAGATATATATATATATAGACTTATATTTTATTTTACAATACCTGGTAATATTGACAATGTGTACACATTATTATTTTGCTTTACAGCTAATACTAATCTAAATGAAACTTATGTAATGATATGCTTCATTAACTGTCATATAAAAATTGTCCTCTGCGACCATGCAAAAGTGTGCATTTTATTCAACATTCGAAAGGCAACAAAATTACACAGGTACGTGAAAATACATTGTTTACAGAATAATACGCATTAGGAAAACAAGTTTCAAGTGTTTTTTTGTTGCTCTAGATACCTATCAAAAGTGGCTTTAGACTGAATTGGACATGTATTGTACTACTTTATAGCTTACAAAGAAAAAGCGGTGTGTAATGCTTGAAACTCAGTTTTTCCATTTCTTGATTGAGTTTGTTATGAAAAATTACAAACGCTAAAAAATGCTGAACAGTGCAGCTTTCTTATTAAAGTTTTAACCCTCACTTGTCACACTGAATATGGCATACCCAGTTATTTGTTAAGGCTAATGTAAATACAGCTGTGTAAAATATGGTTTATTGTTCCTCTTACATTCTTTTCTTTAAAATAGAAATTAATTAAAAAACTTACTATTTGTACAAGAAAGTTCTTGGGTATCTTGGAAGGGCCACCCTAATATATCATACCTGATGTGACAAGAATGTGACTCTGAGGAGGTGTAACAATCTCACAAGTGAGGGTTAAAGACGCTAGATATATCTATTTACAATAACAATATATTATCACAAGTATTGTCGTAAATTTTTGGGAGATTTCTTGGTAAATTGGAGATTATGAGAAAAAGTGTTGAAATTGATACAAACTGTTTCGCCTTAGTAAGCTATTGAATGCTCCATCACAAGTACAATTCGGTCTAAGGGGACTTTTGACCCTCTTATTCGGCTATATCCCTTGAAATTTTTAAAAAGACAGTGATATGTGAACAGATCAATAATTAATATGAGCATGTACAAATAAGTAATATCATTTACACCTAAACTCGTGCGGTTGCATGTTAATAAAAAATAAATTAACGAAGTAACGTAATGATGATTAAAATTTACCTCAGTACATATGTATATGATATAAGCATGGATATTTTATTAAATAACGCTTAGATCAACGAATTTTTGCAAGTAATATCATCCTTTCTGAAAGTGCTGCGTTATTGCAACTGTCCCTTTTCATAAGTACAGTAACCCCGCGTTGAAAGCAACACAATAACGAATCGATGAATCCTACATCGTCATCCCCACCACTGGGGAAGGGGGCCGTGGAACTTGTCAAGCGCTTCATTTTTTGCCCGACGTGCCGCAGCGGCTTCCGTTTCACGAGCCGAGGGCTGAACGAGAGAAGATCAAGAAAAGATTACATACCCGGGAATCGGGTAGTACGACACTAATGTTACGATGAAACTTTTTTATTTTTGGTTCTTTGTTAATGAAACTTTCATTAACATATTGGTGAGATTATTCTGATTTAATCGATACCAAACACGGTATAATTTAAAACATATTTACTTATGTAGAAGATGTTAAAAATTCATATTCTTTTATGATTGCATCTGATAAAGTACAAACGTAAAAAAATGTTGGAGCCTTTGTTTCTTGTGTACAAAGGTGTCAGAAAGATTTAAAATGGTACAATATTGAATGTCGGAAGGAAAAAAAATAAACGCGTACGTAGGCATACATATACAGTTGCTCACAAAAGTATTCGATCTGTAACAGTTTATCCCGTGTCATACTGGGGCAGAGCGTCAAGTTATCGAACTGTTTATTCCGAGTGAGACTCAGTGCGACTCGGAGTTTTAAGAAACGAACTGTGTGTCGTGTTTCCCCGTGTGCTATAGCGCTATAGCCAGCCTGTGCATTAATCAAGTCGTCGCTCGCAGTTGAGCCAGAATACGAGATACGAAGAACTGCGAATGGAAAAGAAAGAGAGGTCTACGTGTCGGTGAGACCAATATACTCGGTTACCTTGACTCTGACCTCTCTTTGTTTTGCATTCGCTGTCCTTCGTATCCCGTATTCTGGCTCACCGCGATCGACTGTTACAAGTCGATGCAACACGGTGGATGCGACAAGGGTACGAGGCTATGCTTAGGAACCAGAGAGCTGTCGACGAATCAAATTAAAAGGATCACCTCGATTGGTCGAAACGATACGACAAAGAGCGTACAAGACATACCGAGACCGAGTAAGATAACGCGAGCCACAGGCGGCCACAATATAGTCATTGGCCGGCGAGAGTATCACAGGCGAACCACGCAGTTGAGTCGAGTGGAACCTGAGTTTTCTCTCTGTTTTTCAATCACTTGTCCTTTTCTATGTTCGGAACTGTACAAAGGCAAGCTGTCCAGGCTCGAGTTTCGAGCAAAAAATTACATTGTAAGGTGCTGAAAACGTTTCCACGTCGTGGTGAGTGCAGCGAAGCGGAGCCGAGTTTGTTGCGTTCAACGCGGGATTACTGTATTTCTCTTTTTTACGAATTTAACGATAGCTAAGAAAATGTATTATGATGGCTGTTATTTCAAAAACGATATAGTACGGCGGTTGATATTTTAAGAAAGCTATATTACAATGACAGACATTTCAATGTTACTTAACGTCTGCTTACGCACCCACATTCTCATTCGTAAAGTTATTCTATCGTGTGCTTTCGTGAAACATAGTTATACTACATAAACATGTTATCAGGACATTAAGTCCCGGTGCACACGAGCGGCACGCGTTATTTTGCAGCCAAGTCGATTTAACTCCACGTTTTGACAGTACATTAATATACATATATGAAGCAATTCACACGTGACGCAAAAGGAAAGAAAATGCAAAGTGGACGCAAAGTTGCCAACGAAACCTGTGTCACGAGTGAATTGCTTCCTATAAATTAATTTTACTGCCAAATCGCGACGTCAAATTGATGCAACTGCAAAATGACGTGTGCCGCTCGTATGCACCGAGCCTAAGACGATCGACAATTATTTTTATATATGTAAGTTGCACTCGATGGCACTTCGATAAAACATTAGGTGGTTGTTTATTCGGTAATGTTGATAGATCAATAAATAATTTTTCACGTATTTTTAACCCTCCGAGTCCCGGGGTGTCCGCATTATTTCTGACTCACATCGATAGGTTACTAACACAAAGTTACGGTGGCTTGAGCTTGAGGCCCTTACCGACATTGTAGAAGTTTTGTCGACTAGAAGAAAGGACAACGAGTAAAAAAGGAAATAGAATGAGCCGTAGACGTAAGTCAGTACTTCTGCGTGACGCGTGACTCCGGCACCGTCCACGGAGGGTTAAAACATAACATGTTATGCGGTTGATGGTTCGTTAATTCGGACATCGTTTTGATTTTTCTTGGAATGAAGTAATTGTTAAAAAAATTATATTGATATTGTTCTAACCACAATTTTGTGGTAATAAGCTCTAAATATTTATGTACACGCACTATTTGCGGACGCTAAACACTGTAAGTACACGTATTTACACTTAATGGTTTACGTCAAATTGGGAGTCGCTTTTTCACCATTGAATATACGCGAAGGTCCATGAAAATATGCGCTATCTTCTTAAATTGTAACACTGCCCTTCTTCTTGACCTTTGCTTCCTCTTCCAGCCATTCATCAAGAATATCCGTTTTTCCCTGAAAGCATGATGAAGTAATCGTATTTCAACTAATTTTGACAAGTGTGACTTTTCAATTCTGAAGCAAGCCTAAAAGATTTCTGTATGCACAGAGATGAAAGAAACATGTCGAAATATCCAGGTATAATACTATTCCATACAAAGTGCTACTCCTTTTTTAAAAAATTACTTTTGTGTATGCACTTAATCGTTTATTGAGTAGTCTTATTGCGAAAGTTATATTGCGGTGCGAATAAGCAAGCAAGCGGATATGTAATCAAGAATTCATGCATTTATGGTTAATAGCGTTTTTGAAGTGGAAGTGTTCTATTTGGAATACTTTAATAGACATTATTTCTTGGAAATATAGACATTTTACAAATTTGTCACTCGTTAAACAGTACCATTTTTTATATGCGATTTAATAAGCATTTTATGACCAAATTTGGAAAATACGAATCAATTTAAAGGTATTATTCAGTTGACCTACGATTGTTACACTATATGGTGTTTTTATCTTATGTAAACAATTTTTGTTTTGATTCGATGAAACCGTCTTGGGATGTTTAGTGTGTCAACTCGGTTCTATTCCAAGTCAGTTATCGGACTCGTTGACAGATAAACTCAGGAGGTTAGAGGTAATAGGTAGAACGCTACTGTATGTGAAATGATTGATATAGGCTGGACCTATCCAAATGATGTCCTGAGCGCTCGGGGCGCTCCAAGATGCCACAACGGTAATTGTCAGGGCAACGGTGACTGCTGGCTGTCCCGATAGATGAAAAAATGAAGCTGTCTACTTTATCTACTAGACACTCCTTTTTCTCTTTCTTCGAACGTTCTCTCCAGTCAACCCATTTCACATTTTCTTTCTCCCTCTTTTAAGGTGCTCTCTGTTCAACAGATCACTTTCATTCATTCTCGGAGGGAAGACTTGATCTTAGTATAAATCCGTATTAGCGACGAGCCTTAACAAGTTAATTCGCAAAATGACTGGCCAAGACACCCGGTCAAAATCTGATACATGTACTATAATTTTATGTTTCAAAATTTCAAGTTTCGGACAGAATTACCATTCATTATGCGTAATTTTATTTACGTAACTTAACATGCAATAAACAAAGTAATGGCGCTGAGAAACGAGGAAGGTATGCAACCACGAAGCACTTCCTTTCAATATGTTCACTGATAAAGGCAAGTTGTTTTGTTGAATGTACATGCAACGACGTTAGTATAACTACGGGAATTGCAATTACCAGGACCACGTTAGTTTGGGAGAGCAAGGTGAGACGAGTGATGTGGGGCGATGGCGGTGGTGGTTGAGTGGTGGTAGTAGTGGTAGTGGTGATAGTAGTTGTTGGTGGTGTTTAGGGCAGCGCACAATGAGCATTTATTGCTCAGCTAGATTTCCGTTGTTTGGATCCGCATATTCTTCGTATTCCTCTTCTTGCTCTTCATAATCCGTTTCTGCTGGTTCTGGACCTTCAACTGCTGGTATTGAGGTACTAGTGATATCCTGGTAAGCATATGCGAAAATCGAAGCATTCGTTGCACCTATATAGTTATTACAACTCTGGACTTGTTAGTGTTTATGATTATTAATGAAGACATCTACTGATGTCACTCGACCATGTTCGAAAGTAAGATTAATAAATCTTTTAAGATAACCACTATAATTATGCAAGTATTGTAGCAAAATAACATCTAATCATCCGTGCTACATAGTTTTTGAGTTTATAAAGCGATAACATGGGCAACATTGATGAATACGTAATAGTAATTTTAAAAGTGATGCAGAGAAAGAGGAAACAGTTCGACTCTCGACAAGTTAATCTGAATGGATATGAAAAGACTGAATTACCTGAGGTGGTCTCCATCCACATCCTGCTAGTGGTAGTCCATCGACACCCAATGGACAAGGTGCATCGAGACCTGGTACTCCCTGATCTCCTGTGTTGCCCTTGTCACCTTTTCTACCGCGTTTTCCTGTCGGTCCCTGTATTCATACACGAAAAAAACTTCTTAATGTAAATAGCATACATGGCAAATGTTTGCGTTAACGTGCAAAAAAGGCCAGGCACAAGAAAGATTCTCTATATGCACTATAATATTCAATTGTGCAGAATACGCAATTGAGCATAAACTTTCAAGAAAGGCGGTACTCAATTTTTTGCTTTACGATACAAATATTTATAAAACAGTTGTAGAAATTTGACCAAATACTTGTTATAAAATGCAATGAACTGAAAAACTTACTAACGTATTATTAAAGAAACGGTAACAAAACCGTGGTAAGAATTTGTTGTGTACATATAAATAGCGAGTGTACATTATACGCTGGTGGCAGCACACGGTTAATTTGCCATGTAAAATTACGTTATAAAATTGATTGATTTAACTGACATTTTGCAAGAGTAGTGAGGAAATCGACGTGGAAAAATGCAGAAGGTAGCTATTTGAGATTATAGAAACGCAGGTATGGGGTGATTTCCGTGTGTAATGCACAAATGCGCATAATATATTAAGCAGGATCCAGACATCATCCATCATCGCGAACATATCGTTCGTTCGGACCAAAGCCTGAAACCCTGTCAACACAACGACGTTCGCGATGCACGTGTAGCCCCTGCTTTAGTTAGACTATGCTTCTGTTCGATTTTCATTTTGCATTGTTACTCACGGATCACAAAACCTACTTAAGCAGTTGTTTGGCAAAATTAACAGTTGGGTATTAAATTGATTTCGCTACGTTTACCCTGTGACGATTCATTTGCTAAGATGCCTATCGGTGTGATAGCATGATAGTATTAAAGACCGTAACGATAATATAAATATTAGTAATGATGGTAGTAAGCAGCGGTAACAGTAACAGAAAATAAGAAGGATACCGATGGTGATGAATAAAATGCAATGTAGATATCAACAATGAATGAATTTCGAACTAATCGTTTTATGCTCGGTATACGATACTTTCGCGTACCATAGATTTCATCGCGAAATATGTTTGAGCCAATCTGCCCCGTTAAATTACACTTTTGTTGCCCAATTAGTTAAAACTAATAGTCGAATTACATCAATACTCACGGATTCGCCTTTTGCACCTTGCTCTCCCTTCGGTCCCTGGAATTGGTACGCCAAAGAATTTATTCGTTAAGTAACGACCATGTCTGTCTCTCCTTGTTTCTTTTCTACATGCACGATACGTATTTCCGAAACAATTTCTGATCGTATAATTTTATCGGAACTTCTTTTTAAATGCATACATATGCGACTACGATTATGGATGCATTGAGGACAAAAGAAAATTAATCATAAATAGATTAATTATTCTGAACTAAGTAACGTAAGGTGCGTAAATGCCTACTCCTCGTGATTTTTTATGGTTAGATCAATTTGGATAATTATGGTCGATATATCAGTGTTTCGAATAAGAATTCTTTTAAACCTTAAAAATAGAAATGGAGAGGATTATGCGCTTCTCCCTCTCTTCTAAATTAAAATACTGTATTCTCTACACAGTGGTTTTTGTGTAAGTTGCAGGACTATTTCCTCATGAATTATGTTGTATGGTAGACAGATTGTGAAAAATTATTTGGGGACGGGGATGGTAATTATTTCTTACCGTAGGATTATTAAAATTTTTTAATTCTGTAATGTCAGGTTATGTGTATATGGAAAGAATCTAGATATAACAAGTTTCCATAATTCTAATTATTTTCTAATAAAAGTACTGCAACTGGACCAACAATATCAATTATGTTATGTTTTCCACCCTTGATACGTGTGTCATACGAAACGAATTGTATAGCTACAGTAGTTTAATAGGCGTACAAGCTAAAATACTCAAAGTCATTTTAATAAAAAACACGATTCACTATTGCCTCGAAAATTTCGAATTTTTATTCCCTCCGATTTTCAAAATCGCTAGATTAGTGATTCCTCGTTGTGCAAATATACTTGGCATTTACAACTTCGAAGCATTACCACGCTTTGTATTCGTGTGACGATTAATATAATACAAAAGTTATTTTCATTTATTATACTTCCAAATGAGACTTTGACCAATAGATTAATGACGTTTCCCTCTCAACAATGAGACCAAAGCATAAGGTTAATTATTCTTTCTAAGCAGCATATTGTAACGAAACGATCTGATAAAAGTCGAACGTGGGCCTTAATTTCAAAAATGGATTTTTCGTTATAAACATTCTGTTCTTAAAGAATGAGTTGTCTGAATACGATTTCATACAGAATTGTGGTCATGGTCATCGATTTTTTCAAACTTACAGCATTTATTTATAACCACGAAGAAATGAAGGATAAAGTGGGTACTGAAATATCTCGGCAATGGTTCAAAATTGAAAGCTAAAGTTTTACAAAGTTCATTTCTTTGTGGCTATCAACAAATGTTATAAATTTGAAAATAATCGGTGACTATAACCACAATTCCCCGTGCGATTTAACGTGGAATGTAATCATTTTAAAGTAATTCAATTTTTAGCCTCATTTTCATCAAGAACACCTTATTAATTCTATGGTGAAAGTTTCATATAAATATACAGTAAAATCTTCCTAAACGACCAAAATTTAAAACCGCATGCAAGTAATAAACCGAACGGATTTGAGATCTGCCCTTCATAAATTTCGGGTCGAGCCTCGGCAGCTCGCCTTTGTATTTTTCTGTCTACCGATGAATGTACAGACTGTCACCGAATAAAACAGAAGAGGAGGGGGGGAGTCGAAACAGCAAATCGTGCACTACGAAAAAATACATTAATAATAAAAAATTAAAGTTTTACATTTTTGTAATTAAGATGAAACCAAACACAACATAATTTTGTAAGTGTTAATAACTCATTCTCTTTCATTATCATTTCTGGTAAATTATAAATGATTGTTCAAACGCCCTTGTTGAGGAACCAGTGAACGTTTGATAACGTTCTTCAAGAATATGTGTATTATCTGTTACTAAAAAGGGAAGGTTCCGAACCCGAAAATTCTGATTCTAATGAAATTTCGCATGAATGAAGAGCATATAGAACTATGCTTGGAGCAACTTTTCTTTCGTGCCCATTTTCACTCTGAAGGGGTGAAATCAGCCCTTAAAGTTTTTCCGTTCTTTCGTAGTGTGTTTTTTCTCAGTAGTGGGGATGACCCATATTTAACCTGGAGCTCTTTGTGTGCATTTATCAAGAATTTACTACAGTTGGAAAGTAACGGAATGTTTATATTATGTTTATAGCTGAACACACGCATACGTACACTGTCCGGTAGCACTTTGAAGTCTAGGGTATCGTCCACGCTCCTTCGCTAACACTGTATCTCACTCTCTTAGAGTGAGACAGTCCACGCAGATGCATGGCGAGGCTTGTTAAAGCAATAGAAAAAAAATTGTTAGAATGAGATTCGAGCCTCGAAATTCTTGATTGTCCTGAACAGAACTCTTCGAGATTTTCGAGACAATCAGACAATGATGTATACTACATATATTGCTGTGGCGATGACTCGGCAATTACGAATAAGCGACTAGAAAGTGACTCGGCGTCTTTTGAAAAAGTAGAGTGAGTGTATTACTTCATACAAGGAGAGAGCTTTTGATGTACTGGGTGTAACGAAACTAACAATCACTGCTTGCAAAGATGACTTTACACCAGGGGCTGCCAACTCGTTGCCTGTCGGGCAGAATTTTGCCTGTCTGCCGTCTCGCCTTACCAGACACGGAGACTACGGCAGCTAGTGGTCATAGGGTGGGGGAACTGCTCGCGACGTCGCCCGTGGCTTTTCCCGTGGGCAATCGTGAGCGCTCTTGCTCACCACAGCCCAGTTAGCCGCCCCTGCTTTATACCTTCAGATCAGTGGACATTTGTGAAAAAAAACCTGCTTAAAAATTGTTTATAACGTTGAAAATTAATGTGAAATGCTGTTGTTAAATCAAGGAAAGTATTGAACCAGAAAAGAAGAAGCTCAAACGGAAGAATGTGTCATAAATGCATCCTTTCGATGTAATGATGTGTTAAATGTTTCACAACGATTTAATTGTCTGGAGTCGTACGTATAGTAGCATGTCCCTACACAAACGGTGTTTAAAGGAACAGAAAATGATGCACAGTAGTAGACAAGCCTGAATCAATCGATATTTTCTCCCTACCTAATCAACTTTCAATTTGTAGTATCAGAATATAAAATAAACCGTCATACATTCATTGAATGAATTTTAATTGCAATTGTGTAATCACCATTATACACACAATTTAGTAATCTGTATAACTTTCTTCGCGCTTTTTACAATTGAGTTAGATCTTACTGGTTTGTCGCGGACTGAAATTTATTCATTTTATATTTCTACACCACAAATTTACAATTTGGTTCGGTAGGGAAAAAGGGTTAACATTCGCGGCATTGGTTCAAGCTTGTTTGCTAACAATACACCTTGGACCATTTTCCAATCCTTTAACACATTTGCTACCAGTATGAATAGGGCTGACTACACGACTTCTATAAATAGTTGTGTAAAGGAAGTCGGTGTGTGTAATTACAAGACTTTTTTTCTACTGATATGCCCACACAATAAAGATCTGTACAATCGAAACATTTGAAAAGGTGTTTTGAAACTAACGGCCCCTTTGAAACTTTTTCACTTCTCGCTGAATAAAACGCGTTGATATAAAAACAGAATTTTTAATTAATTTGCAGTCTTATAAACAATTTGGCCGCACGCTTTCTTTACAAATGTCCACCAAACCAGAGGTGTAGTTTCACTCTGGAAAGCAACGATCGTTACTTTTATTATACACTGTACATAACGAAAACTACAGTTTCACTAACAAACAATTATATTATGTAAACGTTGTTTCATCTTTGATATTTCAGTAGTTATGCAAATTATAGGAGGAAGAACCGATCAAGATTGTACACATATTCTCCAACGTTATTACATATATTTCTTAACTACATCCACATAACAAACGTTTTGATTATTGACTAGTTTTAGTAAAGTGGAACCAGATTTCATTTTTGCAATCTTCCTTGAAAAATAAGTAAGAATAACTATTCCATTGAATGTTGTGTGAAAAAGTAAATTAAGTCCTACAATGCTTGATAACAGTTTATAGCAAACTGTTACTGCTCGTTGATATGGTCTTGTTAATCGGTATTCTGAAGGAAGACCACTGTCTATGAGTGATCCATATAATAGTAACCCAAAGGGTATGGCAGAATAAGGGGGTCAAAAGTGCCCTTATGCCGATTTGAATTTGTGATATATGTATAATTCCGTAGCGTGGCAAGAAACAACAGTCTGTGTCAAGTTTCAATCCTCTATCTCGTTCAGGAGGGTAATAATACAGATAATTCGAATTGTCGATTTTTCCTCTATGTTCCCTGTTTAATGGTGTGCAAAAATTCTGTAAAAAATCTAATAGATGCTGTTTACTTGAGTACATGTTAGAAAATTCTTTGCGATTTTTAGTTGAGTATCTTAATTGTGAAAAATCAGAAACGCCAAAAAATAATGAAAAATATTTTTTTCTTATTGAAGTTTTAACAGCACCACATTTATCCTTTCATAGTATCAACATATCATAAGTAGTGTCCACAATTTTTGGGAGATTTTTTGGTAAGGTGTGCTGTAGTTCAAAAACTTGAAAACCGATTTTTTCAAAATGTATGTCGCGAAAAAGTAAGTTGTACATTGAATTCTTGTATTTCCTTTATTAAATAATTATATGATTCTACGTGTTTCTACATTCAGCATAATAATATAGGTATAAACTAAAGAAATTAAATAACACAACTGCTTGATAGTATACTAAGTCCCTCATGTACGAAAATATTTAAATAGATATCAACAGCCACCGTTGCCGGTTGATTTTTTGTCCATAAGTTCGAGCGCAGCCTGTACTAACATTTTTTGACCTTAATTATATTTTTTTCTATAATTCCTAACTAACAAGGAAGGTTTCCCAGTCCGCAGGTCCCGATTTTCATGAAACTTTGTGGTATTGTAGATGGCATCGAGTTATATAAGGAACAATTTTTTTATCGGCCGACTCTCGCGTTAAAGGGGTGAAATCACCCCTCAAATTTTGCTCAATTTGTCGTTTTTCAGTATATCTTGTTAACCGTAAAAGATAGGAAGAAACTTTTAAATAGCGAGTATCATGGCTTTTTATGTACAATAATATAGTGCTAACAAACTGTCAAAAACACAATTTCTTTATAACAATTGCTCAAATTTACATAATGACAAAAAGTGACGACCTTTTCATTCTAAATCCATTGATATTGTTACACAGAATTTGATAATGAATCTGAGGTCGTTTTACGTTAATTAAGATATTTATTAACGTCATACGTCTACCCTCGAGGGCAGCGTTATAATATGACACACGATGACAAATCCGATAACAAATTCGTCCGAAGCTCGGCTTTCATCGTAATACAATTAGTTAACAAGCGATTCGATTACGGCGCCTCCGCTAGATGGTATGCGCGGTACGCTACGATTCGAAGAACTCCGAGAAACTACGCGAGCTCGCGAATCCGCAGCCTCTCACAGAAGGTGGGAAGCTGTTCGATGTTCGTCCGCTATGACTTTCTTGCAATCAAAATACAGAATTCACCCGAGATAAAAGTGGATGGCTTACCGCTATCGCTGTATCCCGGTGCCCCTTCGCAGCCCTTGGCTCTCTCGCTCGCTCGCTAGCTTACTCACAACACTAAGCAACACCGTGGCTCACGAGGAGGCAGCCTCGCGCTCTGATTGGTCGGGATTTTTCATTAATATCTCGTTAACAATGCCTCTACAATCTTTTTCGCTAAGGAAAAAGTAGTTTCAAATCACCCCAGGAACCACCCCTCTCAAGGACTTATAACTATTTTGGGACACCGTGTATATATTTTTTTCTTTTGCAGTTTGATAGCTCTTTTTATATCATTCAGTTTTCCCATTAAAAGATGTTTTCCATATTTTACGATTAACAGAATATATTGAAAAAAAACGAAAACTTCGGAAAAATTTGAGGGATGATTTCCTCCTTTAACGCAAGAGTCTGCCGACAAAAAGAATTGTTCCTTATATAACTCGATGCCCTCCACAATACCACAAAGTTTCATGAAAATCGGGACCTGCGGACTGGGAAACCTTCCTTGGTAGTTAGGAATTTTAGAAGAAAATATAATTAAGGTCAAAAAATGTTAGTACTGGTTGCGCTCGAACTTACGGACAAAAAATCAAACGGCAACGGTGGCTGTTAATATCGATTTAAATATTTTCGTACATGAGGGACTTAGTATACTATCAAGCAGTTGTGTTATTTAATTTCTTTAGTTTATACCTATATTATTATGCTGAATGTAGAAACACGTAGAATCATATAATTATTTAATAAAGGAAATACAAGAATTCAATGTACAACTTACTTTTTCGCGACATAAATTTTGAAAAAATCGGTTTTCAATTTTTTGAACTACGGCGCACCTTACCAAAAAATCTCCTAAAAATTGTGGACACTACTTACGATAATATGTTGATACTATGAAAGGATAAATGTGGTGCTGTTAAAACTTCAATAAGAAAAAAATATTTTTCATTATTTTTTGGCGTTTCTGATTTTTCACAATTAAGATACTCAACTGAAAATCGCAAAGAATTTTCTAACATGTGCCCAGGTAAACAGTATCTATTAGAATGTTTGCACGTTATTAAACAGGGAAAATAGAGGAAAAACCGACAATCCGCATTTTCCCTATTATTACCCTCCTGAACGAAATAGAGTGTTGAAACTTGACACAGACTGTTTTTTCTTGCCACGCTACGGAATTATACATATATCACAAGTTCAAATCGGCCTAAGGGCACTTTTGACTCCATAATTCTGTTATACCTTTTGGGTTACTATTATATGTAGTCTTCTTTCAGAATACCGATTAACAAGATCATATCAAGACCTAATTATAGACAATTTAATTAAAATTTGGATTTTAAAAAATGAGGAACAGTGACAGCTTGCCATAAAACTAGTCAACAACCAAAACGTTTGTTATGTGGCTGATGTTGAAAAATATATGTAATAACGTTGAAGAAAATGTGTACAACCTTGATCAGTTCTTTCTCCTCTAATTTGCATAAATACTGAAATATCAAAGATAAAACAACGGTTACATAAAATAATTGTTTGTTAGTGAAACTAGTCTTCGTTATGTACAGGGTATAATAAAAGTAAGGGTCGTTGCTTTGCGAAGTGAAACTACACCTCTGGTTTGGTGGACATTTGTAAAGAAAACGTGCGACCAAATTGTTTATGAGATTGGAAATTAATTAAAAATTCTGTTTTTAGATCAACGCATTCTATTCAACGAGAAAAGAAAAGGTTCTAACTTGTTTCACACGGTTTCAGATGTTTCGATTGTACAGTTTTTTATTGCGTAGGCATATTAGTAAAAAAAAAGTCTTGTAATTACGCACACCGACTTCTTTTATACAGCTATTTATAGAATGCGTGTAGTTAACCCTATTCATAGTGGCAGCAAACGTGTTAAAGGATTGGACTACAATTACGGAACTTCCTATTTATTATACACGCAGAGCTATTACCATAACGCACAGAATACTCGTACATACCATCAATAATTCTTTAAACCCCTGGTATAACATCCAAGTATAGTCTTAAAGTTCAGAACTTCAGAGGTAAAGTACTTGAAATTGCAATCTTAAAGAGTTCTGTTCTCTAATTCTGTTGATAAAAACTATGGAACTGTAAAGCAAACAATTCTTTCCATTAATATTCTACAAAACGGAACAATAGGATACTGTAATACATTTAAGTCAAATGTATTAAGAGAACCCAAAAAATCTTAATTTTAAAATGGTAACAATCTTAAACGGTAAAAAACTTAACAAGTCCTGAGGATAATTGCTTGAAGTAATACACTTTTCAGATACTAAATGTAACTGCCCTAAGGATACCTACTGCAAAAATGACAGTACGTATTAGAGTAAATTGAATATGTTCGTATTTTAATAGTAAGATCTCCAAAATTATTGTGTTTCAACATTAACCTCTTGAAACCTTTTTTTAAGTACTTTCTCTGTGTGGATATTAAATTAGATAAAAATATTTTATAACTATCGTTGGTATAAAGAGGGAGAAAGGCGCAGAATACAATTTCACCCCTCCTTTTCCTCAAAAAGAAGTAAAGAAATAATTTTTGGAGCAGTCCCCGGGGTAGATCAGGCAGATGTATCGTCGTTACCCCGGGTTGGTTAGATTGACTGTGTCGCAGTCACACCGAGGGATCGGCGATAATTGAATGCCACTATACCTCCGCGCCAGGAATTCCATCAGTACCCTGGAGAGAAACAGAATGCATTGTTGGTGTCTCGACAAAATTATAATTGACTTCCATTCGCATGAAATATTGTTTTACACGAAAATCCTTAACGATCAAGGAGATCGTAGTTCCACGATTAACTCAAGAAAATATAAAAAATATTATCGTTAGATCTCGAAAGTAAGTAAATGTTCTATTCCATGAGTCATTGTCATTTCGTTTTCGACAATTATACATTATTTCTCTATATTTATAATTTATACAAGGTGTCCTCAAAATCGTGGTACAACCGTCTGGATGGTGATGCAAGTATAAGTCGAAGAAAAATAATATTTTCTTATTTAAGGCTTCATTTTAAAAAAAATAAGTTTAGAAGTTCATCTAAATCACGTGTATTTGTGCTGGCAATAAGTCAAAGCGGCCTTCAATGAATTACACGCGTTAGTCCTATTCTATTGTTCGTGTATTCAACAAATCTTTAAATCCGATTATTTCGAAAACGAAGCATCGCTAGAAATAGTTTTATTCTTTTTTACGACTTATCTTTGTGTGTAAAATCACCACCCAGCCGGTTGCTCCATGATTTTGGGAACACCCTGTATTACTAAATACATTGCAGCATTGGTAGAATATTTTTCGCATAGGATTAAACACTTACAGGTAGTCCGGGGTCCCCCCTCTCGCCCTTCGTGCCCGGTTCTCCTTGTGCGCCCTGCAAGCACGAAGGAACATAACGAACACTATGCTCAATGCAACACTCATTCGAACAATACCGTTAAATTTGTAAGCAGCTTAATCTACGCTCGAATGATGAAATCGAGGTATGGAGCATAGAAATTGCAGATCCGAAAATCATAAATATAATATATGGTTAAACGGGTCACCCCGACGAATGCTCACCTTCATGCCGTCTAATCCTGGTGGCCCCTGAAAGGTAGAGGAAACCGTGTCAGATTCGTTGAGCTCACCTGACGAATAATTAGTATCGAGTAGGCCGATTTAAATGTCATTTATTTACTAAGGAATTTCGTTACACGCCCTTTGTATTGTCATTCACAGCATTGTTGCATTTTGCCAAGTTCTATGAAAATTTTATCATTCTGAAAATGTTTTTATGTATGAAATAAGCATTTTCTTACCAGAAATTGTATAATATATAAGTCAGATGAAACATAGATATATAACTTTTTCTGGTCTTTTGAAAATATTCGCGACATATGCACTCTACTTGTATTAAGATAAATCGGTATCACTAATTGAAACTAAGCAAGGTGAAAATGACAGATTTCGGTTTATCTTTTCATTTCTCATTCTACCAAAATTTTCAGCTGATGTTCAGTAATACGTATCAAATGTTTTGATGCAATTCAAAATTCATGAGCGAGGCAGAAATACAACTGACGGGCGTTAGACAAGGAAGAAGAAAACAAAGAGAGGGAGCTTAATTGAGTTCAAGAAAAAAACAATGGCACAACGATCCAACAACTATGTTGTCGTTGTGGTTGCAGTAAATTAACAAGTGTTAATACTTTTATGATCGTGTTATAATTCTATTCTCCGCGGAACGAGCAGACACGCAGTTAGAACGAAGAAAAAGAAGAAGAAGTACAAATGATTGTAATAGTGGTTAGCAAATGATCATTGGATCGCAGCCTGAGGCAAAATGCAAAGCGGTATGTCCACTACGAGATATATGAAGCGCTGAGTTTCGAAGTACATTGTATAGAAGCAAGGAGACAGACACATGCACATTCTGTTTATTAATTAGGATAATGTAAAAAAAAATTGTTAAAGTCAAAGTATTCATAAACACAATTACGTCGTCGTATTCTTCTCTGCAGTTTTCTCTCGAACATTACCAAGACGCGCCGTTTTACAATCAATCAACTTAACAAAATAAAACATATGCTGTTTATATACCTTTATGCTCGTTTAAATCATGCACATATCTGTATATGCGTGCGTGCGTGCGTGCGCGCGCGCGCGCGGGTGTGTGTATGTGTGCATGCGTGCGGGCGCGCATATGTATGTGTGTGGATGTCAACCACGTATGCATATATGAATATACGCATATACGCACATACATATACACAAATTATATACGGACATATGTATCCACTAATTGTTTATGCTAGTTTTTACACAAATATAGAGTGTAACAAAAATGTTGCAGGTCCCTGGAATAGGACACTCGAGAGGCGATTTAGAACAAGTTTTTTCTTAGCAAAAATCTTATTCGAGGTTTTGTTAACGAGATATTAACGAAAAACTCTGATTGGTCGGGGGTTTTCGTTAATATCTCATTAACAAAGCCTCGGATAAGATTTTTGCTAAGGAAAAACTTGTTTCAAATCGCCTCGCGAATGTCCCATTCCAGGGACCTGCAACATTTTTGTTACACCATGTATAATGTATGCTTTACTCGCATGAACGTTGCCATTAAAAAGCTATAACGGTTACGAGAGCTTCCCAATTTCGCTTATTTTGTTATCCTATTGAAACTGTTCGCATTAGCCTACATTCTTAAATTAGAGTATAAACAGAGGAAGGAGAACTTTTCGTTCGAGGCAAATAAAACATTGTTTGCGTCGCTTTTACGACGCCGATATTATTCTACACTGTACAATTTCGTATTCTTCGTACTTGATCATACGGAGATGAACGATAGTTTGCATACTACTAGTGACTAAGATTGCAAACACGGATATTCGTATACTTGCGTTTACAGACAGTTACACGTATCATATGTCAGTCAACATATCTGTTACTGCAAGTAACATGATCGTATTTAAACCTAAATTGGTTTCGTAATACTAGCATTTAACTTTCAACCACGCACGTCAAATGACACGAACAACAGCCTCGGATCTTCCTTTCTTTCTAATTTTTCCTTTACTTGGCTTTTGAGCAATACTGTTGCCGAGTACTTAATAAAAACTTGCGTAATAGAAAATATATAGACGATCTCTGAAAATATCAAATTAAATGTTTCATTAATCAAAGACTTAAATATTGTATAAAATTACGTGTATCAGACTACTTAGTAGCTTTTGTATTGTTAAAAAATATTTCTTAAATTCGATCAGTAATAACCATCAGCTGGGAGGAGGGAGGCTCGTAATAATAATAAACTCATAATCAACCTTCCTTTCCCTAAGTAATGTGATATCAGCTGGCTTTCTAACAAGTTCATTCTGCATTATGTCATATACGTTTCACGAAAACACCTGGAAAAATTACAGGGCAATATTTTTGATGAATAGTACGTATATAACAAGATTTAGAAATGCTAATTTAACTAGAAAATACGCCAATACTCCAGTAAATATTAAAATGTTTAAAAGTATTCAGATCAACTAATCTCGATACAAGTCATGGCATATTATACTATCGCTCAATTTTCTTTTAAGATTCTGGTCCTGATTAAGAATTTCAAAAATATAATCGATAGACTTATTTTATTTTTAAATTATTCCATTCAAATGAAATTCCTTTCTCCAAAAGAGCGTTGACCATTATTTAGAAAAATAAATATTCATAAATTAATTGTGAACAATACGAATTATAATATTAACCAAAGCATGATAATGAAAATGTTCGAACACAAGAATCCTTGATAAATCGTAAAAATAAATAGCTTGGGCTCTAGTTACAAAAAAAGCAATGTCAAAGCACTTGCGTACCCTTGCGAGCAAACTCGGCTTTCGCTAGAGGAAAAAGTGGCGTGGAGAAAGGGCCTTCTACCATTTGAATTCGGAAGTTTCTGAAATTTATGTCAAATTAACATTCGGTTTAACATTTATTTCAGTACTTGAAATAAATTTACTAAGTGGCAAGAGACTTTTCTTCTACGCCACTTTTTCCCCTAGTGGAGACCGAGTTTGCTCGCGAGTGTACATAATAATACTTATGAATGTGAACACATTTAAGTATCATGAAAAATCATTCGACCTTAACTGAATATTGCCGAAAGCATACGGCACAGCGTTTTGCAATATATGGTACAATCGAAGAAGAGATGTTTCTGTACCGAAAACGCAAGGAGAACTGAATTTGTTTCAGGCTTATAGTCATTATTTATACCATAAAAGCTTGTAAATAAAGTCCAGAGAAACAACTCACAAACATGCGAGTTAGAGAACATACATTCATCACCTTAATTGTTTCCGGCACTACTAGTGCAGTTTTGGAAGAATGAAATAAAAAATAATTTCAACTTGTCCAGTAGTATCGGAAACAGTTAAGGATACCAAGGTAGTTGTACATTTTGTATAGTAGCGGCCATGATATAGCTAGTTCGTAAATGAAAGCATTAAAGCAGGGGCACTTACTGATGACTTTTAGGGCCATATATTGCTATTGTAGAATTATGCACAGTGAAATAATGACATTGGGGAAAGTACATTTGGCCTTCAGGTCTTTATCTTCTCATATTACTGTCAATTCGCTTATGCCGATAGCCGAAACGTGTTTACTTTAACAGTTCACCGACTTCATCACGTCGCTATGTCGTGACGGCTATTATATACGTGGGTACATATGTATCGTTCATCTCATTAAAACAACAATGGCGACTTGACTCATCACGTGAACGTTGTTATTTGCATTTGTGATAGTTGTGAACGAATCCCGTTGCATTCCATGAAGTAAGTTAAATTGACATTAATGTCTTCCCTTTAAAGGGAAGAACATAATCTTAGCACTTATATGGGAAACCAAAATATTAACGGTTATTGAGCAATCGGAATACCCCTATTCCGACAGATTAGGCGTACATAGATAATTTTACTTTCATACTACGAAATTCTTAGTTTTCCCTTCCTATAATATGCCAAGCGTTGTTCTAGACAGGAACATAAAAAATTGTAAAAGGAAATTTAAAAATGGGTACCTGGGTACCCAGGTACCAGGTTGCCTACACAAGGGTTAAGGTAGCCGTCCATTTTAGGGTATCTCGTGCGAGTTACGCTCGACAGTACTGTCACGACATACAATAAACACACACAGTTGACATACAGTTGAGCGATGCTCTGGGACAGTCACTCTCTGACGCGTATCCACTCGTGAGAAATACTCTCGAGAGCAACTCGTAACAGTTTTACTCTCAAATGGACGGCTACCTTCAGTCTCCAAGCAATTTCTGTGACACGATTTCGTTGTGGCGAAGAGGAGCAGAGGTCTCGTGCGATTCATTCGTAATTTTTATAGTGTATGAACCTTGATACTTGAACGCATTTTTAAGTTCACTTTTCTGCAACGATCATGTGTCCGCTGTACATATTGGAACTGATATTAATTTCAGGACTATTTATCGGTATTCAAATAATATGTGCGTGTCTTGAACTTACGCAATATAACCATCACGAAACATACTTTTACTTTCTATATTTTCGATTTCTTTGTATACGTATAATCAACGGTTTTTCGGTTGCATTATTGCGAACACTCCACGATGTAAGGAAAGAAAATTCGCATGTGGAATAACATAAGTGAGAAGAATGTTTCTTGAGAGAAAATGAAATTTCTATGCGCCCCTTTTGCGTGTTTTTAAGGCCGCCTTGAATGTTTTAATAAGCATTATTCTGTGTAATTGTTTCCCCATTATTTACTGTTGAAATAATATTTTCTCTGATTACATGTTCAAAATGCTATTCATCAACTGTAATGTACTAACATGAACAGTATTAGATTCATCGATTTTTCAATCCCCACGACGGTAGCTAAAATGAACTGACAACACGTACAAAGGTTGCTCCAGATATTAATTACAATATTTTCGGACGGAACAAGAGATCTCAAATGGAACAAACACGTTCTATGACAGCATGTGAATTTTTCGAAAATTTGTCGAAATCTTGTGATAACCATGTGTTCTAAGCGGAAATACGTTATGCAGTATTTATGTGAGTAAACCAGATCTTTTTCTACGAACATCTTGTTTTTGTCAAGATCTATTAAGATTTGTTTATTCCGTTATCGCTATCTAATAAACCTGCAAAGTTACAACACCGTGTGCCATCAAGTAAAGTGTGAATAGTTGAAAACATTTTAGAACTTCAGAATATTATTCTTGCAAAATGAACGTTTTACAGGATCGTTTCTTCTCGTTTGAGCTCTCCTACCACCATCTGAAATATTTTAACTTTATTTGGGACAACAACCTCCGTTGAGGTTATTTTTATGAAGTACATAAAAATATCGTTGCCTTATAGGATCTTCTCAATTATACACAAACAATTAACCAAAATTCTGATTGGTTTACGAACAACAAAAATGATAGGTGTGGAAGAATAATGTGATCTCCACTATTTACTAATTGTAAAACAAAATCTGAAAATTTTTTTTCATTACGGCTTTTCCGTTACATAGATTGATACAATTTCGAATTATCCTGTAGACAGAGGACATACTTATTCCCATTACCATCTGAATAAAAATTTTCAGAATGACACTATATCTGAGCAGATTAATTTACGATGATAATTGCATTGCCATGTGCAGTTGGTAATTTCAGGTGGTTACAGACAACTGCTTGGAACGTCGCTAATGCAACTTTTTCATAGCTACTTTTCACTCCGTGATTTGGTTCGTAGGGAATCTTTTCATATTCCCCAACGTGTACGCGGAATATCGTATAAAAACGGGCGAAACGAGAATTGACCCAAAAACAAAAGTGACAAATGGTCGGATTACTACTACGTGCAAGGAGATACTACATATGAGTGGTACTTATGGTAAGTACGAAACAGTGAATTGTAACAAAGAGGATGTATCATATAGGGTAACTCTCTTGCTGCGCAAACCAATGGCGCTGCCACTCTAAACAGCCACGCTATTAACAGCCGTACTACCGGGCTGTGCAAGCTGTCAACAGTGTCAACACACCCTCACTGTTGGTGGCTCCGCTACGACGGTATCGCCCCTGCGTAGTGATGGGATCGATACTATTGATGATATTCAATTAATTCAATACCAAAGTGCTCAGTGGGAAGTATCCATACGTATTAAAATTTTAGGTACTTACTATCAAGTATCAATACCGACATTTCTTGAATTGAAACCAAACCAATACGGCACTGAATCGAAACCCATTCCCAGATAGCACATGACGCCTTGAAGACGCCCATTTTACGGCTGTTTTAGGTCTAAAGCGCCTTTAAGCTGTCTTCAAAGCGTCATTAGGCATCATGTGCTATCTGGGTTTGAGACTTCACAAAAGTACAGTAGAATTTTCAACTGAACCCCAAAATATCTAGGCGTAAGCACCCGTTGTACATCCCCACTACTGAGGGGGGGGGGGCTTCCTTGGAACCAGCCAAGTGTACAATGTAATGGGGAGTGGCTTAGCAATAATAATCTTCCTCCTATTCCCAAAAAAAATTAATAAATAAATAAATAAATAAATAGAAACAAAATTATATTTATGATGAAAAAAATTTGAACAAAAGTAATCAAAGAGCTGGGAACATATAGAATATTCATCAAGATTTCATACCTATCGAAATGCTCAACACTTCCAAGAAGACTTTGAAAACGCTAAAAACTCCCAAGACTTCCAAGGCTTATCAAGACTTTCAAGAGTCAGATTCGAAGGGATTCGAAAGTTTCGACCCGATATTTCGGATTCTGATCAGATCGGGAAAAGTCGACCGGGCTCGGACGAGTTCTTCCGTTACTCGAGATTTCCTTCTGCATCACGTTCATAATGCGATACTTTATACCTATATGTATGTACTTTTCATTTTTTCTTTTTAGATTTCAATTACTTGGCAAGCATATGCACAATCTTTATCATTTACACAAGACAAAATAATATTTGTAACACATTTATTTATTCAGATTGAACTTCCCTCGATGTAATCTTCATTTTATATGGAACATATATACTTTTCAACTCTTTACTTTGCCTGAATTTGAAAATACTTCTTATTAATAGATTAATATTTTTCCTTTAGTAATTAGTAATTAGTACTGCGATATTAAAAAAGGAAAAGTATTAATCTATTAATAGGAAGTATTTTCAAATTCTGGTAAAGTAAAGAGTTGAAATCATATGTATTCCATATAAAATGAAAATTATATCGAGTTTCATCTGAATAAATAAATGTGTTACTAATATTATTTTGTGCTGTGAAAATTATAAAGATTTTGCATATACTTGCAGAGTAATTAATTGTCTAAAAAAAAAAGTACATACATATATCAAGGATCGCATTATGAACGTGATACAGATCGAATCTCGAGTATCGGAAGAACTCGTCCGAGCGCGGCCGACTTTTTCCAATCTGACCCGGGCAGCCTGCCTGACACGATCAAGCTTCCCTATGGCACCAAGCTAGAGTAGACTCACGTTAAAATAGCGGTGCGGGTCTGCCGAGGCGGGTTTTTTCTGGAAACACTACTTCAACGTGAGCCAATGGGCACGCAGGATCTCGTGACAGTTCGATCGATCCACCAATTCTTTCTTATATTTCTTCTTTATATTTTTGTGAAGCAAATTCAATAGAAGAATTGAATTCTTTCTTAATGGTTATTTACAGAAATGTTAATAACGATGCAATTTTTTTTAAATGGCGCTACATATATTCATTATGGTCGTGTTATTAACCATTTCAAGTCAAACTCAACGACATATTTAAAAGTTTTGTTTCAACAATAATTTCTCGGATAACTGTATATGAATATTGGTGACAATTTCATTGTTTTTTGTACCGTGGATCACACGTTGTGGGTAAAAAACGCTAACAAAAATTACCCTTTGCCAATAATATTTTTACAGTTATCCAAGAAATTATTATTCAAACAGAACTATCAAGGATGTCGTTGAATTCGTTGTGAAATATTTATTAACACAGCAATGTTAAAAATATGTACTGCCATTTAAAAAAATTACATTGTTATTAAAATCTCTGTAAATAACAATTAAAAATAATTCAAACATTCTATTAAGTTTGCTCCATGAAATCAAACAACTTCCACATAAAACATTTTATTGTATTTTTAATACTTGGAAAAATAAACGTGCTCCCGAAAAGTATTGATACCTTCGAGTTACCTCGACCTATGTCTTTGATATGTATCAATACCGTATTGAAACTTGGTGAAGAGTATTGATAATATCAATTCGGTATCAGTGGAATCACTACCCCTGCGCCATCGACAGCGAGGGCCTGTTGACACATTTACACGCGCCGACGCGGCTTCAATAGCGTGGTTCTTTTAGCGCCCCTGTACTTAGGATAAAAATAGTACTCAAAATGGAGTCAAACAAGAGAAGAAGAATTTAAAGACAAATGCACAAAAATGTCAAGAGAAACAAAGAACGAGGTTGAGATGTACTTAATCAAAATTATGTTCATATACCGATAAACGGAACTGATAAAATACACTGAGAAAAAATGTTCTCGACGGAACCAGAAATGTTATACTGTTTATAATTAAATAATAATGGGGCCACGCATAGCAATTTCTGGTACATCACCACGTATCGCAGAAACCCTGAGAAACACGAATCAAGGGACTCTACCTTATCGCGTAGAAACATTACTGCCGTTTAGAAATTCAGTTAAAACTTCCGTTTTATCATTTCACAAATTAACTGAAGATTGTTTGAAGGTGTAAATTACTGTTTAATGGTTGCACCATATTGCAATTTACAACGCTAACTATAATTCGCTATTTAAATTAACATTTGTCCTCAGTGTACACCAGGTGTGTTGCTACGCAGACCGACATATAGAGTATGTTAACAGGACGGATGGTAGTGCGATCATCAGCTAATTATTATGTTGGATAAATAAGTATACAACACCGATACGATATGTATCTGCGATTCAATATTGACAAAAAGAAACATCGAACGGTTTACTTGTACACATTAAGTATTTATGGAAGACACTTGTTTCTCCCGAAACATCACCCTCGTCACACATCAACACAGTACCCATGCATCAAAATCACGAATCAAAACAATCACTGTTTTCCGTTTACGATAGTTAGCACGCGCGAATGTACCTGCTATAGTGTAAGTACAATCATCTTAATTATTTAAAATCGATACATGTAAGTCGTGATTTGTTTGTTCATCTGTTTCGTGTGCGCAACGGTGTAACTTCTCCAACAATGAAAATTGTCCTTTAGTAGCAGGTATCGCATGCGAGTAGTATCACAACTGTGACTGTTATCTTCGTAACGGACGGTTACTCGACTCTCTATCGTCGTTTATCCTTGAAGTATTGTAATAGTTCTCGATCAATAATAAACGACACTCAAGCTGTCGAATCTATTCAGCTGATACTCGAACAGTCTGCGACCAGACCTTACGCAACTTACGTCTTATTGAATAAACGCTAACGATATGACTGAATCTTGAATGTTATACATAGAATGTTGAAAACTTTCGATAAGTTTTCAACATGATCGGACATCCCTTCGAGGTATTTGCAATACTTGCACGTTGTCTCTCGAGTCGTCTTCTACGATCTCAATATGTGTGCTGCTCGATGATTACCAGACGATGATCGTTCACACACGGTAACTTATACGACAGAACATATTTGAGAGGCAATAAAGGATCTCGCTGGGTTTACGAAGAAGTACGAAGCCTTGTCGAAAAAGCGACAATCCATTACACTGGACGTTAGTGAATGGCTATCAATGATTCAGCAACGAGGCCAAATAACGATGACGTTAGGAGCGAGAGGTCCGCGTTCTTACCATAGCACCAGGTTTCCCGGTATCCCCGGGTTTGCCAGATTCTCCTCTCAGTCCCATGGGGCCCTGTAAAAAACAAATACCTCGATTAAGTGATCTCACTCCAACTGTTGACTTTCACGCAGGAGTTGAAAATTGTTATAATATCGATTTTCGATCTTGAAACGGTTTCAAAGAACCGTTATTTTTCTATAACAGTTATATAAAACCGAAATTTCCGTCCATATCTATTTCGGTTTTAAGATCCCTATATCGGTTTTAGAACTGTTACTTCTGCGGTTCTCATATCGGTTTTATTTCGGTTTTGTACTGCTTTCGGTTACCATTTTTATATTTGCTATATTTTAGTTTCGAATCGGTTTTTTATTTGTTTCATAGGTGTCAATTAAGTATTTTACAAATAAACATACACATAATAAAATTATGAAAAACAAATGTTACCGAAAAGTAATAATAACAACATTGTAATTAACGCTCACTTTCAATATTCATCATTTTTACTATAACATAAACGTATTATTAACATATCATTAATTAAGCTTCCAGCAATTCTCGAGCGTTGTGGATGTAATATAAATTTTAAAGTGGAAAACTTTCTTTAAACAAACTTATTCATTATCAGCAACATTGTTGGCCATAATTAAATAACGGATTTTTATCTCAATAACGAACTACTATCACATATCGTTCATTTTCTGTTACATTACCTTTTCGTTCATGCGTTATTTGAAAAGGAAATTTACGAATTCTTTAGCCTTTCACTTCAAATAATTATTACTTTCGATTTTGCTTTTAAAAAATGTAATCATCTTTTTACGTTACACATGATTTTCCTCCATTTACCGTTATTCATTATTCACTTTAAATGACAAACAGTTCGATTTTATTTGTTATGCCTTTTTCATTTGCTATTATACGCAGTTCCCTTCAATGCATGCCGACTTGCTTGTTCGTAGCTTCGTAGTATTATAGAAGCGCAGCACGTAGCCAACGCTACTACGGGAGCTCAGCCGGCAGACTCGCGCTCTGATTGGTCGGGATTTTTCGTTAATATCTCGTTAACAAAGCCTCGGATAACATTTTTGCTAAGGAAAAACTTGTTCCAAATCACCTTACGAGTGACCCATTTTAAGGACCTGCAACACGTTTGTTACACCCTACATATGAATATCTATTCATTGTATCTAATCATGTCGTGGTTTGACGTTACTTTCATTTGGAAAAACAATTCTCTATTTTTGGCAAGCTTTTAAAATCGGGTGTTCCATGGCACGTACGGTTACCCTACACACGTACTTAATTTACAATTAATTTGTTTATATTTTTCATTTTTTTGACAAAGTCTACGGGGCGTATTTAATTTTTACAACTACGGTCTTCAACCAAACAATTGAAAAAAATTCCCTAACACATGCCCCGGGGTAACTACGATATGTCAGATTTTGTATAGAATATTTTACAAATAGAGGTAAAACGGATAATCTAGTTTTTCCCTGTTACTACCCTTCGTCGAGATAGAGGGTTGCAAATTGGTACAAAGTTTTTTCTCTGGGTAAGCTATCGAATGGTCCACCACAAGCCCAATTCGGTCTAAGGGCACTCTTGACGACCTTATTCAGCCAGACGCTGTAGTCATTCTTAAAATGTACTATTTTGTGTCGCTGAACATACCTCTGTACATGGATAAGTCTTCCTCTTTCTTGTTACATCAGTACTTTTATTTTTATCAGAAAGTTCAATTGATGATAATGTCGCAAAATACGTCCTGCATGTTTTGAATAGTATCGGTTTTAAGAATCGAAGAAACATTCGGAGTAAGTGAATGGATTAAATTCTAAATTATTTTCTCTTTTACTTATTCAACTGCTCCAAGTCCCTTGATTTTCGCCGCCCCTTATAACCTACCTAACCTACAAACCTAAACTACGGTGGAAAATACGTACGGGCAGTCCCATTGGACCAGGATCTCCTTTGGCGCCCTTCTCACCCTGCAATGTGAATACGAAAAATACGTATGAAAGATATAAGTACCTACTACACGTTGTTACGTGTTATTTTGTTACTCTTGTTAAGATTATACGTCAAAAAAATAACGTTTGATGAAGTTTAACAAAGGCAAAGGTAAAAAGCCGTTTTACCTGTTGGTATAGTCTTCGCCATGATATAACGTGGCCATAAGACCGGTTAAGCAGAAAAGAACACACGTTTCAAGCGTCGGAACATCCACTTAAGAAATCAAAGGTGAGATGAGGAGCTCGAATAACGTTCAGTGCCGCACAATGTTAATCCATATATAAATCGGTTCTTTCAAATATTCCAAATATTCTACGAAATGTACAGTTTCGTTCGTAGTAAATTAACAACAGTTAGATGACAGTGTTTTCCGTTTTATAAATTCCAGGGAACCCAATAGCTGCACGCCGCACTCAATGCTGTGTACGGCGACATCAATAATACTGTTCAACTTAACTTTTTTCCTACCTCATAACCGTTAATAGACGATTCTGATAAATCTTTATGAGCTGAATACGAATCTGCAAACTGGTTTTTTCCAGCACGTCCAGTTTTTGGAAGAATCAAATTTAAAAAATTGCAAATTTTCAACTTCGAAGGTGTGTTGTGCTTTTACAGTAATAGTTATTCAGTTGTTTTTGACACGAAATAATTTTTTGGACTGTCTCGAACAAAATTATGTAAATTGTTATTATATTATAGTAATCTAAATACGTTTACAAAATGACCAAAGTGGAAAGGACATCGAAGACGCACCAATTTTTGCTGATATTCTTCAATTTATTTAAAAAACTAGGGGTCTAGGAAGAAAACTAACCTTAGCATGCGATAGAACAGACCTTTCTGATCCGGATGATGTCCCTCAGTGTTTCAAATAAATTGAAGAATATCAGCAAAAGTTGGTGTGTTTTCGATGTCTTTTTCACTTTGATCATTATGTAAACATATTTAGATATCTATAATATAATAACAATATACATCATTTTCTTGAGGAGAGTCCAGAGAATTATTTCGTGTGAAAAATAACCGAATAACTATTACTGCAAAAGAACAAGTCACCTACAAAGTAAAAATTTTCAATTTAAAAGAAATTGCTTTTTTCAAAAAAACTGGACTATTACCTAAATAACTGGTATTTAGGCCATAAAGATCTATCAAAAACGTCAATTAACGGTTATGAGGCATTTTATGCGTTGAACAATGTAATACATAAGAATCGCCGCTGAATACGATGATTTACGACCACGCTAAATCTTGACGAGGACTGTATTAAAAATCAAATCAGACTCCTTCATCACGTTTAATTACAACTTAATTTCTAACAAATGAAAAAGTATATAAATATTTACAAGAAATGAAAATATATATACATAAGGGCGTTCCAAAATGATAGGACACACCGCAATATGTATATTCCTCATGCAAATATAAATCGAAAAGTCCTTTACCGTTTTGTAATCTGAAGCTCCATTTCGAGATGTTAGCAGTTGAACAAACTCCAATCAGCTGAGCGGTCGGCCACACGTACGCGCAGACACAGTTAAGAAGCGTGCAACCCAGCTCACTACCCTAATCTGCTTCTTGACTGTGGGCTCTAACTATATTGCCATGGTCGGGGCTGTAGCGTAGTAAAATTGCAATGAGTTCAGAGCCCTCACCATACTACGTACGTGTGAAGGGGAAGTACCTGGCGTGGTAATATGTTTAGTGGCAATATAGTTAGAGTCCACTCTATCTGCGCGTACGTCTAGGACGATCGCTCAGTTGAATGGAGTTCGTCCAACTGCTAATATCTCGGAAATGAAGCGTCAGATTATAAAACGGTAAAGGACTTTTCGATTTGTATTTACATGCGGAGTATGCATGTTGCGACTTGTCCCATCATTTTGGTAATAAATGATGATTACTGACAGGATCGCCTTTAGCGCCGTCATGTCCTCGATCGCCTTTGATACCAGGTGGACCTTGAAGTCCGGGAGTACCAGCTGGGCCGGGTGGTCCTGGCGGTCCCATTATCTGTAAATCATTGATTACGTATAATAAAATGTTTACAGAAGTTTTTCAAAATGACTGCTGAATGATATATCAGGAAATGAAAATTTCAAGAGATTATTCTACTCACCACTTCACCGGCATTTACTTCAAATGTACCGTCTCCCTGCAATGAAATGTACATTATAATACGTATCTCTGTCAATTATCTCCAAACCAAGTTTAAAACGTTCCCAATAACGAGCATACTATAAAGGATTGTAGATGAAGGGTACGCACCTGTCTTCGCCTAAGCTTTTTGTATTTCTGTTGAAGGAACCCCAATGGCGTGTCATGAAAAGAAATAGATGTTATCATGAAATCGTAGAGTAACGACATTGAACAATTTCGCTTGTAAGGACCCGTATAAATACAGCGTATCCCGTATAACTCTGTATTTCAACGTAATTGACACGACAAATATGATATACTTATTACGCATTGAAACCAGGGTTCAGAATCATTCACATGAAAAATGGATGTATATTCAATAATTGGTGTAATGCATTAACACTTTTCAACACGATTTTTGATCTGCGATATCCATTGGGAGACCCTTATAGAGTTTCTCGTCCAGATTACAAATCCGAAAGCAGAATTTCTCCACCTGCCTCAGTTTTTGAAAAACATGAAGTCTTGTAAAAACACCCGATTTTGAAAACGCTAGAAAGTTCAATTTAATCTCGAAAGACACAGGAGAGTTCCCTGAATATAGCAGTGTACATCGTTATGAAATTGTAATATTTTTAATGGTTGTAAATTGCCGTGAAAGTTTAAAAAAGAGCCGATGTGCGTACTTTCTATCCGCTATTTTTGCGTTTTCATGAAAATGAAAATGCTGATCAAAAACCGAGGTAGATGGAGAAATTCTGCTTCCGGATTCGTGATCTGGACGAGGAAGTCTGTAAAGATCTCTCAATGGATATTGCAGATCAGAAAAAAAGTTTATTTTGTTGGACAGTATAATCGATTATAAAGGGTGTCCCAACAAGAGCGGAAAATTGAAATTCCAAATAAAATACAGTTTTTTTTATTTAATACCGAAATTTTTACTTAATCATAAAGTAGGCATCTGGGAATTATGTATGGAACAACACATCTGGTAAATGGCCTCCTTGGCTTTGCTGGCACATTTGCGGTCTTTTGACGAAATTTTCATTCATGGTTTGGCATAATTGTGGCTGGCTCTCAGTGATACAGCGTCTAATCTCCTCCTTCCAGGCTTGGGTGGTCGTGGGCTTATTGACTTTTTAAACTTTTGACTTCAAAAAACCCCAGAGAAATAAATCCAAAGGCGTTAAATCGCACGATCTAGGCGGCCAATTCTGGTCGCCCAAACGGGAGATTATACTATCAGGGAATGTCTCGTGCAATAATGCCATTGTTTCATGTGATGTGTGACAAGTGGCACCGTCCTGTTAAAACCACATGTCTTCGAGATCCATACCATCCATTTGAGGAACAAAAAACTAGGTCATCATGCCCTGAGACCGCTCACCATTGACTGTTTGTGCATTCCCTGCATTCTGGCGAACAGCTGTGATATTTTCTGTTGAACAACCTGGACGAACACGTGTCGATGATTTGACATCAATAATCGATCCAGTCTCCTCGAATTTTTCGATTATTCTCTTCACAGTTAATGCACTTGGAACATTTTGTCTACCAAAAATTGGATACAATTTGCGAATTGTGGCAGTCAAACTTTCGCCATTTTTGAAATAATGTTTAACAATAAGAATGCGTTGTTGTGTCGAATAGCAATCCATTTTTAATAGTGGCGGACTGTCTAGCATTGAACTGTCATAATGGTTTGACTGTCAAAGCACAGCAGCAGAAATGGCGCCAAATTTAAATTTTCCGCTCTTGTTGGGACACCCTTTATCTTTGTTGTGCCATTGAATGGAAATAAAAGAGGAAGGGATTCGATACGATGGGGTTTAATATTCTGCCTACTGATTGCAAAGTATTACTCAGAGATCAACTCACCGATTCGCCCTTCTCTCCTTTTTCACCTTTCAGACCTGGATAACCCTGTTTATCAAGAACATCAGTGAAATAATATACTGATTCGAATCAAATCCGCATATACATATCGAACGAATGAATAGTCCGTAAATTGAGTTACCTACCGGAGGACCAGGTAAGCCTGGTGGACCCATGAGGCCTGGAGGTCCAATATCACCGTATTCGCCTTTTTCACCTTTAGGTCCAGCGATACCCTGTGCAAGTGTTAACGACATATGTACATAAGACATAAGAAATTTAGAACCGGTTGAAACTAATTTTATTCTACTGATTTCAGACATGATCATGTTTAATACATTCGATGCCACCTCTGCTGATCGCAGTAATCGCGACTTCATTTATTGTACTGCACTGGGTTATATAAATATGTATTATATTGTTCTGATATTAGTAGGTACTGCCTTTAACGTCCGGCCTAGCCGCTCATGAAAAATACATTGCGCATAATGTAGGTGTACGCCTTTTTGTTTTCGAAAGGAGCAAGATAACAGCAACTAACCTGTTTCTCGATTGTTGTCGGCTTTATACAACACAAAATGGTCAATATGTGCTGTGAAATCTACTGTAATATCGCTAGAAGGTTAAATAACGATCAATTACCAGAAATTGGTGCAAGCGAACAAAACCAAAAATTGGTGCATTTTCGGGGTCCTTTTCCCTATGAACGTTATTGCAACATGTTTAAATGTTCATCATGTAATAACAACATATACCATTTTATTCGGGAGAGTTTATAGAATAATTTGACGCAACCATCAACCGAATAACTATTACTGTTTGAACACAAGAAATGTTCATAGTTGAAAATTTGCACTTTTTTTTCAAATTTCTTGAAAACTGAGGATACTGATGAAAACCCGTTTGCAGATTCGTATTCAGGGCACAAAAAACTATTTAAAAAACGGCTATTGAATCTCATAAGTCGTAAAAAAAATAGTTAAAATTTGATGAACAGTGCAATTATATTTAATTTATCTATTGCTCTGTAATGATGTAATTGTTGTCGTTGTCGTTCAAGTAGAGTATGAGAGTTCTATGGGATTTTAAGTATCTCTATTATGCTGGGTTTTTTGTGTCTGAATACACTGTTTAGTTTCTGCTTTCTATCTCGAAGCAATGGGTACGTCGGTGGTCCTCTTCTCTTTGGACTCTTTCAAACCGATACACGTGATGTCTGTTTTCAATCTCGAAACAATGGCCTCGCAGTAAATTAACAGGGCACGCGCTTCGGTGAAACTGCGCGACGGTTCGTTCGTTGTACTTCTGAAAGGCGAAAGCTCGACCGGCAGATTCGTGATCTAATTGGTGGGGATTTTTCGTTAATATCTCGTTAACAAAGCTTTGGACAACATTTTTGCTACGGAAAAACTTGTTCCAAATCGCGTCACGAATGACCCATTTTAGGGATTTGCAACATTTTGGTTACACCCTATATACCTAAAACAGTATGTAAATAGACTATGTAATTTTAATTGTAATGAGCATTTTCATTATACATTAAATTATATCTCTACATTACAGTAACAAGAAATAAATCACGGCTGAAACTGGTAATTATTTTCAATTACAAGAAAATCTTTAGCATTGTGTTACACGTCTACGAAACTTATACAGGGTGTCTCAAAAATGTCTTTCTTCCGGGAAATGAGGGGTTGCTGGGATGATTTGAAACCACTTTTTCCTTAGCGAAAATGTTATCTGCGGCTTTGTTAACGAGATATTAACGAAAAACCCCGACCAGTCAGAGCGCGAGTTTGCCAGCCGAGTTCCCGCGCTAGCGGTGGCTACGCGCTACGCTTGTACTATGAAGCTCCGAACAAGCAAGTCGGCATGTATCCTAGGAAACCGCGTATAATGGCAAATAAGAAAAACACAACAAACCGAACTTTTTATCATCTCTCGTTTGTCATTTAAAGTGATGGTGTAGGTACGGAAACTTGCACAATTATTGCCGGGAAAAAGTCATACGTAGCTTTCGTTAAATTAAAAAAATAATAATCAACAATAAATTGAATAGAACTCACCCTTTCAGAAATTCACCTGGAGCTTGCAGACCCGTGTCAGTAGGTCACTGTACCGATCCTGGTCATCGATGACTGAAACGGTTTATGGCAGGGTATCGCCCAGTCCGCAGGTGACCTCAGGTATACCTCACCAGCCGAAATTAAGGGTTGCAAAAGAAACCAACGTTCTAGGAAAACACGTGCTTTGCAGAAGTGCAACGAACGAACCGTCGAGCAGTTTCACTGAAGCGGGGGCTCCGTTAATTTACTGCCTGGATACCCATTGCTTCGAGATAGAAAGCAGAAACTACGTTTTCCTCGAGGAGCAGGAAAAAAAATTTCACGGACACATGTTGAGTTGACACTGCTTGGCCCTGTCCGAGGACCTTAGCAGAGGCTGGAGCGAACGTTTTGATTATTTACGACCTAATTGCTTCGAGTTTGTGAGATTGTAGTTCTCATAAAAATATTTGATACGTTTTTTTTAGCTGCTCTCATCCACGTTGAAGGAGTGAAAACAGCCCTAAGTTGTAAAAAAACCTGGCGCTCCGCTATTACGGTCGATTACCGTACCGCTACCAATCCAGATTATTTCAATGAGGTTAAAAAAACAATATCAGAGTGTCAATGATAATTTATAATTTACACAAATATAAAAAAATTATAATATAATTACAATTTATAATATAATTGATAATTAAATAATTAAATATTTATACTTTTTTTGTTTTTTATATTTATGTTATTTTATGATTGTTTACTTTTATGATTTCCTATCGATATTGTTTTTCACCTCATTGAAATAATCTGGAGCGGTTTCTTCGTATTTTGTATAAAATGTAATACTTCAACACGTATAATTAAACAGATAGTGCACTTTCACGATGTCTAGATATTTCTGTTACGGTATGCGATGCTGGTTGATTCCTCAAATGGTTGAAATTCAGTCTGCAGGTATAAAAGTTCCCTGCGTCCTGTAGCGAAACGTGCTCTCCGGCCTCTGCTAAGGTGCTCGGACAGGGCCAAGCAGCGTCAACTCAACATGTGTCCGTGAAAATTTTTGTCCTGCTCCTCGAGGAAAACGTAGTTTTTGCTTCCTATATCGAAGCAATGGGTACCCTGTCAATAAATTAATGGAGCTCCGGCTTCAGTGAAACTGCACGACGGTTCGTTCGTTGTACTTCTGCAAAGCATGTGTTTTCCTTGAACCCTGGTTTCTTTTTACTTAAATCTTATTGCCACAGTGGGAGTGAACTCACAATGTAACGATGAGAAACTACTTGGGGGTAGAGGAAGCCCTTTCAGAAAAATTCTGTCAGTCGGTTAGCAATCGGGCGATGTTCTGGTGGTACGCACAGAATAACGGATATGCGGCTGCTGCTGTACAAGCGTTTGGCTACGTAAAACATGTGTGTTCCGTCGTAGACCCGAAACGACGGCTTTAGAATCTGACATTACCGTTATCTTTTATTATTTTATTTCCTTCGTTCAAGCAATGTCAATTTCGTTGACACAAAGAGAGTAATAGACAAAAGGAGCGAACATTTGGTCTGCAGTCCGCCACATGCGCTCGGTAACCTGGGACCCATCCGCGCCGGGCGTTACCGGGGCGCGCTGACTCGCAGACAATACGGCTGTAAACTCTACCGTTGAGAGACTCGAAGCTTCGTCGCGGTCAACTCGCACCGTGACCACGTGCGCGATATTTTACCGACGTCCGCTTCACCCTGAAGAAGAGGTTTTCCACCTCCACGTCACTTGGAAAAACCTAGAAATTTGCCTTCCCCTTCAGGGCATAACCAATAAGGAAGCAAGGTTTGGTAACGCCTTCAGCGAATTTGGAGGAAGCGACGACACACGAAAATCAGACTCAAACCAGAACTCACCCGGTGAACATCACACACACACACACAGACACGCACACAAACACACAACTTGTAAATACAGTCATTACGAAACAATCTAAGTGTGCTTTATTTTCGGTTTCGAAATTCTAAAGATCGTGTAACGGTTCGGCAATTAAGTGCGAACATTGCACGACCTAACAATGTGTTAAATTGAAAACAATCGGCCCGTTTCGGGGCCACGAATTTTCCTAACGTAAGAACAATACGTTCGATTAAAAATACATTGAGTGATCGTGTCGGATGATCAGTGTTAATGGTCGTGCAGTGAAGTGAATACGTATTCGGTGGAATAACCCGGACGCACTTGACGTTGCAACCCTTAACTTCGGCTGTTGAGGTATACCTGCGGTCACCTGCGGACTGGGCGATACCCTGCCATAAACCGTTTCAGTCGTCGATGACCAGGATCGGTACAGTGACCTAATGACACGGGTCTGCAAGCTGCAGGTGATTTTCCGAAAGGGTGAGTCTATTCAATTTATTGTTGATTATTATTTCTTTAATTTAACGCAAGATATATATGACTTTTTCCCAGCAATAATTCTGCAAGTTTCCGTACCTACATTTTGCTTCGGGCTTCTTAAGGATTCTGTTTAAAAAAATTATTGTGTATTCGTCTTTTTACGTTACATATGATTTTCTTACATTTAGTTTCATCCATTCATCACTTTAAGTGACAAACGAAAGATGATAAAAAGTTCGGTTTGTTGTGTTTTTCTTATTTGCTATTATACGCGGTTTCCTAGGATACATGCCGACTTGCTTGTTCGGAGCTTCATAGTACAAGCGTAGCCATCGCTTGCGCGGGAACTCGGCTGGCAAACTCGCGCTCTGATTGGTCCGGGTTTTTCGTTAATATTTCGTTAACGAAGCCGCAGATAACATTTTCGCTAAGGAAAAAGTGGTTTCAAATCATCCCAGCAATTTTGAGACACCCTGTATTTATACATATGTAGATGCTGAACAATACCTATAAATGCGGAATTATGTAAAAGAAGCTCTTCTACGTACACCTGCGCATTGTGAATCTATAGTTATTTCGTATGTGCGACAATGTGAATAAAACACTTAAAAGAGAATGCGATGGAAAGTGCATTCAAATATTCAGTAGTTAACGATTATGGTATATTCGGTGTCTCTCCAGAGGGAGCCACCATCGCCGGTGGTGACTGAAGCGACGCCACGCAGCACGCGGCAGGGGGGGCAGTACGGGCGCGACAAGGTCTCTAATCGCACATGTATAGACAACTGATTAACCTGATCCTTTATTCAACCCTTCTTAGTTGTAATCTTAGTGTTTATAACATACCATAGTGTTAACCAAGAGCAGTGGATGTTATTTCGTTAAGATTGTTTACATTTTACTTACTGGCAAGCCTGGTGGACCTTGGATACCAACTTCTCCATCTGTGCCGTTAAGACCAGGTAAGCCGGGAAGTCCTTGCTCTCCTTTTGATCCTGAAAGCAGGAATTTCTGCTGTTCAAAGTAGATATACTGTATGCAAAAGCTCAACTGGTCCACGCAATAGGTATTTTCTACCGATGCACAGACAAGCACGCGGTTGTGCTTAATATATCCGTCCATCTCCTGATCTTCTTTGCAGTTTCGTCCATTCATTCATATCCATACTCATTCGTGTCAAAACGCTTGTCATTGTTATTGCAAGCATGGTGGTGAGAATATGAAGAGACCAAGAGTGGATACACTTTGTAATAGTGTTAGCGAAACGAGATGATAGAAAATGGACAAATTTATGGTTTTTCCAATACCTAAAACATTAACGAGACATTAAATTGTTAGTTCCAAAAAATTAGGAATGCATAATTATGTATCGTCAATACGACGGGAAGGATTGAAAAAGACAATTGAATAGAATGGTGCATAGAGAGGAAAATTGAGAGCTACTGACTTTAAAGAATCATAACTTCTAAACGAATGTATGAAACACAAAAATTTGAACTGTATTTTGCGATAAAAATGTAGACTTGAATCCACAAAATGGCGTCCCAATGTTTGCATCGCTTGCGATCTATGAGAAGTCATTATTATTTTTAAAGTCAACAACTCCTAATTTGCCACTTTATGCACTTCCCTCTTTATCTTCTTGTTTTACAATCATCCCGTTGAATTGACGGTAAATAATAATGCATTCCTAATTCCTTAGAACTGACAACTTAATGTCTCGTTAATGTTTTATGTATCACAATAACCATAAATTTTGCTATCTTCTATCGTCCTCGTTTGTGCTATACATTACTTGCAATATTTTTGAACGAGTTCTGAAATTATCCAAAATGATATAGAAAATAGATAAAAACTTGCAGAAGCACTTGATCATATAAGAAACATTAAACTAAAATTCCTACACATAGCAGGGAAATGACAGCAGTTTTTGAAAGAAAAGGGTAGAATAAAGCACCCTCGCGTTGATGTTAACGTAAAAGAATAGAAAAACAATCGGGTTAAGAAAAACACTGAAGTCTCCGATCGTTGATTATAAACGTCGCGTCGGATGGCGTTAGGATAAAAGAGATCGTTCTTCGTCATTCATCTTTTTCTTGAATTCCATAGAAGAATGGCTCGTGGAAATCTACCTGGTGAGCCTGTGTCTCCCATGATGCCTTTCTCGCCCCGGTAACCCCGTTCACCGGGTTCACCCTTCGGACCCGGTAAGCCGAGTAGACCTCTCATCAATGCCATACTGCTTTCACCCTTGAAACCCTATAATGCAACACTGTAAGGTCAGATCCAACCAGGTCCTCCATCGATGTTTAATCTTTTTTCAACAATATTTCCTTTTACGGCGAATCGTTAATCTGCTCTTATTATCCCTTCGGAAAGATGGACAAAAGGAGATGATTGGTTTTATCGGATACTATCTTTACTGTAACGGCCGATTTTGGCACGGTTTTAACTTTCCCATGTGGCAGCGGTACATTACAAGATACCATACGTTGGGATCTGTGTGGTTTTTATGCGCAAATTTATATAAAAGAAACGAAACCGTTGATTCGCTCCAAAATCGCTCGATTCGACTACGCTACATTAAAAACACGAAATACAGACACAGTGATTAATACGTAATCAACAACACGAAAAAAGTAGTACTACTAGACTCGCATGCAATAAATTCACGACAAGGGGGCATCTGTTAGTTGGATCACATTTACGAGGGGAACACCACAAGTGTAACCTTCACTTTTTCATCAGCTTTTGCCAGTTTGTAGTACTCGTCGAACTGAACACGCCCATATCCCCTTTTGAGCGTAGACGGACATTAGTTTACAAGATATTAACAATTAATGTTCATTCTTGTGTGATGTACATAATGCTTCACTACTGGCGATACGGCAATGATTTTAACAAGTTCTCTAGCGAAGCATCACGACGGTATTTGAACGCACGTCTAAAATGTTTGCATACATCTCGCAATCGGACACTTAACCGCTGCGCTAAGCACATAGTTGAAAGTAGGGCTATTGACTTGAACGAGAATCTTGATTCGGGAGTCGATCGTCCATAGGTCATGTTCTGATCAATATTGGCAATGAACGGAATACAATTTTGACGGAATTTCTTTTGAGAAGAGTGTCGCAAAACTACGAGAGTCTAAAAACTGATTAAAAAGTGATGGTTACGCTTGGGGAGTTTCCCTCGTTAGTAGGAACTGAAAGCTGTAAGAATTTCTCTCTCTTCTTTTCTCTTAATATGTCTTCGTAGATCCTATTTTCAATTAGTACATTCTCATTACACCTGTACGTTTTTAATTAACTGAAACAGCTACTACAGTAAAGACTCCATGAGAGTTTAAAACTCGGGACCGTTTCAAAACTTTCACGGTGCACCGCAAATTTTTTCGACACCTCACAAATTTATTTTTAACCTGAAACCGAGCCTGGGCAATAAAAGCAGGGTGGGGGGTAAATTATGTGTTTGACAGGTACACGGCTCCCCACAAGTGGTGGAGATGAAATAGAAACTTTCACGAGGGACTTCCTATCCAACTCTCATGAAGCCTTTACTGTATTAATAAATGTACATAATCGCGATTGAATATTCCCACGACTTAATTTTTCTGCGAATCATTTTACCTCTGTTACAGTGATTGTTCATCAATAAGAATCATGACGATTAATTTTCCAATTTTTATATTATTACGTTATTATAGAATACTTTGAGATATACTCTTGCTTCTAGCTCAACTATCGAACATTCCATAATAGCGTCAAAGTATGGAAATCGACTTGTAGGCACTGAGTTATTTTGGTAAAACGTTCAAAGACAACTATCAAGAGAAAGAAAAAAAAATGAGAAGACGGAACATATTAGAATGAGATTAAAACACTGATTAAAAAAGAACTCAGTATTACGTGTGACTTTGTGGCGTACAACACGATATAGTATACTAATGAATTGAGAGTAAAGCTACATACTTGCTGAGGGACTGTTTGATACTTACGCGACAATTGCAGGCTTGCATCGATCATCGGTGGATAAAGTTGTGAGAGCCTCAAAGCCAGGAGTAGTAGTTATTAGTTATTAATGATTTGATTCGACACACAGGGAAGAAGTAATGTGATGTTACTTGCTACATTAAACACACATTAGTTATCAAGCTACGCACACTACGCCAAATACTACTGACTAAAATAAGCGGTCGGTTTCACTCTCTCACTCTTTGATCCTCTTACTTCCCCTTTCCCCGGTTTCAATCCTTCGCTCGTTCACTCTATTTACAAATACGACAATGTTTATTAAAACTCGAATATTTACAGTTATCTGAATGACTTCAACGTCGCAACACAAGAACTAATCAGAAAGAATTCCAATATCCGAGTAGATTCGAACAAACGCGTCTATCAGTAATAGTCTTTTTCTTTCCGGGCGGAATTTTCTTTTTTAGTAACTTAAAAACACCTTTGAATGTTGACGGTGTTGAAGATCGTTGAATCGATGTTCTCGATTTTACTTTATTTATCAGATAATTCGAACCTTAATTGTATGTATTTTATTAGGCGCGATGAGTTAGGTAAATGATGATTGAAGTCTCCCTGCTTGCAAGTGCCTTTGAAAACCGATCATTCTTTAGATCGTCTAATATACTTACGATCAGACCTTAAAGTAAAATAGGTTAAACGGTTCTGAGTCAAATCACTTTGTGACGGTTACGGGGTTTAATACACAGTCGTGTAGTTTAAGTGCATCCGGTCAGAAAAGAAGCACTTTTCACATCTGTTTCGAAAGACACTTTATTCGTGTGTCCATCATGTAATATAAGACTGGTGTTATATCCCGACAAATAAATACATTGGATAAAACAGCGAGTATCGATTCGCGTACGTGTTATTTGCTGCCACCAACGTTTACCAATCGGTAATCGGAAAATCGTACGTGTGATCTATTCCATCTACGCGTCGATCTAAACATGACGATGACAGGATTTCAGAAAAGATTCTTTTTGTTTTGAGACAAGGTATAATTTTTAATCCACGCCCTCGTAAATTCTAACGTTCCGTTTAATTCCTGAACCAGAAGCAAAAACTCGAATCGTTTGCCTAATTTCTGGCAATATTTCCATTTCGTGCGCGCTTTAATATAAGAATCTAAAATCTCTACAGTTTCAGATTGAATCCACGATCCGAAACACAGCAAGAACATTTTCCATCCATTATCGTCAAAACGACAGTACAATTTAACGGGCTTTTTGTTCTAGTTCTCTAAATGAAAAGAAGCAGGTAACAGTATGCCATGCGTGCTGCATGCTTGGCATGCTTACGTGTTGTAATCATGCGTGTGCTATCGTTGTGATTTCTACGCAGGCGTTTCGAAGCATGAATAACTGTACAGTAGGGATGTGCGGATCGTCTCGAGCCGTGGGGAATCCAAGGTTCGAACCGGAATGGAAAAATTCGAGCGGGATCAGACGGGATTGGACGGGATTTCCATACCGCCGTATTGTACGGGATCCCAAGACTCGACTCGGAATATAAGCATAAGCGGTCAGTCCGACTTTGGATCGACTTGGCAAGAATCGGTCGCGATCGGTTCGAGAACTCAATAGCCAGCTATACTTGGGAGCTGCTTAGTTGGTGCGCTCCTACCACTAAGAAACTCCCATGGTGGGGGTGATCCCTCAAAGACGCCAAGTGTACTTTCGAACTTTGCCACGAAGCGAGAGCACTACGGTCTTATGGTTCAGTCATAGACCTAGAAATGAGACCTATATCACTGCGCTAACCTGGTTAAAAAGCCACTAAAATCAGTGTTACAATTCTACGTCTATCCCAATGCGATCGATTGGTCACTCTATCTCATTTTTTCTCGATGCTTCTCCTTGGCGACTTCTGTCACGCAATAGACTTATGGTTGTGACTAATTCAGCTAATAACTACAATACGTGTGATTAGAGGCGGTGCTGCGAATTTCATTTGTTCCCAACTGTACATCTTTCTACCCCTCTTTTTTCTCTACTCTCTATACTCTTTGTTTTCTTCTTACAGCCCGCTCACGTTTGTAGCCCAAGTCAAGTCTAGGGATTCTGAGCAATACAGAACTATGGAGATCTCACTTGATTCCAGCCGAATTTTTCCGTCCCTCCCCGAGCCCATAATTCCAGGTACCCGAACACCCCTACCTGTTCAGTCATTAAGGAAATAGGGTATAGCTTTTCGATTTCGACTTCGATGTAGTGTTTAAACGCACTGATGAAAATAGAGATGAGCAATTGCTTGTACACGCGGGGAAATATAAACTATTCGATGAATAAGTGAAAACAAACAACTCAAACAGAATAGATTATGAGGCGACAATTCCGAAAAGGTTCACCCTTCGATTTTCATGAATTTCGGTAAAATTCTCCTAAATATTCGCAAATGAAATACATGTAAAAGGCTTTCTTGCGCGATTGAAAATTAACTGAGATAATGATCAGGTAATGGGGTAATTATTTATTTATAACACATAAAGCGTGCACTGTATCGCAATGTGTGGGTGGGTTATTCATACAAAAATTGGTTCAAGTATATATATATATAAAGATACATCTATTATTTTAGTGTTCTCAAAGTTAATTTTCAATTGTACTAATGAAAGAATTGTTTGTAATACAATGCGGAAATATGTGGTGTCGGTAAAATTTCAGAAAATCGAAATATAGGTAGCGCTAGTGCAGTTTGAATAAACCCATTTTTTCTAAATATTTTTTTATCTAACTAATACTGTTTGTTGCAAAGGGAATTAGTATATGCTACTGGGTGTGCTAATAAATTTGTTTGTTGACCCGTTTGGCCAATTGTTTTTCAAGTGGAAAGCTTTATTCGTTTGTTATTCGTATGTCATCGCATCGGTGGTTGCGGCTAAAAAGTTGTGTACGATAAGAAGTTCAAACACGTATATCAGACCATTGCTAAAATTAGTTTAAGAGTACCCTCCGGTTAAAAGTTTTGAAAAAAATCGATTTTTCTTTTGCATATTTTCATCATATAGTATCTCAAGAATGCTTTGTTAAAGTTTCAGTAATAAATTCGCAACAGATTCTACAAACATTTATTTACAACGCGGTCATTTGACTTACAGCATAAAGTGACTAACCAAAAATACTCGCACAAGCCTCCATTAGATCTAGAAATACAAGAAATTGTAAAACCAGTATACAAAAGCTTGAACTTGTAAGACGTTGTATAGGAAGAAATACTCAGAACAATAACGAAGCATTCAATAAATGTATATGGCAGCTCGCTCCGAAACTCCGAAACCCATTTTGTGGAAGAAACGTTCTTGAAATTTCAGCCTGGGTTTCGATATGCGTATTTAACGAAGGATGCGAACCTTTACTAACAATTATGGACTTATTAGGCATTAATATCAGTCGTCGCGATTAAAATTTTGCCGCTAAGAGAGACCTAGGGCGCATCACGGAAGCCAACCGTCGTAGTACGAACGCGTCAAAAGAAGATAATGTAGCTCAAAAAAAAAGAAAAAATCGAGTTGGAAGTGGAATATGAAGTTACGGAAGGGTTGTTGTATAGTGCAGTAATATCTGATTAAAAGTGACAACCTTTAACATTGAGCTATGTACGTTTAATTAACTTGAGAATGAACAAAGAAACTTTAAATGCGTTTTTCTCGGAACGCGTTTTTTTTCCACGGACGCCACGGTAAAATTTTAATTATAGGTCGATTTTAAAAATTCTTGCGACATTTTGTTCACAATTCACGTCGCTATCGCGTTACCTACGAAGATTAACCTGGGATCACTCATTTTTTTATAGACAAATTTATGCATGAAAAAGTCCGCTTTTTTGTAACATTCTGTTTAAACACGTGCCAAAGATCGCCGGATTGTTTTTTAACATGTATTTTAAGAATATTCTTGTTTGTTTGACTTAAGACGATCCTATCATGAGTTCTGATGGCGCCCGTCAAAACCTCCAATTTGTACAGTAGTACATTGAGTGCTATATATTTTATGGAAACATTGTTAAAATTTAAATTATAAAATTTGTTTTGTATTCTTCAAATATGTAGCAACAAGGATCAAACCAGTTTTTTACCATATGTCATTCCATTGTCTTTTTATAAATTCATGAAAATCACGAACTTTTCGAGCGTTTTGACCGGAGGGTACCCTTAAACCACAGAGTTCATGTAAGCAAAGGTCCGGTTTTACATATCTACAGAAATTTAAGTACTCAAGTGATTGAAGTATATTCTACCATGCCCGCGTATTAACGAGACAACAATAATACAACGATGAAACTTTTTCATTGTTGGCTTTTTATTAATGAAAATTTGTTTAGCATATTAGTGAGGTTTGTCTGATTAATATGATACCAAATATGATGTCATCTTAATCATTTGTGATTTATCCGAAGCGATAATGAATGAAAATAAATTAACATAGTAATAAAATTTTCATTACCAAAGACCCAAAACTAAAAATTTTGCCCTTATATTTGTGTTATCTCGCCAATACGCGGATTTATGGTCTTTTTTTGACTTTTATTTTTTACCCGTCGGTTTATGAAAGGGAAGCCGCGATGTGTTACACTGATCGCCTTACTGGTTCCAAGGGGAAACCACCGGGTCGTGGGGATGAAACAGAAACTTTCAAGGCACCAATTTTGTTGAGTATTTCATGGGTCATTACTGTATTTGTAAAGAATAAATAGAAATCGAATGGGCAGGAGAAGAACCAAAGTTTTATTGAAGAGTAATAACTGCGGCGTATGTAAAAAAAAATCTTAACAACCTCGATTGATGTCTTCTTTGAGAACAGAAAGTATGAAATATTCAGGCAGGCGCATGCACTTTGTCCGTCCGAAAAAGCTTTAAAACGTTCCCAGCTCGCGTTACATATGTACGACAGAGGTATGTAAACTGGTAAGGATATCTGGGAAATGTTGTTAAACATGGACTGAATGGGGATGGGGAACAAAGTACACGAAATACGTTGGATGTAATTTTGTCTTTCTGAATTTTGATGGAAGTTGGACGTTTGTACGGGTGGTACTTAGGATGAAATGGTTTGTACGGTTGATTTGGTCGGTGGTAGTTTGCCGGAGGACCTCGTTGAAGCTTACCCTCTTCCCTTGCTTTCCCCGGGGACCCTTCTCTCCCGGCAGACCGGGTGGTCCAGTCGGACCCAGCTCCCCCTTCTCGCCCTGGGGCCCTGCGTGGTGTGTACATCACGTGCATAAAATAAAACAATACATTCGTTCTTTTCCACACGCACTCTCGCTTTTATGTGAAATTACGTGTATAAAATGATGAAGTAATTTCGCCGTAAAGCTCATTTCACACATCTCAAAATACACAACTGTGTTTCAGTCAATTTTATACTGCATTAGTAATGCGTGCGTGTGGATATATTTCTATGCAGATCAAAAAATTAATTATATTTCTCACTTATAAAATTTATAAGCATAATAATGCTTTATAATAAAGCTATTATTTTTATCATCATATTACGGAATGGTGGTGCCCGAAAGAAAATTTTGCAACAACAAAATATTTGCTAATTTCACTCATTTTTCTGCTGTTTAAGGCATATTTCCGATTTATGTATGCATATCGCACATCTTTCGTGAATACAAAATTCGAAACGTAGGTAACACATAGTTGCACCTGTTGAATTATCTCTCTAGTAGCACAAAAATATTAGTTAAATATGTTTTTCAAATATTGAAATAATATTTTTTGAGCCACATTTTTTAATATGAAATAAATATTGAATCCAAATATTGTATACATATACAGGAAATATAAAATAAATGATTAAAAAATACAAACTAAATATTCATAGAATATAAAAGAAATATTTAAAAAATATGAGTTGAATATTTAGACAATAGTAAATAAACACTAAAAGTGTGAAAAGAATGTTTAAAAAAACATTAAAATAAGTTTCATACGCCGTTTTTTGTATCCGAAATTAGTCTTATTTTTTGCTATCTTTTTTTTTTAACGGGTGGAAAGCTTTTAAAAGGTGTACCGTCTCCGCTGACCCACATGATCGCCAAACTACCGCAACCAGTCCCGATTGAGTTCACCGTCAGTGATTCTTACCATAAATAAGTTTTCCGCACGTGCACACACTCGATCCACATTTATGTGTTAAATTATTATATCTCACTTTCCTCCCAGATCAAATCAGCAACGATCAATATTGAAAAGTAAGTGGAAACAAATATTTCTTGTATATTCGGAAAAAACTATTTTGTTTCCAATATTAAATGAATATTTCTTCTATATTTGGAAAAACATATTTTCTTTCTAATATTAAATAAATATTTATTTTATATTGGGAAAAAATATTTTTTTCGTAATATGAAGTATACATTGTATGTATATGTAAATATTAAAAAGAGATTGAATCTATATATATATATGTATGTATAAATATTGTATGAATATGTATTCAATATTTTGTGCTACTAGGGCTGTCACCGTGTCGTAATGTACACCAGTGGTCACAGTGTGTCTGACAATGAGTAAACTGAGAACGGTTAAATATTTCGTAAGCGAGTGAGGATATGAAGAAATTGTTCTTAAAATAGTTTTCTGGTGCACGGAGGGACATTACAATGGTGCGTTGGGCCCGACAAGGTTCTCTGTCGATGCCACAAAATAAAGCACAAGGAAGTATATACCGTCCTTCCTTCCCACCCAATACACAGAATTACCGTATTTGTTGTAATTACAATGGACTCTTCATATACATATTGCCACGCGAGGCATTGCCCCGCACATAAATTCGCTTTCCCCCGCATTGCATACGCTGTCCCCACCAGCACGGCCTAGCTCTTGCGCAGGCGCTAGGACCGGGACTGCTCTAACTATATTAATTATAAATATGGTATCATCATATTTAGTATTTAGACTATATCTGTATTCTGCCAACGTTCAATTAAACCTGAACCGTTCTAATGCTAACCTAATACCAATTCTACTGTGAAAATTGTATGAGTCACGACACCACCTCATCCTCCCTTCCATTTAGCCCTAGCAATGAACACTATTCAATTGATGATAAAATTGCATAGATTTTTACACGTAGCTCAAAACGTTTTAAAGCTTCGTACCTTTACTCGCTTACGAAACATTGAACAGTTCGTAGTTGACCCATATCAAACTCACTTTATAGACAATTGTAGGCACAAGTTGTATTTTAACTTCCCGAGGGTGTATATCTTTTCGAACTGCTTGCAACTGTATTGACACCGCATTTTCACGCGCTGCGATTGGTAGCCAATACTACCACGGGAACTTGGCCGGCAGACTCGTGCTCTGATTGGTCGGGGTTTTTCGTTAATATCTCGTTAACAAAGCCTCGGAGAACTTTTTCATTAAGGAAAAAGTTGTTTTAAACACCCTTTTCAACTTACACCTATTTTCAGACACCCTATACGCTACATTAGACCGCTAACGTTCATAGCTTGGCGCAGGAAGAAGTGATCGAGTCTTTCCTACACTGTAAATGGCGGACACACCTGCTGCAATGTATGTCCGTTATTTGCAGTCTAGGCAAGAGTATAGGAATTCAATGTATAAGACTCCCCCCACCACTTGCATTACTTTTCTTTCAGCTGTTAAGCTGCGTCTACACTATATAGCAAAACAGTGTTATACAACAAATTGTTCTGTAACCTTGCTTATACAACATGTTTTTATAACTTGTTACAAGACTATACTTTTCAGACAAGTCTGTAACAAGTTTGTACAACATTTCGCGTCTCATTATTGATAATGGCGTCACACTAGATGGATAATATGTAACTTGCTGTAGAACACGAAAAATGTTATGTAACATCACGTTATATAACATTTTTCTTTCTGTTTTTCTAACAAATTTTATAACTTTGCTATATGACATATTATGTTATAGATATAGTGTAGACGCAGCTTTAGCAGTCTAGTGTTGTATATACAAGTCTGGGGGCTGGATCTGTGTCCCAACTTCAGAAGGAGACAGGTTACATTCGGAGGACTTGCTACCTCTTTCTAATATAGCTGAGTCAACCAATCAAAACCTGGAAAATTTTTAATTGAACATCTGGGAATCCAAAGCCGAGTGACGGTAACATGTATAGGAAACAGTTGTTCAGATTGATGACCTTGAAAACATATTTCAAGGTCATTGAAATCGAAAGTATCTCCGTTATTCTTTATAATGACCTTAAATACGTTATAAATAATAAATACAATATTGCAATAAAAGGTGACTGATGGGCGCGTTTATTAATTCTGTTGGGGTACATTTATGTTGGAGCTGCGAAAGACAAGCTATTGTTTTATAAGGAAAGTGTTTATATTGGAGCAGCGAGCAAAAAAAGCGACGAGAAACAAATATTTCTTTTTTTTCGCTGTTATTGCAGCTCCAGCATAAATGTACCCTTAGGCTGACAAGCGACAAGAAGCTTGTGAGCGACAAGAGAGGCAGCAGCCACCGATACTTGAGTACCACTGCTGGCTTTACGCGTTTTGCCAAATTATTTCGTCTTTGTATTGAAAACAAACGCATAGTAACAGTTATCTTTCATGCTTTCTTTAGAAAAAATGTCTGCCTATCGAATAACTATTCTCGTTTAAGTACAAAACATCTTCAAAGTTGAAAATCTGAATTTTAAAAAAAAAATGTCCCAGAAACTAGAGTTAGGTGCGAAACAAGGATTGCCGATTCATATTCAGCGCATAAAAATCGACGAAGTACGCCCATTGAATATGAGTGGATTAAAAAACGTTAAAATTTGTTGAACAATTATTATCATATTGTTAACAGACAATAAATAACACCGTACTAGGAGAAGTAGGTTTCGAATTCTTCATCGAAAATGTATCACGTACGGGTAATTTGTTACGACAAATTTATAAATTTATTTATACTCGGCTTTGTCGGTCTAAGAAGTTGAGAAATCAAAATTTATACCGCCACCTCATTCACGTGTCGCTGTCAGTCTTTAAAGTATTTAAATTACACCACGTATGTGCTTACCAGGTGGTCCTGGTGGACCGGGCGGTCCTTCGAATACTCCGGTAGCAAAGGGTTCGCCATTCAAGGATGTTGTCAACCCTCGGTCGCCTTTATCACCCTTGTCACCCTGCGAATAACGGAATTTCAATAATCAAGATATGTCGTAATTTCGAATGCGGTTAGTATTAACCCTTACGTGGACAACTAAAATATTCCACGGTTACTGACAAATCGGAATACCTACTCCTATTCTGAAAGATTAGATAAACATAGATAATTTTACTTTCATACTTTTCCGAAACTCTTAGTTTGCACATCCTATATTATACCAAGTACTGTTATAGACAAGTACACAAAAAATTGTGAAAGAAAATTTAGAAATGGGTACCTGGGTACCCGGTTGCCTACACAAGGGTTAAGGAAGAAGGTAGACGGTGTAGAATTGGACAATGACAGTGGTGATATAAGCCAGCGAAAAATAATTTTCAACGTTACCTTGATACCCTGAAGACCCGGAGTTCCAACTGGACCAATCGGCCCAATGGGTCCTGGTGCTCCTTTCTCACCCGGTGGCCCAACATCGCCTGGAGCCCCTTGTCTGCCTTCGTGGCCAGGAAGCCCTTCGGCTCCCGAAGGACCGGGTTGCCCTGGTGGTCCAGGTTCCCCTGGTTCTCCCTGTTACGTTCCAAGAGTGTTACGTCGGTACCGCTTTCTTCCGGCGAGAGCCCTCGACAAGACTGTCTCTTGGTACTCGTCGGATTGTGTCATAAATGAAAGGAACAGGAAAGGAGCAGTGGAGAAAACTGCCGATGACAAATACAATAAAAGGTAGACAGAAGACAGAGAAATGAAAGATAGGAGGAGACGGTGGATTCAAAGAAAGAAAGGTGAGCAGGTCGAGAAGACTGCGGAGCGTGGCAAAGAGAAGGCGCATGGAAAAACTGTGCGTGGAACCAAAAGCGTATTTTATAACTACATATACCATATTGTTTTAAAGTTTACGTAACTAGTGTTTAATACCGAGGAGCATTCATTATGAAAAATTATTAAAACCTATATACCATGCATTCGTTTGTAACGGTCATCAGATGGTCATTGGAGCTCTAAGAATGCTAAGCTGGTTTATAAGTTCGTTTTCCTGATATATTACATTGTACTATTTTTTCGGGAGGAATAAAATTATTTGATTCACATCTGTATTAATTTAATTTTGTAGCCCTTGAAGCGGCCCTTTGATGTCGTATATTTCATTTGATTATTTAATTGTATTGTGTCACATTATTTGTTCAGGAAGGAAAGATATGGAAGAATTGGGAGTTCGTGTATTTTTGCGTCGCTACTAGAGGCAGAAATTCAAAACGGTAGAAGTATCGAAGAAAATATGCGAAGTCGAAAACGAATGTGTTATTTCAATTCGTTCAGAGCAGAAGTTCAGAAGGTTCAAAGACGGGGAGACAAATGAAATATACGACATCAAAGAGCATTTCAAGGGCTACAAAAGTAGATATTATACATGTGAATCAAATAATTTTATTTATTCCAAAAAAATAGTACAACGGAATATATTAAAAAGTGTAGGAATAGAGAAGTTTACGTAAATGTAAGTTTTTAACCTTTTTATGTCTGAAATATTATTTTTACGATCGACCCAGGTCATTTAAGTGTTGAATGAAATTCCTATACATATTTATCTTGTTCATTTCAGTTTTGTATTTCGTTAAAGTAATAATATTTTCTAATATTATACGACTGTTCCTCGAAGAATATGTTAATTGTATAATAGTTTGTCTCTAAATAAGGAAATTCTAACGAACGCCCTTCGTTCTCCAAGTTAGTCGATAATGTACGAAATAAAACCAACCGCTTGAAGATAACTTCCACGCACAGTTTTATACTTTCAGCGGATCATGCACAAATCAAGTGATATAAACTTCAAGACGTGTAAGTGTCCTTATGTTTCAATTTGATAAATGTTAATTTGTTTATGAACACTCTTTACATTTGATCGCATGCTAAAATTATTAACCATTTGATGACGAATCCACATGTATTCATTAAATCAATTCAATTTACTTAGTGGAAAAATATTATTTATATCATTTCTTATAATTTAAAAAGTTATAGATGCATACTCTATATTTGCAGAGGTATACTACAGTGATTAACAGATCGAAATATTACGTATTTTCAGTATTTTAAATAACTTTTTATAATGGAGGTAGGGTTAAGCCATTATAGTACTTATATTGCAATACTCAAATCATGATACCTGAGTTTAAGGACACAGAATGTCGAAACAGCCACTTAATAAGTTACAACCTAAGAAAATACTTTTATTGCAGAGATTTCCAAAATCTGCTTCCTCGATGCAAAAATAAAGAATGTCGTTTTTAAAAATATTATAATAAATAACCTTTGATATTTGAAGGACAATGAAATGACAGAATCGTAATTCGGTTTAATTTCAAGAGAACTGTTATTGTATTAAACGCTTCGCACTGCACTTGTGCAAATTACCACGTGAATTGAAAGTGAAAATGCGTATATATAAATAAACACGTCGTACACCGAACATGCGAATACTTGTGCTTGTTTATGCAAATGTTTTGGTCGCACATCCGTCTATTCAAACAGGCCCTGAGGATTACAATTGCAAAAAAGATAACAAAAAGTGACATACAATACATACACATGCGGGTACATTCCTTTACACGCAGACAGAACAGGGCCGTGCTATTTCTTCGAACATTAATTTACCTTTGCTTGCAACTATAAAGTATTATAGTATTTAGATAATTATACATCACTTTGCAATGATTCGCTTTGAAGAAAATAATATAACAGAATCGCACCTTCAATATGAATTTTTTGTATCCGGGAAAATGATTGCACTATATGCAATAGCCGGTTTTTACACCTTCGGTTTGATGGAGATTGAGGTACTGACGTTGCCGTAAAATTGACCTTGACCTTGAATTTGGAGGTCAAATTTGGGTAATTATTGAGAACATGGTGTTAAGCACCGATTTCAATGACCTTGAAATATGTTATTTAGATCATCATTCTGAACCACTTTTCTCTATACATATAATAGGCGATCTCCCTTAGTTTCTGAGATATTCGCGAAAAACTGCTCCTACTTAGTATAGTAAATTTCGTCTAGACGTGCACGTTCATGGCAAAATATGCATCAGCATGGGGCGACCGCTTGCTTACGTACTGTTTCTATGAACACGTCACAACAGCTGGCAAACAACGGCTGAACTCAGAAATGCTTAACCGACGTCAGTGATTTAGAATACTCAAATCAGTATAATGCTTTGAACAGTATTTTTTTTTTCAGTTTTTCGCAAATATCTCGATAGACACAATGCAGTATTACTGATATGAGTAGGTTAGAGCTAGTCGAAAAGAAAAGAAATAGTCTGCAAATCATTATACAGTGATTGCTCGATGAATGCGACAAAAGAAATATCGGCTAGCGTTCACAGGCTGTGAGCTTGGTGGTATTTACACTTCATTGGGGTGGGAAACTATTGCCAGCTTCAATGGGTAACGAGAAAATTGATCGATTACCTGTAGTAATAACTTGCAGAGGTATTGAACAACTGCGTGGGATCCCTGCAATACGATATGGTAGTGGAAACAATCAAGCCTCTGCGGTATATGATTTAGTGCAGTAATGGGATTTAAGTGACAAAGTGCGAACACTTTGCTGTGACACAACGTCATTGAACATGGGACGTTTCCAAAGTACACGTATCCTTCTTGAACAGAAATTTGAAAGAGACTTAATATATGTATTTTAAACAATTTCCTCGCAACCCCTGGTTTCCATTAACCGACAACAAGCGAATTAAAGGATCAGATAAATTAGTTATTCATAATTAGTCTTGAATCATGAATGATTTTCAGAAGATCATCCCACATTCTTTTGTTTATATCATCATTTTTAAAAGGAAGGAGGACCTACGTTACAAAAACTGCTTTGAATTTACTGCACGGCCCTGGAAAAACAGATAAGAAAGAGCGGAACGATACTTGGTGCAATACATATAGTAAAATAACAAGATGCGGTACATGCGTATTTTATTATGGTTAATGCGTATAAAGAGAAGTTCCGATACGTTCAATTTGACATTACAAAATATCTCTCGAAACTCTTTTTACGCAGGCGTTACTCGATTCACTAAATAAACGACATCAGAATACATTGTTTTATCGTCTTTTCTCTTCCTTGGAATCATAAGATGTGAACGTAAAACAATGAAGAGTATTTTAAAATACTTTCCTGACTGAAAATCTTAAATTCCGGAAATTGCAAATCGTGTCTGTATCAGTATTGCGCGCGGCTAGACCTCCATTTATTGTCCTATGAAATTGGTATTAATCGGTAAAGCAAATCTAACACAAATATTGCTTCTATGAAGAGAATATCAAATCGAATACTTGGCGAATCGATGAGAAGGAAAGGAAAAGGAAAAAGGAGGGGCTCCAAAAGAGCAGGCGCACTTACTTTCAGTTGTATGATGGTCTGCGCTGAGATATTATGCCCTTGCTCCTGAAGTCCCTAGAAGTAGGTCAACACTACGGGTAAAAATCAAAACGCTACCAGACGAAAACATATGGGTAACGGGTAGTAGGTAGGAAAACCTAAAATGGATTTTTTAAGGTATCTCGTTTCTCATTCCTCTTCCGAATCCAAGACATGCCCAGAGATATACCTAAATACTGTAACTTAAAATAAATACCATTACCAACCAAAAACCAAAGATAACAAAGTGCGACGACTAACACTTCGAAGCAAAACATAACCGTTTCGATGCAGTACATGTGTAAAGAGTGAGACTGGATTTGTCATAGTAAATGTGCCGGGAATAATATAACGTATTGTTGAATTACATACTTGGTTTTCGTTTGTCGCTGAAATTACAGTAATTGTGCTATATATGTAATTCTGCGCGTATATTTCCTGTCGATTACTTTGATTTAAAATCCTGATTACCCTTTTAACTGCACGCAATATCAAGTATCGACGTAACTGTTCAATTTATTAACACGATACATAGTCGTAAAATGACACTACGCATACATAAGATGTTCAGATGTTTTTTTCAGCGTGACATGAAATCACAATTGGATTCAGTCAAATTTTTCATTTGTTCTAAACACCCAATTGAAAAACGGAAATAACGAAGCGTCTTTCCTGAAGCAAATTGTCGTCGCACTTTAAACGAACGAGAACGCTACACCGAAAGCACTGTACGAGGCAACGACTAGAAATAGGATTGCGTCTAGGAGTGTGGACAGGCAACTCGGCGAAGATGGATTTCAAACAAGGAAACAAAATGTGGGCTGGCCAGAATGCTACTCGTTATGGGGATTAAAAAGGGGAAAGGAAATCGACGTGGCGGTGGAAGAGGGGAAAAAGGAAGTGAAAGAATAAGAATATGAGGAGGCAGAGGATGACAAAGAGAACGAAGGGGTAGAAGAAGCAGGAGCAACGCCGACGAGAAGAGATTTCTGAATCGCAACACGAGCCGTGTTGCCTTCCGAAGAGGCCGGTTACCTTCAGAGCGACGATTTCCGCATAGCCGAGCGTCCCGCCGCGGAGCGTCGTCACCGACCTCTTTAACCCTAATCCCTGTGCATTGACCCGTAGGCGAAAAGATGATTTATATTGTTAGTCTGCATCATCGAAAATCGACATTTCGTCGAGACAAAAATAAATTAAACCTTGTGCCGTGTGCCTATCAAGAATCCGTACAAAGGCGTTCATCCATCTTACGAGGGATCAACATTGTTAACTACTGACGCTTGACGCTGGTAAACGTATTCATTGATTAAGTTACTGCACCGCTTAATTTCGTAAGATTCTGACGCCATCACTCTGCCCTTAATTTACAAAATCGTAAATATTATTCTGTAGGAATGTGATCTTAATGAAGTTTTGTAACCTCGTTCGCGAATGGTCTCAACCAGTGATGGATCCGTGAACAAACAGACCAAACGTGTTTGGACCTTTTCAACAAAGATTATGTTCCAATACTTCGAACAAAACGTTTGAAACGTTAACATCGAAGAAACGTGTCGAAATAGAGTTCGGTCGTTTCAAGCACTCAGTCGGCCGAGCCGTTAGTGTCGACCAAGCCATTCGAACTCTGTTATCGTTACCCTCCTTGTCGTGCAGACACAAAGGCAGCCGTCAACCGACTCTCGAGCCACAATGTAAACACACAGAATGAATCACGCATGACTAAACAGTTTTGACTTCTACTTTTTTAAATGCACTTTCATGAAAATGTTATGAATAGATTGAGGGAATTCCCTTGCTGAGAATGGTCCAAACATGACAGTAAAAATTGGTTGATTACGTTCGTATGAAAATGCATTGAAAAGAGGAAAAGTTTAAATTTTATAGTCATGCGTGATTCGTTCTGTTTTGTTTACATTATGGTCCGAGGCTCGGTCGTCGGAGGCCTTTTCCTACCTGAAGGTCAAGGAAGGTATCGATAACGGAGCTCGGACAGCTCGGCAACAGTTGAACTGTTTGAAAAGTTTGATTCGACCGAACATTGTTGGAAGTATTTGAACATATCGTCAGGTGTTCGAACATATTCAAACAGTTTGATTACCCATTACTAGTCTCAACAATCTCGATATGTACGATCTGTTAGTGACATCTATAAGCTGTACTTTTAGTCACATTATGTTTCAATAACAATAACAAGGGTGTCATTTTTCCATGAAAAAAGTCGGTGAGTTACTTTTATTATTACGAATTCAATAAGTCAATAATAATTTGTATTCCTACATACGTCATAAATGAAGTCATCATGCATTAACAAAAACTCTGAGCTAATCTCATAGATTTTCTTAATTAACACGTAGCAAATAATCCGTGTAAATATATACGAGACATGTTCGGTACTCTATGTAGGTCGAGAACGCGACTTCGGTTTCCTGAACGCACGTATGCATATTTATGGGGTAACGGTCAACCACAATTAACGTAACATAGACAAGATGCTTGTCCTTCATTTGCATTGTTAAATAATATCAAACACTATTTGCGGTCAAGAACGAAGCCATTGTTCTCGATTGTTTCGCGAGCTAACGAGAAACAGCAAAAATCTTCGTGTAAATATTTACAGAAAATACTTGGCATATGTTCACACACAACTGAAACATTATTTCGCACGAAAAATTTCGAGAAACATGAGTTTACTGTCTACAATAATTTGTATTAGAACACGTTGATTAATTGTTAGAGGGATTATCTTCGATTCATTTCGAATGCCTTGATTTGTAAGTTATAGTACTTTATGCAAAGTTAGAAAGAAGCCCAACGAAAGGAATGCGGGTCTGATTAGTTAAGTACCCATGTGCCCATCTTCCCTAACACAATCGTAGAGACAGGGCACACCTACTTTCATTACTCGTTGAAACCACAACGCATACGCACATGCCCACACATAATGTCGGTAGCGTCGTAGACGGACTTACACAGGTAGACCGAGCTGAGTATATACAGGGTGTCTCAGCTAACTTGATCATCCCGAATAATGACATAATGGTACACTATATGAAAATGTGGAGGCTTGGAACTTAAATGGTATCACAGGTCACACCTCATAAGGTACGTGCTTTTTTTGTGGGTGGAGGCATTTCAGAAATTTCAAAGTCACCTTGATTTTTTTTAACGATACGACCTATTGTTTGTACCATAGAATGATAGTGAATGCACGCACAGATTATCATGGATATTTTCGGTTTCTATTAGGCATATTGAAATTACTATGTGAATGGGCCTTTTTTTAAAATATTAACAAGATATTTTACTATATTAGCGTTCGCAGTAACAGTAATTCCCAAAAAATGCTATATAATATGCAACGTGTTCTAAATAGTAGAAATGTACATGTATATTACAATATGTCGTTTAAAATACTAATGTAAAAAACAATCGTAATAGTCTATTCTGAAGTGTCAGTGAAAACACGAATGATATTTTTCGGTTGAAATATGTCTCTTTGGTAAAATAATTAATAACGTGGACCGTGAATAAACTGTATATTCTTTATTCGTGAAAATGCATCGCTTCATCGATTCTTTCATGACTTTTACTGCATTATACGAAGGATGATCAGAATTATGGGCATTTCGTGTGTAAAATGTATTACATAGATACACGAGTAATTAATATATCCGTGCACACGTGTATCTTTAATACATGTTGAAAACTGTGATCTCTAGTTTATACTACTCAAACAGCCGATTACAAGCTGACGCACGGGGTCGATCGATGACCTAGTGTAGGCTTGGGAATTAACTGCTCTTTTCGGCCGACTTTCAGAAGCAACGCCCACTTCTTCCCGCCGCGCGGCTTGGTCCCCGACACGCCCACAATGCTCTCGATGCGCCTCAGACGCGTTCATACCATGTAAAATTTAAAAGCTTTTTTCAAATTTATTTTTTACCGCGAATCATCACAAATTATGCGGCAGAAAAAATTATCATGCGAAACAGTGGGATAGGCTTATAGGAGGTACTGCTGAAAAAACAATTCATCGATAATAGTACTTCATGGGTGGTGTGGAAACCAATTGAGACGAGACTCCCCCCAATGTGCCACGCGCGGTTCATATGGTACGAGCCTGAGGGGCATCGAGCATTGTGGGCGTCGCAGAGGCCGAGAGGAGCGACAGGAGGAAGAGGGTGTGTTGCTTCTAAAAATCGGCCGAAAAGAGCACTTAATTCCCAAGCCTGACCTAGTGAAGCTAATGAATGAAATAAAATACAGTGAATGGAACCAGCTCATGAAAACAGTTGAACAGCATGCCTCTCAAGTAGAATAACCCATTGCGTCAGACGTATTTTACGACTATTCCACTTGCATTTTCAAAAATTAATAACTCGAAAATAAAACCGCAATCGTAATTTCTTCAGTCTTGATTTTTGTCTTTGGCATACAGAATCCACCCTTTAAAAGTGTTCGAGATTCACATTAACACCCCGTATAGAAAAGTAGTCGTCAGTGTAAAGTTCCACAATGATAATTTAATTTGCGCACAAGTTATAAATGAAAATCTTAACAAAACAGGGAATCTTAGTTTCTGATCAATCTTCGTATCTTTCTTTGCGGTCGTTTTCGACTTTATAATCGTCTGTAAGCGTGTATCCTTGAAACTAGTACATATTATGCAGCGAGTACTCTACATAACATAAAATGGTAAAACGATGCGTTTTTACGTTACGTGCTCTGATCTGTAGCGGGAAAATACGCTCTCACGCGTATTGCTCTCGCTAGATAGCGTAGTTAAATACCTTTACTGCAGAAAAGACGTCGAAACCTGGACTTCCGAGTTCACCTTTCTGCCCTTTATCTCCGGGTAGGCCCTGCAAAACGAAAGACCGTTGTATTTAATAGCAAAATAACGGTTCCCTGTGGTTAAACCGGAATTAAAAGCACTATGTGTTTTGATAGTGTTGGGAACGATTTACATGTAAAACATTAGAATCGTGAAAATGGACTTTAAACTATTCTCCCATGCGTCGTAGCTTCGGTTACACAAGTAAATCGCTATTATAATGGATTTTACCTCTTACTAACGCAAAAATAATGTCGGCGATATTTGGCACGTGTATAAACAGAATGTTGCAAAAGAACGGAATTTTTCACGCATAAATTTGTTTATAAAAGACAATGAGTGATCCAACATTAATCTCCATAGATGATGCGCTAGAGACTTTAATTTGAATAAGATGTCGCAAGAATTTTGCAATATCCATTGGGAGATCCTTTTAGAGTTTTTCGTCCAAATTACGAATCCGGAAGCAGAATTTCTGCATTTTCCTCAGTTTTTCAAAAACTAGAGCGTATGGCGTGAAAACTATAAAACGCTAGAAAGTTCAATTTAATCTTGAAAGATACAGAAGAGTCCTCCTGAATATATCAGTGCGTATAGTTATTAAATTGTATGATGTTTAACACTAGAACTACCAAGCAAGTCAAAATGACTTGTCAATACACTCTTACAACGACGATTAAAATGTTATAACAATACATTTTCTGAGATCTTTTCCACCTTTTATTAGGATATGAAAGTGAAGAAATTAGTCAATTTCTAAATTTCTAAATTTCTAGAAGGTTTTCACGTTTATCCACCGATCGAAGCAAATATGTGTTTATCGTCGGTAGTTCTAGTGTTAATGGTTGGAATGGCCGTGCAAGTTTCAAAAAGAGCAGATGTGCGTCATTTCTAGGCACTATTTTTGCTTTTTCGAAAAGTTCTGTATCTAGCACGAAAGTAGTTATATAAGACCGATTCTGGACCACGGATCCAACGGAAATCTTGATTACGCTATTGCATTCGTACATAAGGCAGACCAAAGCTTCAGCTCCAACAGAAAGTTCTCACGCGCACATCAGACAGGCCTGACCGTGAGTTAATTTCGGACATATTTTGGGCATTGATGATCCAACATATGACATTATACGCTGTACAGTTGCATTCGCACATAAAGCAGACCAAACCTTTGGCTCCAGTAAAAATTCTGGCGCTATTCTACGCGTAGACGGGACAGACAGAACCCTGAGCGAATTTGGAAATTGCTGACACAGCATATGATCAACTTCACGAACTTTTTTTTATTATAAATTACGCATTTTCGCAGTTCTGGAATTAGTGATTCACGAAATGTCGATTAATAAATTTGGTATACTGTGAGATACTGATGAGTGAATTAGCCGCGTCATCATCGTCATCATCGTTGTTTCGTAATTATAGACATGATAACGCTTGTGCTGGGATACCGAATTAGCTTTCGCCGCGGAAGGAATAATGATAAGACGTGTTGCAAATCCTAGAGAAAAGGAGACATTATAACCATAGCCTATGTCAATGAGATTTTGAAGAAACGTGACAGGAAAATAAAGAAACGAAGTGAATGTTATCGTTCACAATCGAATAATTGAGTTTCAAGACGCGATAAATAAATCGATTACTTTGAAATGCGCCAAAGCTGTACGGCAGTTTAATGAGCGAATACTGCGATACGATATGAGAGTAAGCTAAACGCTATACTCGATTGAAAATAATCGTTTACCGATTTGTCGATGTAATACGTCTTATTTTTTTATTATTTTTAACATCAACTTAAATCAACCACGCGGTGGTCTACGAATCCAGGGAGGGGTGCGATTGTTATGGGGAATTTTTATTAAATGAAAGTTAAAGTACATAATTTTTGTTTGTCTAAGCAAAAAAAGACAAATTTATTACAAATAATTAACAAACTAATTATTACATTCTGAAATGTATAAACAATATTAATAGCACAGTAGTAGTAATTAAAAATACATCAACGAATAGTAACATTTCAACGTCGGTCGACAGTTCGAATTCTATGTTAGTATACTTCAACATCGCATCCCATGTGACACCAGGAAGAGTAAAGTGCCGCACACCTTGGCCCGTACTCCGAAGGTTAATTAAGAAGATTCAGTCCTAGAAGACATAGCAAAAGTAGTGACTATGAAGTGCAAGAAATGAAGATTAAATTATATGTCAAGTTGTTTACTTACGTCGTCTCACGAAATGTCCATTGATTGAACGCGTATGAGGGGGAATGCGGGGAGGTATCTACGCGAGAACCACTAGATGGCGTGGAGGCACCCGGCACAATTAACATTGTCCCGCACATCTAGCACCATAATGATCTACACTCCACACATAATGATATGTGAAATGTCCGATCTTCCAGGACCAGGTAATGCACGACTGCGGAAACATAATCCTCCGGGTTGTTCCGTTTGGCGCAACTTCCGCAGTGCACCTTATGTGTGACTGGGTTGTACGCCACAGGGTGGCTGCTGCCATCGTATCGCCGTCTCCTGTACAGGACCCAGTCTGCTGCGGCAGGGTCCTATCAACCAATCAATATTCCTCGTGACGGTCGTGGCCGATTTCGTCTTTCGTCGTTGAATACACGATGGCCATTATTTAATGGACTTAATAATAATAATATGTACTCCATCATATTGATGCTTCGGTTGTATTACAAGTTGCAGAAGACTATTGTCAGCTTCTGGTTCTGAACGGTGTTTTATAATGCTCGTATTTCTCCTCACTCCATACGTATCCCGGTAGCATACGAGCATGTGCAGAACTGCTGACATCGCCATATTCATCCCCAACTGCGTCTGCAGCTTTACATTCGTAACTTATTACATCTCGTTCCGTTTCTTTCGTCACCCAATAATAAAGATTATTTCTGTTCCTAGATTTCGTAAAAATATATCCATCAATGCGGCTCTTGGGTTTCTTCGGGTTTGATTGTATAACTTTTGCAACTGCACGGTCTTCTACATGTGCTGAAGACATTTTTATTGACTGATCGCATCTTTAGATCAACTAACTAATCAGATATCGTAGATGTAAAAGTATTACATGTGAAAGCAAAACGCAGACTGATGCAATACTGTAAACGGTTCGTTAAAATTTGTGTCGATCATTGTTGTTGTTACCGGCTAATACCAACGTCGGTAAATTGTTGTCGATGAACACAGTGTCGGTGGAATCTTTGTCAATGATTTCAATGGGATCCGTATCACATACTACATATGTATATGAGAGTGATGCCTGCGATCTCGAAGACATAAATATCTTTACATTATCACATTCTTCGTCACCTTCTGTAGTTCAACTAATAGACGTACATACATATAGACGTATAAACATATTGATGTATAGCCGTTAGATGCAATACAAGTAGATAGCATGCTAATGTATCGATGTACTGTAGATGTATCGGTATACAAATGTACAACATAGCGATGTGTCGATGTATAGATGTATGGCAGGGATTCTGTAATGTCGGAATCATTCTGGACATGGTATTTCAACGATCTGAAACAGAGCAAGTGGGAAATAAAAATGTGATCGTGTTAAACTAAACATAATGATTTTTAATGATCAGAACATGACAAAACTGGCAAAATGCGTTAATAATATAAGCTCTGTCTTTGCTGAGAGATGAATTTTTTCGGAAACCCGCAACGGACCCGTCACGAGTACCTACTACAAGATGATGAAACTGCTGACTTAGTTTTGACGCTCGCAACACACCATCATTCTAGTAACCTTGAGATAAGAACGAGAATTCGGAACGTATGATCTGTCTCACCCGCCACCGTCTTACAATCCATTCTAAGAAACATGTACTGTGTCTTTGCTGAGACATGCATTTTTTCAAGATACACCATGGTCTGGCCACACGCGCAACGCGGCGGTATATGGTTGTTGGATTACGCGACCTACAGCACAATACATATTTTGAACATAATAGTTTGATTGCGAACTATTGGCTTAAATTTCACGACAGAACCAGAAAAACCGCAAAGTTAGGAATGCCTCATCTACGCGTCCAATGGTGCAATATCGTATGTGGCGTCAGCAATTTCGAATTCCGTTCAAGGTTACGTCTGGCTCATCTACACGTCGAAGAGCACGAGGATGCAAGACAGTATAACGAAAAGTGTGACATGTAATATCATATGCTGTATCAGCAATTTCCACATTCGCTCAGGGTTTCGTGCGTCTCATCTACGCATGCAATAACACGAGAACCTTGCAGAACATTCGCTCAAGGTTAAGTTTACCTCATTTACGCGTGCATAATATCATATGACGCATATGGTGGGTCAGCAGTTTCCAAATGATTAGCTCAAGGTCGGGTCTGCCTCATCTAGGGTGCAACAGCGTCAGAACTTTCTACTGAAGCCGAAGGTTTAGGCTGTTTTATGGGCGAATGCAATCGTGCAACGTATAATGTCATATGCTAGGTCCCTAATGTCCGAAATTAGCTCAAAGTCAAGCCTATTTCATCTGCGCGTGCAATAGCGTGAGAACTTTCCGTTGGAGCCGAAGGTTTGGAGCTCTGTGAAGTTAGCACCCCCAAATGCAAAATTTTATAAAGAACAAGCAGTATTCGTTTGTACATATTTGTCCAACCAAAATTTTCGTTTGTCCACCCTTCAAAAAAAAGTTATAAACAAATAAAGAAATTTGTCACCAGCACCCCCATGAACATTTTTCCTTAATTCTCCAGTTGGATATGATTGCCCGAGATTTGCCCATGTTTGTCCACCCAAAATTTTCGTTTGTCCACCCAGCAGAATCGAATTGTTATTAACAAAAGAAACGCACAAAAAAATAAGATTTAATATTAACGGCGACAAACAAAAATTTTTGGTGGACAATCGTGGACAAACGATTCCATTGCTTAGTTTAGAGAGAATGCAATAAGAAATATTCAGAGCGATCATATCTCATTGTTTTTGTTTTTTTTTAATAATTCGATTCTGCTGGGTGGACAAACAAAAATTTGGGATGGACAAACGTGGACAATCATATCTCAGTTAGAGATGAAGGAAAAATGTTCGTGGCAGTATTGATATCATATTCTTAATTTGTTTATAACTTTTTTTTAAAGGTGGACAAACGAAAATTTTGATTGGACAAATGTGGACAAACGAATACTGTTTGGTTTTCATAAAATTTTGCATTTGGGGGTGCTAACTTCACAGACCTAAGGTTTGGTGTACTTTATGTACGAATACAATAGCGTGATCAATATTTCCGTTGGGTCCGTGGTCCATTCCTAGAAAGGGTTCTATTCTGTTAGTCTATTGCCTAGAAAGGACGCACATCTCTGCTCTTTATGAAATTTGCACACGACCATTACAACCATTAAACATCACACAATTTAATACATATACGCATTGATATATTCAACGAACTCTCCCGTATCTTTCAAGACTAAATTGAACTTTCTAGCGTTTTGACAAAAACTCATGTTTTTCAAGAGACTGAGGAAGATGCAGAAATTCTGCTCCTGGATTCGTAATCTGGACGAAAAACTCTAAGAGGATCTCCCAATGAATATTGCAAATCAGAAATCGTGTTGAACACAGTGTTAACGACCTCTTTCAAAAATTCTTGCGACATCTTATTCCACTCGTTCTTTTATAAACAAACTTATGCATGAAAAATTCTATTCTTTTGCAAGATTCTGTTTAAACGCGTGGCAAATATCGCCAAATATTTTTTGCATTAATGAGAGGTACGACGATAAAGATCCGCATATATTTTAAGAATAAATTTGATTTTTTTAATTAAGACGAACCTATCATGAGTTCTACCCTATTAGGGTACGCTTAAATGACTCAAAGGTGGTGTTGCAATATTATAATATTATGTTCATTTTAGGACTTTATTATTTCTGTATACTTATTACTTTAAGCCGCGTCCCCATTGAGGCGGAATTTACCGTACGGCACGGCTCTGTGTCGGCTTTTGCCAGTCGCCACAGTATTACCGTACAGTTCAGTCGATTGGCTTTTCCAATATTTGTGGTACGTCTGCACTTCATTGCATTCGTTTAAAAAATACAAGCCGTCAAAATTTGTAATTTTTGCATACTTTCGTGAAACGGGGGTGTAGGTACTTATGAATTTTTATCTCGAAAACATTTATCGTACTGAGTTCATTTTTCCTTTCCTTTACATTAGAACGTTTCGCCTATTTGAATAATATTTTTTTTAAAGAGTTACACACGTTCCCAACTTAACGTGTGGAGCGATCAATCGGGAACATTTTTTTTCTTTGCTGCGGCGCGGCGGTCTGTCGGCTGAACGTTGCTGAACACGCTCAGTTTGGCCTGAACAGCCCAACCCGGTTCAGTCTCATGGAATGATTTTTCGTATGATTTTTCGTAAACACACACTGCAGCTGGCCTGTGCAGGCCAGACTGTCCTCGGGAATTACATGTCGCGGCTACCGTAACCGGATTCTATAAGAACGGTGCCGCAAAATTGATCTTGACTTGAATTTTAAAGTCAAATTTTTTTATGATTGCATTATATTCTACTCATTGCGAATGCAAAAAGTCTGAAAGTAACCGTGGATCGGCACTCAACCGTTCTCTTGAAAAATGATGTTAAAGATTTATTCGTTTTTAAATTGACTTTATTTATAATATTAATTTACATCTCGCAATCAGATATAACGCCGATATCGTGCTATTGATGAAACAGCAGGTATTTTTCATTTTCAACTTTATCTTTTGTTCGAAGGCTCCGAATAAAACTTCGAATAACTTTCGACAGCGCGTTTATTTGACACTGGGCATTTAAAGAAGTGAAAAAATGAAATGTAAACAACAAATTTTTAAAAACAGTAATTTCATCGCTGCGTCGTCCGCATAATTGTTTCACTTTAAATGCCCAGTGTCGACCTTAGGTCGTTGACGCTCGAGTTCGACGGTTTGAATAAGCACGCTGCCGAAAGTTATTCGAAGTTTTATTCGAATAAACGATAATGTTAAAATTGAAAAATTCCGACTGCTTCGACAATACCATGATATTTGAGTTATATCTGACTACGAGATTCAATATACAGTATGTCCCAAAATGATGGCACAATCCGCAACATGCATATTCCTCATGCAAATACAAATCGAAAAGTCCTTTACTGTCTTATAAATCCAAAGCACTTTTTCCAAGATATTAGCAGTTAAACGAACTCCAATCAGCTGAGCGGTTGGCCACGCGTACGCGCAAACAGTCACCTTTGAGACACCCTGTATAATGAAATGATAAAAAAAATTGACTTTTAAATTCAAGATCAATTTTACGGCAACGTTCTTACCTCAATCTCCACCAAACCGCATGTGTAGAATCCATAATTTCTTGACACCCTGTACCTACAGAAGAAATACGGTCATATTTTTATCGAACTTAATACTACGGAAGTGACGCTTCACGGGTTAAATATCAATTCACAAATGGCTTCTACAGTCTAAGAGTTAAGGAACATATTTCTATCAGCCACGTACAGACCTGGGCGCGGTTACATCAACGGGTGTCTCCGCTTAACGCTTTAATTTATGACCACGTTATATGGGCTCTACCAACTGTACTTACAACTCTATTTCAATTGATGTAACATATTGAAAAAAGAACTTGTTCGAAAACACACATTCTTGTCGAAATGGTTATTTCATCCATACAAATTTGGTCTATTAATTAATGATACTTTTAACGCAAAAGTTTAATATCAGTCGTTATTGGTATTATAGACTGAAACATTGAAACGTAGTTCTATAATACGCACAACGGAAACGTCTAATAACATTAACCTAATATTTTATGGATTCTTGAAAGGGCTGCTTCGGGCTGTGCATTTGAATCAATCGATCGACTCCGAAAGAACTATGTAGAGTGCACAGCGAAGAAAAATGATGTTTCTAACTTAAACATAAAACGATAACCCCAGATATTAGATGCAAACATTAAACGTTACTCCGTCTATTACCATTTACTATTACTGTCTAGATTTGATTTAAATCAATCTCCTGTAAGTCACTGCTCTGTGACAATTTTCTAATATTTCTAAATGAATTAGATTCAGCTTAATTTGAATAATTTCTGAAACGCGATTCAAGTCTTTTACTCCCAGTAATTGTTTTAAATAATAACACTAGGTCTTATAACACTCGGGGTTTCTGTAAAATTTTTTACAAAGAAAAAAGGAAAATGTTATTGAATCGTGCAGTTTTAACAAACAAAATGTTGAAATAGTGTTCCCAAATTATTTGCATTATGAATAAAAAATATATTGTTAAAATGAAACTTATAACATCACTGGATACACACTAATCACAAAAATCTCAAAAATCTGATATGCAATTTCCATTTTATTACAACAGGATATATGAATTATATGAATTATAACAACATAAACGCGTTATTCCTAATCACATGCCAGTAATCACGCTGTTTATACAAATCGCTTTAGTCTCATCAGCAAAATAAAAAATATGAAAACTGTAATGTGTGAATTTTCACCGATTCGACACATAACATGGCTTGAAATACCGGAGAAATCAAGGATCACGCGTCGTTTCGATTCGCTGACTCTCACAATCAGTCAATTCGCTCACTTTAACCTCTATTTAACCCTTTGGCTACTAAGCGCCACTATAGTGGCTGCCCGCTAAGGCGTTTTTTGGGACGAAGCGCCACTGTAGTGATTTCCCTCTGGCCAGTGACTACAGATATAATAACACTACGGATGCCATTGTTATCGAGGAGTTATGGATTTTGGGTGCCTGAGAACCTCAGAGTGAAGTAGGTCTCTGTCACCACAGACGAGATTCTCATCTGTGCTATCACATACATTCATATGTATTCCACATGTATGCTGCAGTTCTTTCGAATTTAAGTTACACAGGAGTTAAGGAAGTTATTTCTTGTAAGAAATCCAATTCCATTGTTCTATATGTATTCTGTTGTAGGTACACAGTTAAACCAACGATATTATCGGAAGTTCTCACGAAATAAACTACATATTAACTTACCGGTGCACCTTTTGGTCCATCCATCCCGATGGGTCCCTGAAAGAAGACATTGGTAAGTTTGGATGGTCAATTCTCGGCATGGTTGACGAAAGAAAGCGAAAACTTGAAAAGGCTACAAGCAGCCTTTGGAAAAATCATTCCCTTTGAAGTAATATGTATGCGCGCGTGAACATACGTAATGGATAGGTGTGTCATGAAGTGTCATAGTATATGTTTACTTCAATGTGCTTCGAAGTGTGTTTCGTTTATTAATCACAATTACAAACGAGGCGAATTGCAGATGCGACTATACATACAGGGTGAATCGCTCGCTGCTAGGGTCGAGAGGCAAGCCGCCTGTTTTATCATTTAAGAATCGCTAGCTATGCACTCCTGCTGAGCAGTCTATGTATGTAACGGAGACAGAGGGAGTGTCGATTTTCGCTCTGTCTCTGTAACACACATAGGCTACTGAGCAGAACAGCTACCGTTGACACGTTTATGGTCACAACAATTAAACGACAAAGCAGACGTCTTGCCTCTGGACCTTAGCAGCAAACGATTCACCTTGTATGTATAGTCGCAAATCTGCTATAGTATCTGTAGGTAGCTTTGATGCATTTACCCGTGTATTGGTAAGAGCAATGCACTCGTGACTTGGCGTTGTTCCTTTTGTGAGGTGTAGGAGCCAGCAAGACTCTAAGAAAGGTATAGGTCTTTCGCGGTGTGGAATTTTAAAACTCGTTTGTGACCATTCTTGTTTTTTCTATCGGAAAGTGAACGTAGTGCCGTTATGTACGCCGTTTGCACATACAAATCATGTGTTACTACGTTTTTATGATTTCTTTCCACGAATATATCACAGACCCTGAATTATCGATACAATAGCAATAGCAAAATATTATTACTCTGTATGATTGAGCACGTTACATTTTTGTGTGATTCGTTGTGCATTTGACCGCTGCATTCATGTACAAAACAACATATGTATAACTTGGTACAACGATCCCTACAATCGAATTACATTGAAATCAACGATTGCAGTTCTAGTTTTATAAACATATTTAACAACAAAAATTGAAATTCAGTTCCATGATAAGCACATGTGAATATGTATATCTCCTTGTAGTGCTTGTGCATGTGTATGTGTGCATCTATGTATGATACTATGTAGAACAAGTACAAAAAGTAGATACTACATAAAAATCCGCGAGAAAAGCACAGTTCGGGGGAGCTGTAAAATTCACAGAAAAGAAAGAGAACAAGAAAGAGAGTCTACGTGATATGCGCTAACAAAAAATACGATTTAGTAGATGCTATGTACGAATGTGAGAGACATTAAGTGGGTAGTTCATTGAGAAAGCGGTATACAGGGTGTCCTAAAATAGCTTCGACTCCCGGAAATGAGGGGTTCCTCGGATTATTTGAAACAACTTTTTTCTCCGCAAAAATGTTAACGAGATATTAACGAAAAACCCCGACCAATCGCAGTGCGTAGCCAATGCTACCGCGGAAGCTCGGCCAGCAAACTCGCGCTCTGATCGGTCGGTATTTTTCGTTAATATCTTGTTAACAAAGCCTCGGATAACATTTCTGCTGAGGAAAAAGTTGTTTCAAATCATCCGAGGAACCCTTCATTTCCGGGAGTCAAAGCTATTTTGGGACACCCTGTAAAAGAGAAACAGAGAATAGTCGACAGTCAGAGAGACAAAAGACTGGAACGAAAATAAAAAATAATATACCGGAAAACCGTTCTTGCCCGGCGCCCCGGCCACGCCCTGTAAGAAGGAGTATACAAAATTAAATACTCATTTACATGGAGACGGGTTAGGTACACTTGGATACATGCAAAAGCAATTATTCCGCGAGCAAATTGCGTTCGCAACATTATCCCGAATGCATCACACTAATAATTGTTGCAACCAATTAGATACTGTCGTGACGGTTAACTAGACACGCACATGTATGTACGGTTGTCGGTGTCAATTTCCATCAAAATCAATTGCATCCACAACGAAACGGCACAATTGAAAACAGTGAATTTATTTTTTTTTATGGATAGAACTCATTGTTAGACAGCAGAATTTACTTACACTGTTTGGAATTTTATTATATGTGCAGAACACTCGAATTCTAACCATTTTCCAAATATTTTAAATTATAAACTTATAAGTATCTCGTTAATTAGAAGTATTTATTAATGTTGCTGTTTCACTTTTTATATACACGTGGAATAAAATGAGGTTCGTAAACATTGCAACATGTAATAATGTTAATAGTTTGTGAATCCTTCGTGTAAAATAAATTCATCATAAATAATTCATCATATTTTTATTTTCCACTTACTTGTCAGTATTATTGGGTCATAAACGTTTACGGAAAATTCACAATTTCATAGTACAATTCGTAGCTTCATTTTCATAGAGAAGAGCATTAAGCAGAATTCCATTTTTTTTATTGTATTAAAAGTGAAACAAGTGATTCCAAATTTTATACGCGCGTGAGACTGCATCAACTCCACCGTACAATTGTATTATAGTAGACTCACGTTAAAGTAGCGGTGCGGGGCTCTCGAGGCGGGTTTTTCCTGGAAACGCTACTTCAACGTGAGCCAATGGTCACGCAGGATCTCGTGGCAGTTCGGTGGATCCACCCATTGGATCAAAACTTTGGTTACAGAAGGCGACCGATAGTGGGGTGTGCGCACGTATGTGAGTAATGCGTGTGAACTAGGACGTTCCTACCGCTACTTTAACGTGAGTCTATTGTACGTCTAAATGTACATATGTATACATGTACATGACGTGCCATTCACTCATGTATAGTTAAGAGCTGATAAGTTGTTGAATCCCTACAAACTGAACGGCACAGTGACAAGGGGGTACTTATCTCGTCGGCCAATGGAATTATTAACACTCCAAGACGCTGCGTCATCACTACGTCATTACCACGTGATTACTCTGTTATCGCTCTATCTCACCTGGTCTCGTGTGTTCTGTTCGTTCTGTTCATCGCCAATAAATTTGATTCGTCGGCAACTTATGAGCTCCCAACGGTAGGTTCCTAACGTTACGCCCATTCTTAAGTTTTAGATCAGTACGACGGAAAATATTTTCTTGTTAACTCGTTTAATGATTTTCGGATTTCCATTCTAACATGAAATAACAATTTATATGTGTGAAAATGTGTAATTAGAGTATCATTAAAAGATATTCTATTTGCTTTTATCGAAAGTATAGTTCCAAAATTTTTAAAGCATTTTTACACGCCCGAAAAAAAAAACTAAACCTTTCGTTTATATATATCTGCATTTATCGATCGATATATATACGACTGAGATTATTGGTATCGTCTGAAAATCCGATATAAATGCGACGAATTTCGCATCCCTTTGTTGTTCCATTGTGGATTCGCATTCGATCGGAAACAGCCGCGTACATAGCGTGCCTACCGTCGGTTACGAATTTGAGAAGATGAGTTTATACACCGTCAGTAAATACAACATGCTTACAATTGCACTCTAAAATACGAAAACTGTACGTGCAAGCTTACTGGGTGAGCTACAGGAGTGAGGATTACAGTGCTTAATGGTGGAGAAACTTCGGTACTCACCTGAGGACCTACTTCGCCACGGTCGCCCTTCTTTCCCCTTTTTCCCCTTTTTCCAGCAGGACCTCGTTCCCCGGGAAGACCTGTAACAAAAACGAACAATAAATTGACACGTATTGGGACAAAAAACTAAACGACAAGGGAAGGTTGATTTGGATGAAGATCAATTTCAATAATTATGAACACAATTTATTATATACATACAATTTATAAGCTAATACAATAATTAAAAAATAATATAAAATCATGGCAGTACATGACGTGAATTAAGAAATAGCAATATAGAAAAATACAGAATTCAAGAATGACATACAGTCCTGACCAAAAACTGTACCAGAGCACTCTGGACTACAGCAGAATTCAAGAATGACAATAGTCGTCCCAGAGGTCCCAGCCTTGCCGTCAGATCTCCATCCACGTAACTCTGATCAGGGTTATGCCTGACCATATGCGACTACGCGACTGAACAGAGAGAAATGCTCAACATCCTCGGTCATCGATCTTCCTGGCTGTTCTCCATCATCAGCCTTTGATTGTCTGGCTGGCATCTCTCAAATCACAGGTCCAGACCCATCCTGTCATCCTCTGATTCGTTCATAATAGAGGCCTGAATTCCCATAACCAATCCATCAGCTGTAATGGGCCCCTTAGCTTCCGGGTTTCAGACATGGTTTCATGACAATCATACCTCCTGTACTAGTTATTCTGCCTGAAACAAACAATCAACCAATACAGTACCAACTCACCTATAATATATAGTACTATTCCATAGCATCAAAAGTGATCCACCATTGAATAAAGTCCATCGTTACGATGCTTTCTTGTCCTCGAGCCTTTTTCATTTCCCGAAGGTTCTCTGCTTCGCAGCGGTCATTTGGTAGTACGGCAGTCAACTTAAATGGTCCCTTTGCCTTGGCTAACAGCTTCCGGCTTTGTCCCGTTGCTGCTAGAGTTGTACCCGCCATGACTACGTCTCCTGTCTGATAGACTGGCGTCTTGAACCTTCGAGCATCGAAGCGAGCCTTTTCGATTTCTTGTTCAGCATCCGTTGCCTTCTTAGCCTTCTTACGTTACCTTGCCAAGTCTACCCCGTCCAGAGCTTCTTGGATAACCTCCAGCAAAACAGCATCAGCAGTGCTTCTAGGTATATACTCCAAAAGCAATTGCGCTGGGTTTCGTCGTGTTGTACGGCTACGAGATCTCACCCATTTTCAGAATCATCCGCACATATTGCAGCTAGTGAACCTATCACCACACGATTCACTCGTTCACGCTGTCCATTTGCCCTTGATGTTTCCACTGCATTTAATATATGTTTAATGCCATACTCCTTGCAAAAAGCTTCAAATCGATGAGAGATAAAAGTAGTACTTCTATCGCTAATTATTCTCGATGGAGCACCGAACACAGCAAATAATTGATCGAGTGCTCTTAAAACCCACTTTGTCTTGGTATCTCGCACAGGTTCGAGGATGCAAAACATGGTAAAACCATCAACTATTGCCAAAATCTAAGACTTTTCTGTTAATTTAAACCGGGTTTTCCGTTTCCGGTAGGAGTGTAGAAGCCGAGAAATTGTAAGAACGAGTGATTGAGGCAGAACTTAGAAGGAATAGGGAGCAAAGAGTGGAGGGAAGGGTTAGCAAAGTACGAGAAAGAGTAAAGAGTGGTGAAAGGAAAAAAAGGTTTAAAAAAATATATTAGAGGAAAGAAAGACACAGCAGAATTTTGAGGTTAGGCAAAGGAAGAGTTGGTGAGAGAAAAGTGAATGATACAGAGTGACATCTAGAATGAGTGAAAGTAGTCGTGAAAAGACAGGTAGGTAAGGTAGAAAAGAAGAAAGGTAGCTGTAACTAGAGATATAATAAGACTACGAATGCTACTGTTGTCGAGGGTTCATGAATCTGTGCCTTGAGAACGAGCACCATTTGTTCTATCTTACCATAAGAGTATGAAACACATTCGCACCGCAGCATACATGTAGGATACATATGAATGTATGTGATAGCACGGATGAGAATTTCATCTGTGGTGATAGAGAGCTAACTTCACTCTGGGACCCTCAGGCACCTAAAATCCATGACACCTCGATAATAATGGCATCCGTAGTCTCATTATATCTGTAGTCGCTTAAAGGTAGTAAGGGGAAGTAATACAAAACAAGGCTTCCGGTTAGTAGTAACTTATTACAGTTAAATTTTTAGAGAATCAAAAATGTTACGCGGATTTTTAACTACGCTGGGTGTTGGCGTCCCAATTACCGCGTTGTTCAAGGGTCGACTGTACATAATTGTTTACAAGGCTAAAGTTATAAAAATAAAATGGGGTATACAAGGACCCGGATATACCGGTATCGAAAACGCACGGTTGCTGTGCATTGCTGGATTTACGAATTTTAGGTTAGAGATTTCGAACTATAAAGTTTCATTACTTGCTATCGATTTCGTCCAACGAACGAGTCCGGCAGAGATGAGATTCAATTGTTGGATTTACTCGTTGAAATTGATAGTGGTTTACTGCTCGTTTTCCCTGATCGTAAAATTAGTCGTCGTATTTTTTATTGTGGTACTCTCTGGACTGTGTTTTAATTTCGCCCTTTTCACCCGACATACACCGTTCACCGTATCGTGCACAGATTTAATTTAAGTGAATTCCAGAGACTCACAGAGGTCGACGTAACTATGCGGAATATTGCCATTCCTGAGCATCACATCAGAGACATCCGCCGAGCGAATGCGATCAAACAAACGAAATGTACGTTTTCGTATTCACCTACAGTCCTTTCGATAGCGCCTCGCTCTCTGCCGAGCGTCAGAAGATATTACAACGGAACTAAATGCGTTGCCAGACAGGAAGAAAGGAAGGAAGAAATAAAGAGGCGGGGTTGCAAAGAAGAACAGGGAATGGCAGTTCCAATTCTTATGTGCCACCAATGGAATCTTATCGCCCCCCTCTTTTCTGTTCGAGACTCGAAACAACCACGATGTCTACCTTTCAAGGAGATACGGAATATACAGACTTTCTGCGATGTATACAAGACCCAGCCAGCTTCCGTTCTATCACGATAGATACCCGATACTGCTTTATGCACTCGAACGAATCGAAATGTCGATACAGGAATAGCAAACATTTCCAATTTTCGGGGTCCTATAAATAGACTGAAGTTATTAATTCAGGCCATAGTATTCCTTTTACAAAAAGTCTTTCTTTGTGTTGTTTTACGAATTTTTTATACAATTATACGGGGTATATTACATTATGGTAAACAATTTGAAAAATGTACCATAACTTAATTACGTTTTATACGTGAATGAATTTTGTTGTATAACATTCGGTAACACTTCTATTTTTATGTAACACCTGCAAACGTTCTGTTGTACAACACATATTCCGACAAATTCTATTTACTTCTTACTTACTACAATTTATTTAACACGTTCACCGGGAGCCTATTTCGGCTGACCTTCCGTTTACACAGATTGTATGATTTGACATTTGAATTTGTATTACATGACATTCACTGGTAATCAGAGTTGATTCACCAGAGTTAAAAGCGGTTAGTATGATAAACTTAGGTAATACGCGTCCTGGTTGATAAAATTCCTCACTATTGTTTTATTCATTATTCAAGTTTTTGTATATCTTCTGAAAAAACATACATACTAATGCCACTTATATTTTGACTGGATTGCAACAGTGTATCCTCACCTGTAGGTATTTGTAAAACAATAGTGAAGCATTTTGTCCGTCGCTTAGGTATTATGTACAGTAAAGGCTCCATAAGAGTTTGAAACTTGGGATCGCTTTAAGGGCGCAGACTCCTTCGGGGCCAACTCCAAATCGATCGAAGCGCAGATGTAAACAAACGGGCGCTATCGAAAATACATAATCGATAATTGGGACGGCTTGACGATGCGACATCTAACGATGTATCGAGAGTTTTCTTATGCTGTTGCCACATATCCCCCTTATTACAATTCTGCCCATCAGTAGAACGATGGAATGGTTCTCATTTTTTTTTAATCAATTAAATTACATACGAAATACTTGAAATGGTATTCTGAAGAAACAAATTGTAAAAATGACACAATATATAATCTGGGTATTCCATATACAAAAAACATGGAGTAGGGGATAATGGGGGAAATACGGACACCGGGTAATTTCGGACGCAGTGATAATGTTATTATTCTCAGTGTCGAGCAAGCAGTCTCAACGGAAAGTCACGCATGTTTACAGAGGTAAGTATCATCAAATATTTCGACTTCTTTCTTATAATTTTTGTGCTACAGTTTTCACGGTGTCACGTATATTTAAATAGTAGCAACTAATATGTAAATTTATTTAATCTCAATGTATACCGTAAGGATGATAACCTAATAGTTTTTAATAAGGGAATGTCTATATTTACTTACTATTATTTAATTGTAAGATTTCAAATTCATTCGGGGTATTTGCGGACATTGTGTATGCGGGTAAGTACGGACATCGAATTCAACGAAACAATTCAGGATCAAAATGAATCAGTTCCACTAAAACAAATAGTTAATGTACCTACGCCTAAATATCAACGAAACAAAAGAAAGGAACATTTAATTATTTTCACAAGCACGCCTGAAAAGCTTGCATTAGGAGGAAAAGAATAAAGGCTATGAATGAAATGATAAAATAACGAAACATTTGTCGTAATAGAAAAGAACAAACGCAAAATCGGTAGAAAAAGAAAAGGAGTAAAAGAAAAAAATCTTTTGAATATAATGCAAAAAAAAATAGCGGGAAATAATATTTTTGTATTTTTTGTAGCGAGAAATATTGCGAACCGTCGACAGAAGACTGGTTTTTATGTTTGATATGTCAAGATTGGGCACATGAAAAATGCAGTGGAGGTTCAACAAATAGTTCGGTTACACTTTTGAATTTGGACTCATTTTCATCGGGAGAATCTCTTCAATTCATTCGTGACACTTTCATTAGAGTATGTTGAAAAATGTAAAAGCTTAAATTTTCATTTATGCGTGATTCCTTACCTGCTTACATTGTATGCCGATGGATAGTCGTTGGGCTTTGACGTCAACACTTGACG